AGTTTTTCAAAAATCGCGTTTTTTCCAAGTCAAATTGCCCGTTTACAAAAAGTGTCGGAACTTTTGCCGCACCCTGTAGAGTAGTGTACTTTGATTTGAATGGAAATGTAGCTTTTCTTCTAGAAAAGAATACCTTTCTGGGTTCTTTTCTAGAAAAGAATCCCCTTTCAGTTCTTCTAGAAACATCAAATCCTTCTTGTTTTGTTTGTTTAAATTATCTCAAGTTTTTGATAATATTTTGGCTTGATGACAGAGCATAGAGCTCATAACTTAGCTTACTGCAGCAAGCGCTAGAAAAGAACAAGTTTATCGTCAGATTTAGAGCTTATCGAGTGCCCCAGAAAGGTTGTGTTTACGAGTCAATAATGTCTTTGAGCTCTTTCCCTGAATCCTGGTCTTTTAAAAGTTTCCTGGTCTTTTAAAAGTTTCCTGGTCTCTTGAAAGTTTCCTGGTCTTTTGTCAAAAAAGCGTTTCGTAGTTTTGATTGAACATTCTATCCCTAGCATGTTTTGCTTTCAAAAACTTGCTCGCATCTACCTATTTCCGGATTGATTTTGATTTTCCCCTAAGAAGTTAAGACCAGGAAACTTTCAAGAGACCAGGAAACTTTCAAAAGCCAGGATTCAGGGAAAGAGTCTGCCTTTGTTTTTAAGCTTGCCTTACTTCAGCTTTTAAAAAGTCTGTTAATTCATCTCTTTCTTGACTTTTTTGACACATCATTGTTGGCTGTTGATTTTTGTAACAAATTGTAATACTTAAAAACCATTTAGCTATATCTTTTAGCAATTTTTAATTGTTTAGCATTCTTTAGCAACCATTCCTTGCTCTATCTTCTGGAAGAGTCCAATTATCTTGCCAAAAGTCCTACCTATCTTTCCAGACATCCCTTTTGCCAGAAATCCCTTTTAATTCTTCCTCTAGACCTTGAGTGATCTCTTTCCTCTAGCAATTTCCTCAATTTTTTTGTTCATTTCCGTTGCAGTGTCATTTTCTTCAGCGATTTCTTTCAAATTCATTCATTCATTCCAGGATAAACGACAAAGAAAAAGAAAAGAAAAAGAAAAAGAAAAGAAAAAGAAGTTTGAAACTTTTTTTCTTTTGAAAGAAAAGAAAGTGCCAAGCTTTTCTAAGCGATACCATCGAAAGGAATTGAGAAAAGAGAATAGATTCAAGTTTGAAACGATTTGAAATATTGGATTGGTGAATTGAAAACTGAGGGACTTTGAACTAAAATTTATTCAACATAAAACCATCAATTCATTCCAAATAATTTCCATTATTATTGACGACTTCTGGCCATTTTACAGGCAATTTGCTGATTCCTTTTTCGTAGTAGGTTTTTGTTTTTGAATCGAATTGAATATTGAATCGAAAAACTTTCAAAGCCAATTTTTGACTGCTTCTTCCGAATCGAAGTGTTCTCCCGCAAGCTCATTACTCATGATCCGGAATAAATAGTAATCAGAAGGAGCAAGGTCCGGACTGTATGGGGAGGTGCCAAAAAGTTCCCAACCAAGGCTGTTTATTTTAGAGCGAGTCAGTTTTGCAACATGAGGGCACGCGTTGTCGTGGAGGAGAACGATCTTTGACTACATTAGAGTTGAATTCTTTAGGAATGACGCATCGTTGTCGGAGCGTAGTCGGGAGTGCGCTTGTTTACAACCCACACAGCTCGTTTTAAAATAAGACTATGCGACTGTACGCCCGTTATTATGGAGCTAGCGTTCTATTAGAGTATCAGCTGAAAAATCCGACTTTCTCATTGAAGAATTTTATAAAGAAAATCGCGAAAAACGGCAGTGTGCCGAAGAGTGATCAACTCTCATTCAAAGGCTTGTAAAATGATCTGCATAGCTCGAATCGGGAAACTTTTAAGAGATAAATGTAGCCAAGATTAAGAGCTTTAATATTTTATATAACATGTAACACATTAGAGTTGAACATTAGCGCTTGGGAGCTTGGACTTGGAGCTAATCTGGGAGTAAATCTATCAAAAAGAAGTCACTGTAAATAGTGAACAACGTGTAGTGTTTAGAATTGCATTCAAGTCGAATCCTACTACAATAATTGTAGCTGTACAATCAAATATTAGATTTTTAACTAGCTCAATTAGCTACTCTCTTTTTTGTCACCTTTACATCTATTAAATGTAAAAAATTGAGTCTTTTTTTCGATTATCTTTCTGATTTTCGATTCTATTCATTTAAATATTAAAAATGTATGTTTATAAAAATTTTTATAATAAATTTGATAGTGAAAACCTTTTGAAAAAGATAAAAGACAAGTTTCGTAGACAGAGGAACTACACCCTTCCACTTTGTAGTGGAAAGGGTGTAGAGGGAAAGAGCTGCGGGGAGGATTGGATTGGAGTAGACAGAGCTAGCTGAGAGATGCCACGAGCCACCGTGCGTAAAATCTTCATTCATTTCTCATTCTTTCTTCAGCTATCCTCATTTCTTCGTGAAAGTCATCATTTTTTTTTGCCAAAGTGCAGCCATTTCCGTTTTCATTCATCGCTTTTGCTTTTGCTTTTTGCTTTTGCAAGTGTGCTTGATTTTTAAACAATGTGCTTGAATTTAAACATTTAAACAGCTCAATTTTGTATTTGCCTTGCCTCAACTCTTACTTTACTTTCCGGAAATTCTCTAATATTCTCTAGACGGAAATTCTCTAGACAGAAATTCTCTAGACAGAAATTCTCTAGACAGAAATCCTCTCGACAGGCGTACAATCTCGTAGTCTAACTTTAAGCATCCAATTCTCCGCACTGGTTTAAGCTACAGGGTTCGTTTTTGTGTCAAATGATAGCTCTTGAAATCTAGTATTTTTATGATACCAAAAGTGTAGTGTCATACAATTGCGGAGTTTAACTTCTTTCTAGAAAATAATTTTTGTTTTCAAGTCCTAGATTTTCCCCAACTACACTTTTGGTATCAAAAAGATACTAGATTTCAAGAGCTATCATTTCACATTCAAACGCAAACTGTAGCTTAAATTAGCGCTGAGAACGGGAAGTTTAAAGTTGGACTACGCGATTGTACGCCCGTCATTATAGAGCTGGCGTTCTATTAGAGTATCATTCAAAGCTTTTGAAAGTTTTATCTTAAATATAGTAATGAAAATACTGTAAACTTGTTGGTAATTGACGCTTGAAAGCTCAATGATTCAGTATTTTGCGGCTTTTCACCTAAACTCTTCTTGGATCTGATCTTTACGAGAGGCAAGTTTTTCTGGTCAACTTGCGGCTCATTTTTAAGCACCTTAAACTTATCAGATCAGAAAGTTTTGATAAGATTTAGATAGCTTAGAATGTCAGCTTTCAGAAACGATTTGTTCCATCAAAAGTTATTAACAAAAACCTATCTAAAATTGGGCTACAAAATGGTCTCTCTCTTTATCGGTTTCTGGTCAACTTGCAGCTCATTTTTAAGCATCTGAAACTTGCCAGATCAGAGAGTTTTAATAAGATTTAGATAGTTTAGAACGTCAGCTTTCAGAAAATATTTGTTCCATCAAAAGTTATTAACAAAAACCTATCTAAAATTGAGCTACAAAATGGTCAAAACTTGCCGCCCTGACGCTGCACGTAAAGCACCATGCTCTTCATAATTTTTCAATACAATAAAGAACTTTGATTTTAAATGATTCTGTCAATCATTTTTCAGAAAAATCAAATGTTTTCATTGGTTGCAAGCGTTGCAAGCGAGTAATTCGATTGCTCGTTTTGTAAAGCTTTCTGAAAAGTTCTGAAAGTTTGTAAAGCTTTCCCCTTGCATTGACCTTGAATAATCATCGAATCGAAACGTCATTCTTTTCCCTTTTTCTCCCAAGAAATGCCATCCTTTTTCTAGAAAAGCAAGAAAATTCTCCTGTTTTCTCCTTTCACAGCCGATCGACTCTTTCGAAGATTCTCACGCACGATAGCGTCCATTTACGGGTTGTGGGAAAGATGAGATGAAAAACACCAGCTTATAAGCTGAATGCCGAGCTTTCGTTGCATAAACCTTTCACCTTTTACTGAGCTTTATTTTTTTGCTCTTGATTAATCCGTTTTCTAAAGCTTATTCCAAGCTATTTCCAAGCTTTGTATTCCACAAAACATGGCCGTGCCAAGATTCGTGCTAACTCTCGCTTACCCTTCCGCTTATCGAGTAAACGCTCTACCAATGAGCTACATTGACACGTGTCTTATTGCCAACAGAATTGCTTTATACATTTCATCTATTTTAGAAAAACTACCGTAATTAAGCCGTCAGTTTCATGCCCAATTTTGGTAGTTTTGTGAGTTTTGTGATTTCTCATCAAATGATATCCAAAATTCGGATTTGACAAAACTGGCGGGAAAATTACCGTAGTTTTCTGAAACGGGTGTGTTTTAAGAAACGAAGAACTATGTATTTACTGTACTGTCTGTCTGTCTGTCTCTCTCTCTGTCTGTCTGTTTGCCTGTTTGCCTGTTTGCCTGTCCGTCTGTCTGTCTGTTTGCCTGTCTGTTTATCCGTCTGTCTGTCTCTCCACCTGTCCGTCTGTCTGTCTGTTTGCCTGTCTGTCTGGCTCTCCGCCTGTCCGTCTGTCTGTCCGTCTGTCTGTTCATATCTGTCCGTTTGTCTGTCCGTCTGTCTGTCTGTCCGTCTGTCTGTCCGTCTGTCTGTCTCTCCGCCTGTCTGTGCTGTCTTTCGGTCTGTCTGTTTGCCTGTCCGCCTGTCTGTCCATCTGTCTGTTTGCCTGTCTGTCTGTCTATCTGTCCGTCTGTCTGTCCATCTGTCTGTCTATCTATCTGTCTGTTTATTTCTACTGTAGCCTGTTCTTTGTAGTCTACTGCTTACACGCAAACACACTTTTCTGGTGCATCATTCGTCACTTTTTTGGCGACAACGGTTTTTTTGAGAAAAAGGGATAGATCTAGAGTTCAATGCGCCGAAAGCAGTGTTTGCATTACCACAAAGTACCCTGAATTTCATTTGCCAATAGATTTGTGTTTCTATTCAATCACGCCACTTATGTACCCTTTTCAGCTAACCAACAGTCGGCTCAATGTTGAGATGAGAGAACAACATCCACCATTTCGGATAGCAGAACTATTGTGCTTATTCCTTGTAGTTCCTGTGATATTTTGGTTAGTTGAAAAAGTGACTTCAATAAGTTATTATATTTTTCAGTCAACCCTCCCAGCATGAAATTTATCGACTCTACCGGGCGGTTGCGCCAAACGCGCCCGCTTTGAGAGCTCTATTGGATCTGCAAGTGAACGATCATCTATTCAATGTAAGAAATGTTCAGATGTACTTGTTCTAGTAAACAAAGTGTAGTACTTGTACAGTGCTTTCATAGTACCGTATGCCAGATTACAGTACAACTTTCGCAAAAATCGTTAGGCCGACCAGGTTCATCATTCGCAAGATTTTGAACGCAACTCGGGTTCACCTATATAACTTGCAAGTTCGCTAGGTGCGAGTCGGGCTCACCTATATAACTTGCAAGCTCGCTAGGTGCGAGTCGGGCTCACCTATATAACTTGCAAGCTCGCTAGGTGCGAGTCGGGCTCACCTATATAACTTGCAAGCTCGCTAGGTGCAAGTCGGGTTCACCTATATAACTTGCAAGTTCGCTAGGTGCAAGTCTGGATCACCAACACAACTTGCAAGCTCGCTAGGCGCAACGACTTGGCTCACCAACAAAATTTCGCGCAATTCAACTTGCGAAATTTCGCAAGATCATTCGACTTTCGCAACTCACTCAATAAGGTCACTTGCGATATTTAAAAACGCTGAGAATGGCGTTAAAAAGTAGTGTTTAAAAACGGACTTCAAATTCGTGATCAGCACATCTGCTGATCACGAATTTGGAGTCCATTTACAGCACATTTACCCTATATACACAAAAATCCCGAAGACATATGATTGTCATTTTCTTTTTCGAAAAATCATGAAGGCGTACCACATAATTTTTTTTTTTTGAAATGGAATGAACATTTTTAGGATTTGCTCGCCTAGGGTAATATAGGTGCATTTTAGAGTTTCTATATGAAGTCGCAAGTTGCAAATCGCAAGTCACAAGTCGTAACTTGCAGATGCCTAATCGCAAGTCGCAAGTCACAGATCGCAACTTGCAGATGCCTAATCGCAAGTCGCAAGTCACAGATCACAACTTGCAGATGCCTAATCGCAGATCGCAAGTCACCGATCGCAACTTGCAGATGCCTAATCGCAAGTCGCAAGTTACAAGTCGCAACTCGTAAGTCATAAGTCGTAACTTGCAAATCCAAAGTCGCAACTCGCAAGTCACGAGTTGGTGATGGTAAACCCGGACGCAGCTCTAAATGTAAAAAGCTAGTCAAAAAGTTCTCTGGTGTTAAAGCTCTGGTACTCATGGGTTTTACCCACCGCACATTTAAGCACTTGACTAAACAAAAGCTAAAACTATGCCTTTCTTTGTTTAGCTTAGCCTTTATCTACTATAATTTCATTTAGAAGCATAATTTAAAAATAGTTTTCCAATAAAATAAATCTACTTGCACAAAAGTTGATATCTTTTTATGATGGAAAGATTGGCGATGGCTATAAGCCATAATACAAGCCGCAAATCTTAGCACCGCTATCTGAAGCCCCTACTGAACCGATTTACATAATTTTTTCTTTATTAGATAGGCAATTTTATGATTAATTATGCATCTTAGCCTTTAACTTTGAAAAAAAAAAGTTTCGGCACACACGGGGACCAAACCCGGATTGTGTGGGTTAGAGACGGTCGCGCTATCCACTGCGCCATAGATGCATGAGGGCCGAGATCGAAAATTTATGTTTTATCAGGAATTTCTCTTTTCGGCTAAAAATAACTGAATTTTTCGAATCCGGCATTAATTTTTCGAAATTCACGTGTTTTTCAAGTTAAAAAGTTCCTGTTTAAAGAAAAATGTTCGAAATTTTTGAGAAATAATGACTTTATAGTATTTTCGTAAGTACGGTAGTATCAAAAACACGATTAGCTTTTTTAAAAAAGAGTATTTAGGTTGACTTTTGGAAAGAGCCAAGACATCCGGGCGACATCGCTGACATTATGATCCCGGACTCGATTCGACACATTGTTGAGAGGCATTTTGATGAGAATCGAATCTTGTACAATATCACTGTACCTGATGTTGAAAAGTGAGTGATACGGTTCAATATTTAAAGCACTTTTCATTCATCAGATCACTTACCGTAAATACTGTAATAGGAGTCTCGGAGTTTGGGAACTTTTCTATTTTACTCTAGAACTCGACTTTCAATTATCAGATCGACTTAGGGTTGGTTTTAAAATGATCCTTATGTAATTTGGTTAGAGAAAACCACAATTTACTTAGTACACTCTAGTGTAAGAGCATAGAGAAAATTTGAGTCAAAGTTGAACTATCTACCCGAAAAAGTCAATCAATTTAGATGGTCTAGAACTCGAGGTATAGAAATTGAATCGACTTGTAATTGTTTTTAAAAGAGTCTTCATTAAATTTGGTTGTAGAAAAGTAGAATTTGTTTTGTAGACTCACTGATAAGAACATAGAGAAAATTTTAGTCAAAGTTGTCCTTTCAAATAGGAGTCTCTGAGTTTGGAGACCCTTCCAAATTCCGTGGCGAGTCTCGGAGTTTGGGAACTTTTCTATTTTACTCTGTAACTTGACTTCCAATTATCAGATCGACTTAGCGTTGTTTTTAAAAGAATCCTCATTAAATTTGGTTATAGAAAAGTAGAATTTGTTTTGTATACTTATGTATAAGAACATAGAGAAAATTTGTCTCAAAGTTGGCCTTTCAAATAGGAGTCTCGGAGTTTGGGAACTTTTCTATTTTACTCTAGAACTCGACTTTCAATTATCAGATCGACTTAGGGTTGGTTTTAAAATGATCCTTATGTAATTTGGTTAGAGAAAACCACAATTTACTTAGTACACTCTAGTGTAAGAACATAGAGAAAATTTGAGTCAAAGTTGAACTATCTACCCGAAAAAGTCAATCAATTTAGATGGTCTAGAACTCGAGGTATAGAAATTGAATCGACTTGTAATTGTTTTTAAAAGAGTCCTCATTAAATTTGGTTGTAGAAAAGTAGAATTTGTTTTGTATACTCAGGTATAAAAACATAGAGAAAATTAGTGTCAAAGTTGACCTTCCAAATAGGAGTCTCGGAGTTTGGGGACTTTTCTATTTCACTCTATAACTCGGCTTCCAATTATCAGATCGACTTAGGGTTGGTTTTAAAATGATCCTTATGAAATTTGGTTATAGAAAAGTACAATTTATTTGGTGTACCCAGGTATAAAAACATAGAGAAAATTTGAATCAAAGTTTTTTTGATATAAACTTCTAAAAATTTGAGGTTAATTCTCCATAACGAAGGCAAGAAACGCTCAAATTTGGGCTTCGACAAGCGACTAAACGACGATCCGATTCTCGACAGTGAACGTGAGAATTGAAAGAAGATTATTGATTCTAAAGAGATTTAAAGAAATCGAATTCAGTATTCAGTTATTTTTTGAAAAGTTCTATCTGTTTAGCTGATGACGATTGGTCTCAAGTGGGCCAACTGAAGAAAGCTCGATATCCATTTGGTGACTATGCACCGTACGCTGATATGATGAAATACATGAGGTAATTGAATAGGAAAAGATTTCGACAAGATTCCAAAAAGATTCCAAAAAAGATTCCAATAAAAATTACTTATTTAGAACCATCGAATTCTACTATCCGAGTTTCACGAAGATTGTCAGAATCGGCACTTCGCATGAGGGATTACCGATCGAAGGACTTAAGGTGATCCCATTCAAACTCTTCACCTTCTCATTTCTCTTCAGATCGGCTTCCCCTTGGACAACAAAGAAAAACGAGCGATTTGGATTGATGGAAACATTCATGCTCGAGAGTGGGCGAGTAGTCACACCGCGCTCTACATTATAAATCAGGTTTATCTTTAAATTTATTTGATAAGCGCGATGCCGCTTTGCCCAATAGCAATCTAGCTTTGAGCTCAAATATCTTGGTGTTCGGCTGTTCAATTTATATATTTTTAATATCATTAGATGTACCAAGTCATTCTCTATCGATTGGTATAAAAACTATTTCAATTGAACATATAAACACCGAGATATTTGAACTGAAAGTGGGATTGCCAATGGCAAAGGGGACAGGGCCTCGCGGGTCTTCCTGGGTCTTCCTGGCCCCGCCCCTTTTGCCAATCTAGTCCTTCTCTATCGATCGGTACAAAAACTATCGAAATTGAACAGCCCAACACCAAGAAATTTAAGCTCAAAGTTAGCCAATGGGAAAAGTGGCGGGGCGACCTTTTATACCCCGCCCCCTTTGCCATTGATAATCTTTGAGCTCAAATATCTTGTGTTTGGCTGTTCAATTTATATATTTTTGATATCATTAGATGCACCAATTCATTCTCTATCGATTGGTATAAAAACTATTTCAATTGGACAGCTCAACACCAAGAAATTTGAGTTCAAAGTTAGATGCCAATGGGCGCGTATAAAAGGTCGCCCCGGTCCCGCCTCTTTTGCCAATCCAACCTGTCACCGCCCCTTTTGCCAATTCAATCTGGCCGGACCTCTTTTGCCAACCAGTAAAAGGGCGGGGCAAAGGGACCGGGGCGACCTTTTATACACGCCCCGCCCCTTTTCCCAATGCCATAACTTTGAACTCAAATACCTTGATGTTAAGCTGTTCAATTTACATCTTCTTAATATCATTAGATGCGCCAAGTCATTCTCTATCGATTGGTATAAAAACTATTTAAATTGAATAGTCAGATGCCAAGAAATTTGAGTCCAAAGTTTTGCTAATGGCAAAGGGGTGACCTTTTATCCAAGCCCCGCCCCTTTTGCCATTATCGAGGGGGCTGGCAAATCGGTTTATCTTTGAGTTTACTTTACCAACAACGGACAAGCTTGACCAACAGACAAGACTAACAGAATTGTTGGTCAGATTTGGCAGACAGGAAAGACAATAGATCAACAGATCAAAAATCTCTGTGTGCTGATATGTTAAAAGACTAATTTCAGCTCGTTTCCGGCTATCGAAAGGACGATAACATCACTTTTTATGTGAACAACTTGAATTTCTATATTGTTCCCTGTTTAAACCCGGACGGCTATGAGTACACGAGGAGTAGTCCGACACCGTTGGTAAGTGGTTCTTAAAAGCCCGATGTTTTCATTTTCGAGAAATTTGAGATCAAAAAACGAACAAACACATAGTTTACTCTTTATTACTAGTACCAGGATCGTTCCAAGCGCAAGCCCAGCCCTTGTTCCAGGCTTGGCTTGTTCCAGGCTACAAAGTCCCAGGCTTGGCTTGGCTTGGCTTGGCTGGGCTTGGCTTGGCTGGGCTTGGCTTGGCTTGGCTGGGCTTGGCTTGGCTTGGCTTTAGTTTTGGCCTAAGAGACGAGACGGGCCTCTAGCTGCGGTCTTAGATACGGGCCTCTAGCTGCGGTCTTAGAGATGGGCCTCTAGCTGCGGTCTTAGATACGGGCCTCTAGCTGCGGTCTTAGAGATGGGCCTCTAGCTGCGGCCTTAGAGACGAGCCTCTAGCTGCGGTCTTAGAGACGAGCCTCTAGCTGCGGTCTTAGAGACGAGCGAGTTAATAACTGGCCGATCACTAAACGATCTGCGAGCTGAAAAGTCCTCATTGATTTGGAGATCGAGTTTCAACACTTATAAAGATATTCAGTTGAACTTTGAAGATAAACTTTGAAGATAAACATTTAAAGCAGTACAATTATAATCTATTACACCTTGGAAAAATGATCTTGTTTTCAGGTAAGACTCTGGCGTAAGAATCGCTCGCCTGAGGTGTGCTCAGCGTCTTTATGGGGAGGGGAAAAGTGTTGTCGGGGTGTTGATTTGAATCGAAATTTCGATCATCATTGGGCAGGTTTGGGAATTGATAAGATTTTCTGATACTTATTGGTTATCTCTCTCCTCCCTTCCAAAAAAAGAAACCCAGCATTCGGCGGATTGAAATTCTCCTCACTCATTTCCATTGGTGGCAATGCTGCGCTTCGCTAGTGCATTTAAAGTGCACTAGTGCACTTCGCTAATTTGATTTCTAGTTGATTTCTAGTTGCTAATTTGATTCCTATTTTCGCCTTGCCTTTTTAGATTGTTTTAAAAAATATAGAACATATAAAAATTGATTTGATTTTAAGAAAAAGCTATTTTTTTAGCTGTTTTGATTGCTACAGGGTGACCAGAAATAAATCGGATAAATCTTTTTGATTCGATCTTGCATAGGAACTAAATAAAAATACTTCTTACTAAATAAAAATACTATTGCTGCCAAAAAAGTAAATTTTTATGTTAAAGATTGTATTAAAATAAATTTTTTTATTTATTTGCATATAAGATTCAGATTTTTGGAGAGGGGATCCCATCTCATAGATACAGAGTGACCAGAAATAAATCGGAGAAATCCTTTTGATTCGATCTTGCATAGGGACTAAATAAAAATACTTCTTAAAAGCGTTAATACACTCTAACTCAAATCGAAAAGATTTTCTGTCGTTTCTGGGTTCCTAGATCGTTTCTGTAAATTCTAGGAGTTGAAAGAAGCAGGCTCGGCCAAATCCTCTGGTGGCCGTTGCTCTTTTTTCCACTCGCTTTTCTCAACATGCAAATGTAGAATCTTGAAGAGATTGAAGAATTTTAAGAACCTTTGGGCTTCTGTTTTTTGGGAAAATAGCCTACCATTGATTTATTAATTGCTGGTAATGAAATCTTGATGAATTCTTCGAAATCCTTTCCATTCTTCAACATTATTGAACAAATGCGTTTGTAAAGAATTCATTTTACTGAATAAAGACGGCAGTCGTTAATATTTTACTGATAATTTGATGCATTGCATTTTAGTTGAAACAAACAGGCTCGGCCAAACGCCCTAGAAGTATTTTTATATAGTCCCTCTTTTTATATAGTTAAGAAGTATTTTTATACACCGTATTTCTTCGAATAGAAGACCGGGTAAAGAGTATCATCGCGTACTCCTGCGTAGCAGCCCTTTTTAAAATTTCTTTTCTGCATAAAAGCTTTCAATCAAGTGCTATAGAGCTGGAAAATGACTCAAAAATCTGTTAGCTCATGTGGTATTTTGAGCCATTTTCCAGCTCTATATTTGAAAAACGATCGTCACTTTCGCGCGTCTGTAACTCCCTTGTCTTTACCGTATTTCTAAATATTAATATTACCATTGTGTAGCCCTTGAAAAGAGCTTTTAGACGAGATGTATAACGAGATGTATAACGCTAATAGTTTAAACTCAAAGACAAGGGAGTTACAGACGCGTGAAAGTGACGATCTTTTTTCGAATATGATATTTCATTGTCCAGTACTGTAGATAAATACTGTAGATAATACAAATAAATAAATACAAATAGATAAATACAAATTTTTAACGAGGGAGACAACCAATAACAACCAATTTTCTATTTCTAAACCTGTATCTTTATCAATTCAATTGTTACCATTTTTCAGAGACTGGCTCCAGCTATGAACCCTGCTCGAATCTCTTTCACGGTGACTACGTTTTCAGTGAGCCCGAAGCTGCGTAAGTTGCCGTAATTCTTTCAAATATCCCCCATTTCTCTTCCATTCTGTTTTATTATATTAGAAGATCTTAATCCAGTGGTTGTCATCCGAAATAACGGGAAGAAAATCAGAACTAGTTTTCATTAAGGTTTAGCAAAAGAAAGCAAAAGCAAAAGCAAAGTTTTTGCAATCGGATCTGAACCAGGGTTACGAAAAGTAAAAGTGAGATTAATAGCGTGGAGATCTACAGTACTGGACAATGAAATATCATCTTTGAAAAACGATCGTCACTTTCGCGCATCTGTAACGATCGTTTTTCAAAGATGATATTTCATTGTCCAGTACTGTACCTCCACACCAATCGGCCACGTTTGAAAGGAAGGAAAGAGCTGATACATATATCCCCGGGATGCGATTTCCCAAGCCTACATATCCCGAGCGATTTCCCAAACTTTGCAAGCGTTTTTCTTGTGAACCATTGAGAATGGGGAAAAAAAATCAATAAAGCATCGTGTTTCCCATGCTCGATAGGCGTTTACATCTCAACGGCGTAGTGAAATTGGAACATTCCCTTGTTCGGGCCAGTTCCAACCATTCCCTTGTTCGGACCAGTTCCAACCATTTCCTTGTTCGAGCCAGTTCCAACCATTCCCTTGTTCAAGCCAGTTCCAACCATTCCCTTGTTCGGGCCAGTTCCATTCCCTTGTTCGGACCAGTTCCAACCATTCCCTTGTCCGAGCTAGTTCCAACCATTTCCCTGTTCGAGCCAGTTCCAACCATTCCCTTTTTAGCACTCAACCTTGATTTAGCTTTTTTAACTCCTACTTTTAGATCAGTGCGTAAATTCTTGGAAACAGAGGAGATGTGGGGGAAAACGGACGCTTTTCTCACCCTTCACACCTACGCTCAACTGTGGATTTATCCATTCAGTCATCAAGAAACGACTTATCCAAGGGATATCGATGATTTGGTAGTAAAATCTCACATAAACTTTATTCTTTTCAGTGCAGTTTATGCTCATTACTTTAAAAATAAACTTTTTTTTGCGCTAACTTTCATTTTTCTTTCGAGCATTGATAAAATAAAGAATTTTCAGTGAGTCAAAAAAAGGTTTAAGCTCAAATTTCATGCTGAAGAAGCAGAATTGAAGAATTGAAGAAGATTTTAGATTCTAATCAATGAAAATTTTAGAGAAGAACCGCTCGGAAAGCAGTGTCTCGTTTGGAAAACGTTTACGGAACCGTTTACCGGATGGGCACTGGAGCTGATACATTGGGTGACTATAAAAATCTTTCATTCTTCTAATTTAAAAGCTTTCTTACAATATAAAACAACTTTAATATCTATATTTTCAGCGCCAGCTTCCGGTGGATCGGATGATTGGGCAAAGTCGAAGATGCGCGTGAAATACGTGTACTTGATCGAGTTACGCCCCGAGGAACATTGTGAGTTTTAAAGTGAATTAGAAATCACTTATTTGTACAATACTTATTGTATATTTCTTTTACAGTATCCCATGGCTTCATTTTACACAAAAAGGAGCTGATCCCAACCGGAATCGAGACGTTGGAGGGACTGAAAGAGGTTGGGAAAACTTTTAGCTCTACTACCGAGCCTTCGACCAGGAAACTCTTAGGTTAATGGCACTGCTTTCAACTGCTTTCAAATCCTACTTATCATAAGCCGTTCTCAAGATACAAACCTTCAAAGTTTGCAAAAAAGCTAGCAAAACAGCTACTTAAAACCTTGGTTACCTTAAACTACTTAAAACCTTAAAAACCTAAAAGGCACTCTGCCACGGGAGCTTAGTGGATAGTGTGCTAGCGCCTGACGCCGATCCGTCGAGTGTTCCTGGTTCGAATCCTCTAGTTGGCAAGATCTTTTTGAAATCTAACTTTAAAGAGTTCCCTAGTAAGACCAAGATCAGAGCAGGTCAGATCAGATCAGCTCAGATCAGAGCAGCTCAGATCAGAGCAGCTCAGATCAGATCAGAGCAGATCAGATCAGATCAGATCAGATCAGATCAGATCATAGCCCAGGTCTAGGCCTCTCTTTTGAAGTTGTTAGATCTAGACCAGACTTTTGGGGTTGTTAGATCTAAGCCTGACTTTTGGAGTTGTTAGATCTAGGCCAGCTTTTTGGAGTTGTTAGATCTAAGCCTGACTTTTGGAGTTGTTAGATCTAGGCCAGACCTTTGGAGAAAGACGTTTTGTGAGCAAGAGTAGGATCTGGCTTCTGACTTAACCTGGAAAAATGACTTTTAGAGCAACCTTGTTTAAGATTTTTTGTCATCTCTTGCAGTTTCTAGGGTCAATTAACGCTTTCAGGTCTTCGAATCAGTCCTCGCCGTCAACAACATCAAACGCGATCCGTATGCGAAGATCTCGGACGCGATGAAGAAGAAACAAGAAAGTGAGGAAAATCGATGATAGAAAATAGTTATACTGTAGAATCTCTTTATAACGATAGCCAAGGGGCCGGCTGTTACTATCGTTATATGCAGGTTATCGTGATATCAAAGTTTTGTTATATAGAGTTAAATAAAACTGGTTTTTCTTCACCAAATCGTAATAGAGGGTTATTAGAACAATTCTATTAACGATAACAACTAGACGATGATAAAACGATAACATAATAATGATAACACGGCCGGCTTACTGTAGCTTTGTGGCTGGGTTACTGTGGCTGGGTGGCCGGCTTAGGTTTAGGCTTACTGTAGGATTGAGAGTAGGGTTGAGCTTAAGACTAAGTTCCTAGCTTACTTCCTAGCTCAGTAGCGGCTTACTGTAGCTTTGTGACTGGGCTACGGTAGCTTTGTGGCCGGGTTACTGTAATTTGGTGGTCGGCTTAGGCTTACTGTAGCTCGGTCGGCTAATTGAATCACAATAAGCGTTTTTTACAATCCTTTATCCATTATTATCCAAATTAAAATACATTTAGCTTCTTAATTCATCAACTTTTATCTTTTAAATTCAAATTTCAGTGCGAAGACGCTTGATTCAGAAGGGAACCTTTTACACAACGCCTAGAACACGCTTTTTGCTTGACGTCACACAGACAACGGGAGCACCAACTACAAGGTACTGTAGCTATAGATAATTAGATGACTATTATCCTTTTATATAGCTTTTAATCTTAAAACTTTACGAATTTAGAAGTACAACAAGTTCCACCACAACAATTCTGCCGTCCACCTCAGCAAAGACCGTTATCGAGGTTTTAAATGTAAATTTTTGTGAATATTGTCGAGATTTAGATTTATATATGTCGTAGCCGATGAAGGATTTGAGCTGAAGAAGTCTGAGACTTCTTCGGCTAGCCGATTAAGTCTCAAAAATGAAATCTTGAGTTATGTATTGACTCAAGTCAATACCACAAACTCAAGCTCTCTAAAAGGCGCTTAAAAGCTAGAAACGCATTCTAAAGAGTGCGCATTTTATAACCAAAGGCTATAAAAGGACACCTTTTCGTCATTTTCTATCTGATTCATCATTTATTTGACTCGTCCTTGACTCTGCGAGTGTCGAGGACGACCATGCACTATTCGACCGCTTGGCCACCGGTTCACGAGTTCTTTGACCTGAAAGCAAACAAAATAAAGCGTCATAAAGAAATTCGATAGGACACAAAAGTAAAAGCTTACCAATCTGTTGGCGAACTGAAGAATTTTTGGGGCTCCAAACGTTCCGAATATTTCCATTAGATGATCGACAACTTCAAATTGTGTTTTCCTTTGCAATGCCCGCAAAACGACGAACTTTGTGAAATGATCCTGGTAGGCCATCAAAAACTTGAATTCTCCATCGGGAACGGATTGAAGATCGATTAAATCCATGCCTTTGACGAATGACGAAAAGGGCCCTTTGACGAGGGACGAATGACGAGGACCCTTTTATATTTATAACGAGGGCCCTTTTATAGCCTTTGGTTATAGTATGATAAAATGCGCACTCTTTAGAATGCGTTTTTAGCTTTTAAGCGCCTTTTAGAGAGCTTGAGTTTGTGGTATTGACTTGAGTCAATACATAACTCAAGATTTCATTTTTGAGACTTCATCGGCTAGCCGAAGAAGTCTCAGGCTTCTTTGGCTGAAATCCTTCATTGGCTACGACATATATAAAATTTTAGATCTTATACTGTAAAATTATTTATTATTGGAATTTAGGGTGTTTCGGAGAACCTTGAGAAAAAGAGTTTCTTCCGACCGACTATTCCAACAGCGCCGCCGACTTTCAGCGGCTCTTCCTCGACAATGGCTACAGTACCCCTCACTACGGTAGTTAAATATTTAACAATAGAATGTCTCCAAGTTAATACTTAACAATAGAATATCTTAACAAAATTAGAAAATGTACTTTCTGGTAACTGGTTCTCAGTGAGGGATGCTTGGAGATTTGGATTTGTTTTAAAAACTACAAACTACAGTAATACCTTTGAAAAGCTACAGTATAGCTAATCTATTTAGCTAATCTATTTCTAATTCTATTTCAGCCTTCATCGAATTCAACCAAGCACATTGGTGAAGCTCGAGTGAAACAAAAGGAAACGCAACAGAAATTGGATCAAGATGCAAGAAGGAAAGAGGTAAAAGGGTTAAGAAATGTATTAAAAAGCAAAAGATTAAGAAATGTATTTCTAAAAAGCTTCAGTTATAATATATATTAAATAAGTTAGAGCATAAATTTTATGAAAACTTTGACCATTTCCTTTTCAGGTAGAAGAAACTCGACGTCGAGTCAAAGAAGCGCAAGAAAGACGTCGAGAAGAAGCTAGAGAAAAGAAGAGAAAAGTGGAAGAAGAAAGAAGAAAAGCTGAAGAAATAAGGAAAGAAAATGAGAGAAAAGCGGTTGAAGAACGGAGAAAAGAGGAGAGGAGAAGAGAGGAGATCCTCAGAAGACAACAGGAACAGTGGAGACGGTTGGGCATTTGATACAAGTTCCTCTTTACTCTTTCTTACCTCTTGCTACTCTTACTTACCTCTTTCTACTCTTACTTACCTCTTTCTAGGCAATAGAGCCAGTAGACAATAGAGCCAGTAGGCAATAGAGTCTGTAGGCAATAGAGCAACGTCCGGAAAACGTTCGGACTGTAGGCTTCATCCAGCTCTTCAATCTCAACTCTATCCAGCTCTTCAAACTTGTCTTTGGTCTTTTTGGCGGTGTGAGGCTTAGCGTTGTCTCGTTGAAATAGAGCTCGCTTTCGTCTGACCAATCTTGGGTACTTTTCCACCAGCTTGTCATCTGGAATACAAAGATAAAGATCGGTACAACAATATGCGAAAAATGCATAGAATTTTTCGGCAGCTGATTCCGAACTTTTTCCTCAACCTAATACCACAAATACTTTAAAAGCTCGTCGAGTCGCGTAGTCTAACTTTACTTTCAAACAAACGCTCATTTATTCACACCAGTATGCTTGTTATTCACTTGTTTCGACGCGCTTTCATATCAAATTAAAGTAGAGAGGATGGGTGATTTTTTGAGATATAGCAGATCCTTTTAGAGACAACGAACGCCGACTCGAGATGATCACAAAACAACGAGAAATCGAGAACAGAAGAAGAGAAGAAGAACGAGTGGCACAAGAAGAAAGGAGAAATGAATTGGAGAGATTGAAAGAAATCGAGAAAATCAATGAACAGAAACATTTGCAAAAAGAGGTTCGTGGGGGGAAATTTGACTCTTGTTTGATCAAAATTAAACAAAATTCAAATCTACACTTGTTTTACACCAGGTTTTGAACTTTGCTAATCAAATTTTTAGAAAGAAAATCAGCCGATTGTGCGAGTGGCGCGAAAATTGGTCGATGGACGAATTGAGGAGAAAGAAGTGGAGGTGCTTGAGGTGAGATTTGGTACTCGATTTCATGAATTTCTAGATCTTTAGCTGATTTCTTGATAAAAGCTTTACAACAAGCATTCAAGCAAAGATTAGAACTCAGTTTGCATTGGAAAGTGCACAACTCTCGATAATGAGAGTTGAGCGTTGACTTTGGCTTGGCTCGAAAGCTTTGACTATAGATCGAGCTCTTCTTCCCACGATCGAGCTCTTCCCACGATCGAGCTCTTCTCCACGATCGAGCTCTTCTTCCCACGATCGAGCTCTTCTTCCCACGATCGAGCTCTTCCCACGATCGAGCTCTTCTTCCCACGATCGAGCTCTTCTTCCCACGATCGAGCTCTTCTTCCCACGATCGAGATCTTCTTCCCACGATCGAGCTCTTCTTCCCACGATCGAGATCTTCTTCCCACGATCGAGATCTTCTTCCCACGATCGAGCTCTTCTTCCCACGATCGAGATCTTCTTCCCACGATCGAGCTCTTCTTCCCACGATCGAGCTCTTCTTCCCACGATCGAGCTCTTCTTCCCACGATCGAGATCTTCTTCCCACGATCGAGCTCTTCTCCACGATCGAGCTCTTCTTCCCACGATCGAGCTCTTCCCACGCTTTCAACAGTGATTTCTTCAAGCTTTTGATGTTTTTGTAGGGCTTTGAACAAGCTTTGGCTTCTAGAATCGATCACACTAAAAAATCTATTGGGTTGAGGTCTGGAGAGCTAGATGACCACTCAGAAAAAGAAATTCAGTCTGGGAAGTTGTTTTGGCAGAACTCTTGGACTTTCTTGGATTTTTGAGCCGGCGCGCCATCTTGCTGATAAGTCCAAATTCGATTTCCAAAATTTTTACAACCCCAGGACAAGAGTTCATTCTTGAGAAAAGCCAGGCCGACTGGTTTTGCTTCTTCTTGGCTTAATTTCTTCTTTGACGTTTGTCTTTGGGACGACAGTTTGGCGTCTAGCGCTTCTTGGTGCATCAGCAATTGTTCCCGTAGCTTCGTAGCGTTGAATAGTGCGGTAAATGAGACTCCTATCGACTTCAAGACGCTTATGAATCTTCGGCGCCGAGACTCCTCGCTGTGCATCAGCATGATCGAAGAAGATCAGCTGCAACATGATGATCGATTGTCGAAGCATGAAGATGAGCATGATGATCGATTGTCGATGGGGGATTTTTTAGTCATTCAAAAAAACACATTTTATATGAGAAAAGTTTCAATCTAAATATAATAAAAACAAAAAAAGCAAAAATATCAACGAGTTATTGTTATAAATCAACGGGTTATTTTCCTGGAACGCGCGTGATACTTTGACAATTAAGACTTACCCTGTACACTCTAACTGGGAGGCTCACCCTGTACTCTAAGCTAACAAACATACTAATTCTGGCGCACTTTCGTTTTCTCAAAGCTGTAGCGGATGATAAACTGAGTGCACTAAAAAGAATGGATAATCTCGTGAAGATACTGATAGACTCAATGAGTCTGATTGCCAACTTCGTACCTTACTCTACTTCAGGCTCAACCCGAGACCTCGACAGCGGTGGAGGCGGTGGTGAGCATGGTTGAGATGAGTGTGCCCACTCATTCTCCACCAGTCACCACATACTCGCCATTGAGAATACCAGCAAATGCTGTCACTCAAGTCTATGCCAGGTTTGTAAATGGCTTTTTATAGCTACTGTAAAAAAGTCAAGTCAGTCAAGTAAAAAAGTCAGTGTCCAGAAAACCAAGTTTTACCAAAGCCAATTTTCCAGAGATGACACTAAAGAACCCCTGCAAATCACCGATTCAAACACGAAAGCGATTGTTAAGACAAAGGTTTGAATTATCTTAAACAAATTTGATTCTCTTGTGCCAAATTTGATTTTTCTGGGCACGCCTGGACCTAGCTTGGTCTTGGTTGCGCCTGGACCTAGCTTGGTCTTGGTCACACCTGGACCTAGCTTGGTTTTGTTCACGCCTGGGCCTAGCTTGGTCTTGGCCCACCTGGACCTAGCTTGGTCTTGGTTGCGCCTGGACCTAACTTGGTTTTGTTCACGCCTGGACCTAGCTTGGTCTTGGCCGCACCTGGGTCTTGCTTGGTCTTGGTCACGCCTGGACCTAGCTTGGCCTTGGTCACACCTGGACCTAGCTTAGTCTTGGTCACGCCTGGACCTAGCTTCGTCTTGGTCACGCCTGGACCTAGCTTGATCTTGCTCTTGGCCTCATTAGCAAACTCTAACCAGTTGTATGATCCAGTTGTTCTTGATCTTTGTTTGTCAGTGAAATTTCTCAAATTTTTAGTCAACTTTTGCACCACCCAGGATAACGCAACGTTTCGATCAGCGGTACACAACTTCGGTACGAGTTTTACAAAAACATCTTTTAATTTTCACTCCAGATTCCGGCCGCTTTCCGTGATCCATCTTGCCGCGATCTTCGCTACTCGTGCGCTTTCTGGTTACAAAACACTCCGCAAGCCTGTGTGACACAAGTTGGTGAAAAACTAAGCAATCATTTGATTCTGGTTACTCTGAAAAGTAAAGTGGAGTGGCAAGAAGCAAGAAAGCGGTCATGATCTGGGTTCTGCCTTGACAAAATTGCCCTTGGAGCCATAGTAGCTGTAAACCAGGACCAGGTTAGAGCTGGGTTCCATCGGAAGCCAGGCCTAGCTTCATGTAGCCCTGTTCCAAGAATTGTTCCATGGTAATTTGGGTTCAGATTGAACCCAAGTCCAGAACTGCTAAGTTCTGGACTTGGGCTAAGTTCTGGACTTCTGCTAAATCTGAGTTCACCAGAAGCAGGATTTAAAAAATATGCATTTATTCACACAAATAATGTGGTACAAACAATACAAAAGCACAATCCCTGGCACTCACTAGAGAAAGGCACCAGGTCAAGGTGACATTTTAATGCGAGAGCCATGGAGCTTTATAGAATCGGCTATGCTGATTCTGAATATGACAAAAAAGCCGGCAAAAGGGCAAAAAAGCTAGCAGGGTCAGCAAAAAAGCAAAATTCAAGGGCAAGCTAAGCCAAAGTTTTAAGACTTAGATATGCCAAATCCGACAATAAAGTTAAAATTCCAAGCCAAGGCCAAAACCAAGTTCAAGGCCAAGGCAAAGGCTAAAGCCAAGTTTAAGGCCAAAGCCAAAGCCAAGTCTAAAGCCAAGGCCAAAGCCAAAGCCAAAGCCAAAGCCGAGGCCATACCAAAGCCTTGATTAGCCTTGGCTTTTAGTTTTTGTTAACCCTGATCAGAAGTCAGGGTTAGATTTGCCCAGGGCCACGTTTTAACACATTCACGACGATAGCGCCGTAGTAATAACGACTATTTTTGGTGTCAACTCTAAGGACTTTTATGATTCTCATTTCTCAGAAAGTTCTCAATAACTTTGTGCTATTTTTCAAGAGGAGATTCAGGGCTATCGAACGAGTACAATAGTCTAGTTTATCTTTGAATTTTCACCAAATTCTCAGCAAAACATTAAACAACTACACGACTTTACGCTCAAAATGGTATTGAATGTGTTAAAGTTGGAACTTGAAACATTACTATTAAATATTTATTCAATATTTTCAGCGTTCTTTCATGCGAGCGCAATGCGCTTACACTTGCCATTTTTGTCAACCAACTGCCTCTCTACTCATCGCTGGACCATTTCTCGAAAATTAAAAGAATTCAATAGAAATATTCGGATATATTTATCTATTAGAATCTAATTTTAATATATATGTCGTAACCGTTTAGGCTTAGGCTTAGGCCAAATTCAGCTGCTAACAAATCATTCGGCTAGTCGATTACGAATGATTCGTTAACGGCTGGCCGATTGATTCCCAAGAGTTTTTGAAGAAATTTCTTAAGCGAGTTGTTACTGGAACGAGGTTTTAAGCAAGTTTTTGCTTTAAGAACATTCCAAAGATTGAAATCCTTTGCATGCAAGCCTTGAGGGACTTGAGGCTGACGATTAAAGGTAATCGGGAAAATACTGCTTGACGTCAGTCTGTGCTCAAAACCGTATTCCTGAGCCTGAGCTAGACAAAGCTAGTCTAGCTCTATCATAAGCTAGTTAGCCTAGGCCTAAGCCTAAGCCTAAGCCTAGGCCTAAGCCTAAGCCTAGGCCTAAGCCTAAGCCTAAGCCTAAGCCTAAGCCTAGGCCTAAGCCTAGACCTAAGCCTAGGCCTAAGCCTAAGCCTAAGCCTAAGCCTAGGCCTAAGTTCCAAAGCACAAGGACAATCGGGTGTCCCTTAGCTCCGGGAACTGGCTGAGATCCAGAAAATGGGGGTTCAGCCCAAACCCAAATAGACTTAGTGCGAGGCGCTAGCCTCTAGCCTCCGCACTAAGTCCAAGCCTACGAATCAATCGGCTAGCCGCTAACAAATCATTCGCTAACGGCTAGCCGATTACGAATGATTCGTTAACGGCTAGCCGATTACGAATGATTCGTTAACGGCTAGCCGATTGATTCCCAAGTCAAAGCCTAAGCCTAGACCTAGGCCTAAGCCTAAACCTAAACCTAAGCCTAGGCCTAAGCCTAAGCCTGAGCCTAAACCTAAGCCTAAACCTAAGCCTAAGCTTACGAATGATTCGTTAGCGGCTAAATTTCGTAAACGGCTACGACATATATATATATAAATTTGTAATTTATGTACTTTTACGGGTTTTTCACGAATTTCTCTCGTTGTTCTTCAAAAACTCTCTTTTTTTTAGTCAAATAGATTGGCTTTAGAATTTTGTTAGATTTTTAAAAAATATTCTAAATCTTATTGTATTTTATCTAAATTTACATTTAAAAATCGATTTTTAAGTTTTCTTTTAAAAATTTTTGCTTTGCTCAACTTTTAGCTCATTTTTTGTCTCTCAAAATTTTCATTTTCGAGAAAAATCTCAAGTACAAATAAATTTACATTTTAAATTTTGCATTTAAAAATAAATATTAAAAGGTTTACACACGTTTCCACGGTTTTATGCAGCTTTTTTAATGATATTCAGTTGAAAGAGAGAAATTCCGATGGAGTGAAAATTATCGACTTTTTTTCATTCGGCAGATCATTCGAACCATCGAATTTTACGATCAAACTACGGAAATTTACAAAAGTTAAAGCTTGGGTGAAGCTTTTTAAATGGTTAGAAAAATTTCTTAAAGCTAAAGCTTTGTTTTCCTATGAGTAATCACTTCGAACGGCCTTTCTTTTCTTGTCAGCGCTTTACTTGTCATCGCTTTTCTTATCATCGCTTTTCTTATCAGCGCTTTACTTACCAGCGCTTTACTTGTCAACCCTTTTCTTATCAATTTAAACGTTTCTTGTTGTTCAATAAATTTCTTTTAGTTTAAAATTTTTTTGGTACAGAATTTTGGTATGAAATGTCTTGAATATCGGGTAATTATGGCCTGTATATATAAAAGGAAAATTTCTGTCCGTCCGTCCGTCCGTCTATACGCGCGATTTCTCGGCTTCCTATGGGAAAAATCATTAATAATTATGTTAAATTTTTAAAATTAGAAAGATTGGATAAAAAGAAAAAAAATTAGAGCAAAAAAACTGTTTGTTCAAGAGGAAACTTTGAGGGCCCATAATTTTTTTTCTTTTTATCAAAACTTTCTAATTTTAAAAATTTAACATAATTATTAATGATTCTACGTTGAATGATAACAAATACTTGATGGTTGGACGCTCCTAGACCCACTCATGCATAATCGGCTAGGGGGGTCCCGCCGATTTTGAATGAAACGTTGTAGCGCCGGCAATTTTTAACCTAAACTCACAAATTTGGTACCAATCGACGCAGAATTTAATTCGCTACAGGATGATATAATATTGTCCGCATACGTTAAAGGGTTGCTCTACTAGAAAGATTTACCAAAAAATTTCATTCATAATCGGCTACGACATATATACAGGGTGCGCCATAATTACCAGCACAAGATATTCAAGACATTTCATACCAAAATTCTGTACCAAAGAAATTTATTGAACCATAAGAAACAAGAAAACAAGAGCCTATCCAATATATCCTCCTTTTGCTTTAATAACAGCCTTCAAGCGATTCGGGTAAGACTACACGGCGGCCCGAATGTGACTTTGAGGAATTTCTTTCCATGCTTTGGTCAAAGACTTCTTCAAAGCATCCAAACTTGTGTGTTTTCGAGGGCAAGCATTGGCCTCTAAGATACTTCAAATGGAAAAATCCCCTTACGTTGAGATCGGATGAGTTCGGGGGCCACTCATTGGCGGTGATCACGTTGGGGAAATTGACCCGAATGTGCCCGGCCCGAATGTGAAACTTTTCACAATGAAAATGATCTCCAAAATACTCCAAAAGTCAGCTTTTTCATTGAGGCTTGATCTCGGAAAATGATATCAAAATTTCACTCAAACACTTTTTGCTGATCGTCACCCAAATTTCCATAATCCTTTTCGCATTTCGAACCGGGTTCACCGCCGAATATTTCATTTCAATCTACTGATGTTATTTAGTAACTCTGAACATTTCTGAAAAAAGATATACTTTGTGATCTGATATCAATTCGATATTCATCTATTCAACAGAAAATTTCTCGCTTTAGCCTATTTTCCGAATGGATGAGGATCTTCTGGGTGAGGGTTTTTTGATCAGAAATAAAGTAAAGGAAAGTAAAGGAAAGTAAAGGAAGTAAATTAAAAGGTAGTAAAGGAAGTAAATTATATAGAGTTTTTGTCTATTATCTAAATTTAGATATAAAGTAGATAAAGTATTCTTTATTAAACAAACAAAAAACTCTAGATGATACGAATTAAATAAATGGGATTACGTTTGAAGTTAAATCGTTTAAATTGTTGATTTAACAAAGATTTCGATCTGATAGACTGAATTAGTTCAATCTGACAGACTGAATTCTAGCGCAACAACTCTAAATTCTAATCCTGTAAGAACTAGACAATCTCGACAATCTCTAGACAATGTAGCAATCTCGTCTAGTTATCACAGATCATGTTATTGACTAAACTTTAAGTTCTGATGAAGATCTATAGTCTTTAAATCTGTTCAGTAAAGATTTGCTACAAGTAAAGCTACTTTGTTACAAGTAAAGGCTTTACTTGTACTTGAAAATACTTGAAAATATTAGGTACATGCATAAGAAATACGGATTTCAACATTTTCATAAATTTCCAACGATAGAAACCTGATATCGATGAATGTTTTGATGATGAATGTTATAAACTATTTGAAAGTTGTACATCTCCCCTACAAAATAGGCTATCTGTAGAGAAGAAAAGGAACCAAATCTGTAGAGAAAAGGAACCAAATCTGTAAAGAAAAGGAACCAAATCTGTGCCGAAAAGGAATCAAATCTGTAGAGAAAAGGAACCAAATCTGTACCGAAAAGGAACCCAATCTGTACATCTCCCCTACAAAATAGGCTATCTGTAGAGAAGTAAAGGAACCAAATTTGTAGAGAAAAGGAACCAAAAAGGATAAGTGGCTCGATTTCCCCCAATCGCAACTTTCTCTTGCTCCTTTTCGCTACTCCTTTTCTGCGATGGCAAAATTGAAGAGGCAAATAAAATTTACGACAAAATCATACGAACCGATGCCTATTTTGCTGCCGAAGAGAAAAGGAACCAAATCTGTATCGAACAGGAAACAAATCTGTACCGAAAAGGAACAAATCTGTAGTGAAAAGGAACCAAATCTGTAGACAAGAAAAGGAGCGAAATGTGTAGAGAAAAGGAACCAATTCTGTAGAGAAAAGGAACAAATCTGTAGAGAAGAAAAGGAACCAAATCTGTACCGAACACGAACCAAGTCTGTACCGAACAGGAACCAAATCTGTAGAGAAGAAAAGGAACCAAGTCTGTACCGAACAGAAACCAAATTTCTACCGAAAAGGAACCAAATCTGTAGAGACAACGTGTTTCAATTGATCGAAGCATTGAAGAAATTTCGGGAGCGAGTGAGTGACCAAAAGAAGGAATCGAGTCACTTTAGGGACAAGTTTAGTGTGGTCAAAATAGAGTTAGCTTCCCAAAATTGAAGATTTAAAAAGAAAGGATAACTATTCATTAAAAAAAGACTAACGGAAATGCATTTACAGAAATTTAGATAGAGCGTAAGTTCAAAACCCTCAAAATTATCAAAAAAAACCGGCTTTTTCACAAAAAAGAAAAATTATTGTAAAAAGAAAGTTTTCCCGTGAAATGATCCCAACTCTTAATTATTTTGAATGATATTTTGGATGATATTTTGTATGATATTTTAAGGCGCTCATTTTCCACTATATAATCAAAACCAAACTCTTGTGAAACTGGGGTTTGATCACACTAAACCTGTCCCTAAAGTGACTCGATTCCTTTTTTTGGTCACTCACTCGCCCTCGAAATTTCTTCAATGCTTCGATCAATTGAAACACGTTGTCTCTACAGATTTGGTTCCTTTTCGGTAGAGATTTGGTTCCTTTTCTTCCCTACAGATTTGGTTCCTTTTTGGTACAGATTTGGTTCCTTTTCGGTACAGATTTGGTTCCTTTTCTCTACAGATTTGGTTCCTTTTCTTCTCTACAGATTTGGTTCCTTTTCGGTAGAGATTTGGTTCCTCTTAGGTACAGATTTGGTTCCTTTTCGGCACAGATTTGGTTCCTTTTCGGCACAGATTTGGTTCCTTTTCTTCTCTACAGATTGGGTTCCTTTTCTCTACAGATTTGATTCCTTTTCGGTATAGATTTGGTTCCTTTTCTCTACAGATTTGTTTCCTTTTCTCTACAGATTTGGTTCCTTTTCTCTGCAGATTTGGTTCCTTTTCTTCTCTACAGATAGCCTATTTTGTAGAGGAGATTTACAACTTTCAAATAGTTTATAACATTCATCGATAGGTTTCTATCGTCGGAAATTTATGAAATCCTCATTTCTTATGCATGCACCTAATATTAGCTTGGTACATAAATGTTTACAATTTTTTTTTTCAAACTTTTCTTTCCATAGAATCCTTTCCCAAATTTAAATCCTTTGCTATTAAAAGATCTATAATTTCTTTAGAAAATAGCTTTTGAAGGAAAGCTCAAAGTTCGCCTCTACTCGGTAAAAACTCATTTTTAAGTAAAATTTTCAATTGCTGTTTTAAAGAAAATAGGTGGATGGATCGTTTTCAAATTTGGTCCAGAATTATGTAATCAAATAAACTCTTCTTTTTTACTTTAACACCAAAATAGGTTTGTATTGAAGAAAGTGTTCAAATTGGAGCAGTTTTGGGAGCAGTTTCGGCATTAGAGCAGTTTTGGGTGCTCGGCTTTGTCCCTTTAAAAATCCATAAAAACAACAATTTTCAAGAATTTTCTAAAAGCCATTTCACAGAGAAACAATAAAGCTTTTTAATAGTTTAAATAGAAATTTTGTTGATAGCGAAATAGAAATAGAAATAGAAATAAAATAGAAATAAAATAGAAATAGAAATAGAAATGAAATAGAAATGGAATAGAATGTCAGCTCCGAGCCAAACTGATATTTTAGTTACTATTGTTATTATTGAATGATTTGTCTATTCTTATGTCCTCCCCTGTGCTTATCCCTTTTATTGCCGAGAAGGGGCGGTCCTTGGGATTGCCTAGAAGGACAGTGAGGAGCCTAGAAGGACAGTGAGGAGCCTAGGAGGACAGTGAGGAGACTAGGAGGACAGTGAGGAGCCTAGGAGGGCAGTGAGGAGCCTAGAAGGACAGTGAGGAGCCTAGGAGGATAATTGAGACTCCCATTTGGAGTCCCCCCTTCCCCTTACACTCATTTGTAATCTATTCATCTTATTATACTACTGTAAATAAAGATACGTATCTTCCTGGTCTATGCAACTGCAGTAAAGGTCGGTCATTTCACAGGGACTCCCCTCTAATACGTTGGAGGAGTTGAGTTGGGTTGTCGGGGTGTTAGAGATGGCGGGATGTCAAAAGGGATCCACTCTCTTTAACTTAATCCAAATTCTAGTCCACATCCGTTTATACCTAGGAACGAATAAGAAATAGGAATAGAAATAGTAATAGTAATAGTAATAGTAATAGAAATAGCAACAGAAATAGCAACAGAAATTCAGAAATTTGAAAAGACGTTTGGAAAACAAATTGTAAAGGCTTATGCACGAAAGTAATACTTGCAATCTAGTAAAAATAACTTTCTGCTTACAATTAGTGATCATATGTGAAAGGTAAATGAACTGAACACTTTTTAGGAGTTCTCATTGTGCTCGGGATCCTCGGAGTCGGAGGAGTCGGCGCGGTGATTTTGCTTGTTTTGGTGAGTCGAGCAAATCGAATTTTTGCCAGATCTTTGTCCAAAAGTTAGCAAGATAACAACAATTATTTGCTTTACTCACTGCCACACTGCCACTGACACTGCTTCAACTACTTAGACACTGCTTCAACTACTTATAGAGCCATCTACGTTTTTTACGACTTAGTAGTGACTTTTGAAATCAATGAAATTCAGTTTTGGCTAGTAGCTTTGGCTAACTCATTCAAGCATGGATATTGAATTTTGCTTTAACTTTGCTCGACTATTAACAGCTGGAAAGAGTAATCGGGAAATTGCTCGACTTCTGAATTGAAGTCGTCACCTCATCGATTTGTCATTTAACTTGTTTACTTTTTATTCTTATCAAACTTTTCTTAATAGTTTTTGAGTTTTTGAGTGGTTGGAGTTGGAGTACATCGTAAACTAGTTGAAGTACATCGAAAACTAGTTGGAGTACATCAAAAACTAGTTGAAGTACATCGAAAACTAGTTGGAGTACATCGTAAACTAGTTGGAGTACATCGAAAACTAGTTGGAGTACATCGAAAACTAGTTGGAGTACATTGAAAATTAATTTGATCCAACTCATTCGAATTTCTTTACTTTTACTTTAAAACCTTTCAATTTTCAGTATGCCGAGCCGGTGCGAAAATTTTTGCGCTTTCGAAAACACGACGAAGAAGACCCAGAAAAGGGCGAGGAAACTCCACAACAAAGAAAAAAGACGATAAAGAGGACACACATCGTTGTGGCACAGGGGAAAAATGTTTTTGAAATTGGTTTGTTCAAACAATTCTTGTCAGATCTCTCTCAAAATCTCAGATCTCAGATTCTCATTTTCAGATGAAGTGAACAAATCCGTGAGAAAAGTGACGGCACCGGCGAGAAAACTGACTGTTGCCGTTCATCCAATGTCCAACACTGGGTCAACGTCTCTCCCGAGTTCACCGATGAAAAAAGAGGCACCCGTGAACATTGCCGATTTAGAGCACGGAAAAGTGGAGAGGTTCGACTGAATCAAAGCTAGACTCTTCAAAATAGACTTGCTTATCGAATCTAGGCAGTCTTATCTTAAGCAAATCTTATTTTCTTTTTTTTACAAGCTCTCTAGATCTAATTCTCGAAAGTCTAGATTTTCAGCTTCATTTTGAGTTTTACGTATTATAGTTAAATCAGTACTCGCTAAGGACAAGCTACCAAATTCTAAGAGTTCATTCGAATCTAGTTTTGTAAGCCTGGTAGCCTGCTAGATTACCGTCTAGGTCTGCTAGGCTCTTATCGTCTAGGTCTGCTAGATTATCGTCTGCCAGGATTGATCGTCTGCCTAAGCCTAAGCCTAAGCCTAGACGTTTCTGGCAGTTCCTAGATCCAACTGAGACTGAGACAGGCTGCGAAATCACTTAAACAAGTCTAACATTACCTTTTCAAAATGTCTAGAACCTGTTCTGCGCCAGCCCATGAGCCAATGGATAACGCGAGTTCGGTTTCGGGTTCGGGATTGTCGAGTAAAAGAGGGATCTTGAGACCTCTTGTACATCATCAACAATCCCAACAAACGAACCATCCACCGAGAAAACAAACCGTTCTCATCATCAGTGAAGGGAATCGTTATCGGGTTAGTTTGTTTTCATTTTATCAGGTATTAAAGGATGCAAGTATCTCAGCTTACTAGTGTCTCGATTCAACAGGATGTAAAATATGCATAAAAATTGATCTCACAGGATTGCGCATAGTGACGCGCAAAGCGGCGAATTCCGCCCAATCGTCCGCCGCTCCTTCCCCGGATTCCCAAAGGATGCCAAATTCCGAACTCAAAATCCCCAACTCAAAAACCTCAAAAAGATTTGGAACTCTAGATTTGGAACTCTAGATTTGGATCTCTAGATTTGGATCTCTAGATTTGGATCTCTAGATTTGGATCTCTAGATTTGGATCTCTAGATTTGGATCTCTAGATTTGGATCTCTAGATTTGGATCTCTAGATTTGGATCTCTAGATTCGGAACTCTTGATTTGGATCTCTAGATTTGGATCTCTGGATTTGGATCTCTAGATTTGGAACTCTAGATTCGGAACTCTAGATTCGGAACTCTAAATCCCAAATTCCGTATTTCAAATGCGAAATTCATTTGGAAAAGCTAATTTTCTCGAGGATCTACCGCCTATCTATCGCGAACGTGTGCCAGATGGAGGACGATTGTGCGAGTATCTTTCTCGAGTATCTTATCTATCGCGAGCTCGGAACTTGCAGTATCTTTAAAACTAATTGGTCAGGCCAAAGAACAACTCGCTAGTCATTTACCTATCTTGCTTTTGCTTTGTAGATGGCACAAAAAGATATTCAGCTGTGAACCCTTGAGTTATCGGAGTCGGCGGATCGATTGACGGTATTCATTTCAGTGAGTCTACCAATGAGAGCTCGGAACTTGCAGCATCTTTAAAACTAATTGGTCAGGCCAAAAGACCTGGAACTTGCAGTATCTTTAAAAAGAAGAGATCAAACAAACTGTAAGAAATAAAAAGATATTCAACTGGATACCTTTCTATTCTTTCTATTCAACATTCTCTTCTTTACCTTATTGAAATAATACAATGTTTTCCAGAAATTCACCTCAAACACGCCCTCGTTGCCGAACTCGCCCGAAACCGAGGTGAACTATTTGCCCGGCTACCGTCCACCATCGGATCGACGAAGTAGCTGTTCTTGAGTCCTCTTATCTCTTGTAAAAATACCCTTCCTGGTATACTTCATCTTTAGCTTTCATTTAGCATAAAGTAAACACTTCATTCGCATCAACTTTTACTTCATAATGTTTCTTGTACTTTGTTTCTTTGTTACAATTTTTTTTTTGCCAAACTATACATGTTTACAATTCTTCATCCATATCTGATGAAAGAAAAACATTTTATTTTTTTGTTTTATTCATTGTATATTGCGAGGAGAAACACCAAAAGAATGGCGGATTTCAATGGGTGATCAGCGCTGAATTTGCATCTTTTTATACTTGATTTAGTCTTGTGATAGATTTTGCTTTTAATAAAATGAAATTTTCTAACCAAATTCAAGCAGAATCATTTCTTACAATGATATTAGAAGAATTGGGCGTCGAGTTACAGTCGAAAAATCGAGTTTTCACCATAAAATTGAAAGTGCTGATGGAAATTTTTAAACACTTTCATTTTAGCTTTTAAAACTTCTTGAAAACTATAAGTTGTCTATAAAAATAACGATCGAATCAAGTCTAACCCATTAACATCCTAATAAATGTCTATTTTTGCTTTGTTTGGTAACCGAAACCATTTTAATCCACTTACCCCTTAGTCGTTGAATCGATCGACAATCTGGTGCTACTTGGTGAGTCATTTTGTGTCGGTTCGGGTTCAGTTGGGGATACAGCAGTCGGCTGACTTGTTGAACTCTTTACCGCCCTTTCCGCAGTGGTCACACTCGTTTTTTTCGTGGTTGAAGTAGTGGATGGTGCTTTTGTGCTCGTCGTCATCGTCGTTGTGGTCTGGTGCCAGTCTTAATTTCTTTATGACTGGACTTCGTTGATACCTTTCTTAGGATTGATAGAATTATGAATTTCTTATTGTTCGAATCATCATCAAATTCTTTTACAATACAGCGTTTACCTTTACAAATCTCTAGCATAGCTTTTGTGATGTTAAACGAGTTGTTGTCGAGTCCGGCCGATAAGGATATCTGCGAGACTTCCGCCAGATCATTGACACCTGAGATTGCAAGATTGCATTGACTTTTTAAAACCAACCCGTCAGTCCAACGCCAATGATTTTCTCGTGTAGCTGCGCTTTGACAGTGGTACTGCGAATGATTTCCTGAGGGCTAAAGATTTTGATCAAAGTTTTAATAGTCGTTGATAGCTACAGTAAGCCTTGTGCCAATCCAGGCTGTCTCAGATTTTGCACTTACATTATCTTTCCTTAAAGTGCCATGCCTGGAGCCAGGTCTAGAGCCAACCAGCTCCAGAGCCAACCAGCTCCAGAGCCAACCAGCTCTAGAGCCAACCAGCTCTAGGCTCCGGTGGCTTTAGTTAACTTCTGAGCTTCAGCTTCTTTTGGCTTCAGGTCTACAGTAAACCATAGCCAAATCAGAACCAAACAGAACCAGAGAAAATCGATGCCAAAGCCTACCTTGCACTGAATATTACAAAGAACGTGTCCATCGGCCGATCCACTTCCAACATAGTATTTAATCTAAAAGTTATAATAGCTAAAATATAAGTTAGAAAAGTTAGATCTAAGGATATTATATAAATTCACATATCAAATCCTTCATAGAACGTGAAAGGCGGTGCGGTGGCTCCCATGAGATTGTCGGAGAAAGCGGCGTAGGGAAAAAACTCGTGGGGAATCGGTCCGTTTGCCCAATTGGCGCCGATTGACCACCAATTGTACACTCTAGATAAAAAACTTGTGGATTTAACCGGTTTCCCATTTTCTCAAAAACACACCTCTTTTAGAAAACCCTTTTAGAAAACCGTAATCAAGCTGCCAGTTTCATTTGATCAGCCTAATTTTGGTATCATTCGATGAGGAGCCCCAAGACTCCGTCAATAATACCAAAATCAGGCTGATTAAATGAGAACTGGCGGTTGGGTTACGGTAGTTTTTTTAAAATAAATGCCAAAACAGATAACTCACGTACCCTTTGAGTTCCTCAGTCAAATTTTGCTTTTGGTCATATGCGTTTGAGGCTGTTTGAGCGAGTTTCTTTTGCATTGTGGCTGGGAACTAAATCTTAAGAATATTTTTAAATTAAAAAACAGTAAAAGATAGAACAGCTATGTTGGAAAAAAACTAGTAGCATTTTGAATAAAAAAAATCAAAAAATGTGTTTTTTCATTTTTTTTGTACGGAAACCTAAGCTGAAACCATGTTTTTCGGAATCAGCGTTGAAAATTACCCTAGAAAACGCAAAACTCGTTATTTTAGCAACATTTTTTCGAAAAAACTGTCGCACGCCGGAGTCGAACCTCGACCCTCAGATCAGAGCTTTCAGAGCTCTTTCAGCTTTCATTTTTTTTTTGATCTGAGGGTCGAGGGTTCACTTTTTCCACTTTTTCCACTTTTTCAGCAAGAACGGTTTAATTCCCAGCGGTTTCTTGATGCTTTCAGAAACACGAATCGATCAAACGCTTGGAATAAAGCTGAGCTGCTGGAAAAGATTGACTTCCAGCTGAACTGCTGGAACAAATTGATTTAAACGAGGGAATGAGTTTGCCGACAGCGACGTTCAAAATAATGGATTAATTTTTCGTAAGCGATTAATTGTAAACTAATTGTAAACTAATTGTAAACGAAAATTGTTAACTTTTTGTTGTTATTTTATTATTTTTGTTTTTATGGAAGCAGTTAAATTTTGCTAACATTTTAAGCTGGCATACTGGATTTGTGGTCTACTTCAAAGTGGGATTTGTGGTCTGCTTCAAAGTGATCTACTTTGAGCTCCAAAGTGATGTGCTTTGAGCTCCTGCAGTGTCCGTAAACATCTAGAGCACTCACACTACATCTAGAGCACTCACACTACATCTAGAGCACTAACATTAAATCTAGAGCACTCACACTGCATCTAGAGCACTCAAACTCCATCTAGAGCACTCAAACTCCATCTAGCGCACTCACACCACATCTAGTGCCCGCACACTACATCTAGAGCACTCACACTACATCTAGTGCCCGCACACTACATCTAGTGCCCGCACACTACATCTAGTGCCCGCACACTACATCTAGTGCCCGCACACTACATCTAGAGCACTCACACTACATCTAGAGCACTCACACTACATCTAGTGCCCTCACAATCGGGTATTTTGCATTGTTACGCCAAGAAAGATGGATAATTAAGTGCACCACGTGGATGCGTTTACACTTTGGAGCACAAAGTGCACAATGGGACGAGAATTGCAAAGATTTACCCCATTCTCAGTCGCGTACTCCGAGAAATCGAAGATGAAGAGAAAATTGCATTGTGCTCGTGCAAAAATGTCAATCGGAAAGAAAACTTCACTCGATTTTATGCCAAGAATAGCAAGACATAAAAATGACAGAATTTTCATGATTGTTTACAAAAAAATGAACGCTCAACTCATGAATAGTCTTTTTCCTTTTGTTGATGCCTTGCTTATCTTCAAGAAAAGCTTTCTTTTCAAATTTTCGTTGAGAAAACTGCTAAAATAAGAGGCTTTATTGCTAATGATTCACAAAAATTAGCCTAACTGGAGAAATCAGAAAAGTTTAGAGGATTAAGCTTTGCGCTAAGCTTTGCGCAATTCTTTATTCTAGATGGACTCAGGTGTTCCAGCTTAATTTCATTTTTTGAAAGCTTAAACAGCAAACAGCTTAAACATTGCAAGATCTAAAGTCTTTTGAAAAAAAACTTTAATCTGTTAAAGATGGCTTATAGCCAAATGGCTATAAGCTTTTTCTGTTGACTTTGCAATTTCTCTAGAAACTCTGGAAAAAGCGATTTGGTTTATTAAAAGATAGAAAACCGAAAAACCGAAAAAAACAGTAATCTTTACTTTCAGACTTTGTCCGATTCATTTTCATTTTTACTTTATTTGGCAGTCAGTTTGGCAGGCATCAAAGAATGAATTGAATTGGATCAAAAGTCCATAGAACGGGAAAAATGAGAAGGAAAGCTTACCGTAGTTTAAATAAATTACTCATCTTTTTAAAAACGCTTTTTAGCTTATGATGGTTGATGATGGCCACTCGTTAAAATCGATAAATTCGGGGAAATTCTGCTTGCATCAATCTAGAATGAGCTTTTTGTACGAGTGCTCCGCAAATTCTGATCGTCCTGTTGAATCGTCCAAATTCTGATCGTCCTATTGAATCGTCCAAATTCTGATCGTCCTATTGAATCGTCCAAATTCTGATCGTCCTATTGAATCGTCCAAATTCTGATCGTCCTATTGAATCGTCCAAATTCTGATCGTCCTGTTGAATCGTCCAAATTCTGATCGTCCTGTTGAATCGTCCAAATCCTGCTTTTTAGCTAATGTATATATTTCTTGCTTAAGCATATCCAAATAATGAGTGACATTCTAAAGCTATTCAAGCAAGCAAAAGTGAGGCTTTTTTTGTTCATTTATTCACTATTCTTCACATAAAAAAGTTAGCAAAAAATCTAAAATTGTTGTGCAAAGTGCAAAAACATCTTTTTGTTGTTTGTCAAGACACAAATAATACTTTCGCCCAATCACGTGTCGTCCAACTTCGGTAGGTCCGTGCAAAGTCAAGGCGCTGCTTCCGGTGCTTAGAATTTGTCAGAGGTTTACGGGCAGCCCTTCTTGCATATAATCCAGCTTGATTTAATCGTCGTCGGATCGTTTCCGGCGATACAACCTTGTTAAATTGATCCCTCATCATTTGGCTTCCATCGGTCCAGTTTTTTTAGGATCGTTTTTCACTCGCCGGCCCACAACTGTATGTCAAAAGGAGCCAAAGGAGTACGTGAAAGAATTGCAAGAATTTTTGGAACAAATCTTATATCTGTCTTACTTTGGTAAATGATAAAACTCTCTAATAGTATTGTGGTCCAGGAGGGGGTTCAAAACTAGTAGTGCGCACTACTATTAGAGAGAATATGGTAATCGAGAAAAAATATAAAAGAGCATTTGGCTTTCTTGATCGTGTTTTTGAATAAAGAACTGATGAGCCAATATTTCGAAGAAAAAAAAACAGGGCGTGCCCTCACTAAATGTAAACAAAATACCGGAACTTTGCTGATGGAGTCAAGACTTAGGCTGCAGCCTAATATAATCAATAAATTGATTAGTCCTAATGGTTATTATATTAGGTTGTCCAATAAGTAATGCGTGTTACTTATTTCGAGACTATTGCGAAATCGCTTCGAGCAAATATATGCTCTTTTTAATCATCAGCATCTTGTGTTTATTTTTCTATATTATTTTATTCATTTGCCTTTGTTTTATAATAGATATATTGTTTTGCAGATGAAAGACAAAAAGTTTGTTGTCCGCGCATCAATGCTGTATGATTTCAAACGAGGTAAAACTGCAGCGGATTGCCATAGAACTATCTGTGCCGCATTTGGAGAGGATTCAATTTCAATCAGCCAGTGCCAGCGCTGGTTTAAACGATTTGCGGACGGAAACGAGTCAAAAGTGTTGACGAGGTGCAAAAATGGCTCGACGATTTCTTCTCATCGAAACCAGCTTCATTCTATTATGACGGACTTCACTCTTTGCTCGGACGATGGAGAAATGTTGTTGATTGTTGTGGAGAATATATCGATTAATAAAGTTCTCTTTTGTTAATTTTGTGATATTTTGAAAATCGTGTCAAAACACGCATTACTTATTGGACAACCTAATATTATAAATATTACTAAAGGAAAAAAGGCTTAGTGTAAAAATCAGGTTTTTTTGCCATAATAAATAATAAATTGTGGAAAATCCTAGAAGTATATGTAGTCATCCTTATCAAATTTTGGCCAGTCTCTATCCCCATCATCTTTCCCTTTATCATTCTTTTGCGAATCGTGTTAGTAGGGTTTGGAATAAGCTCCCGTCTGGTATCTTTTCGTCTGAAGGAAAATTTAAATTATCTGTAAACGAATTAGAAACATTTAAAATTTGCGACACCTTTTCTCTAAGTCATTCTCTATTAAAACAAAAGTCCTCGTTTTCTTTAGTTATATTTTTTCTTTTACCCAATGCATAATTCTTTGAAGATGCAAAAATTCGAGAGCTCTGCAAAAAAAGGAGGCTAAAACTCGATGATTTCTCAACTTGACCACTCTATTCTTTCCTGGTTTCGATAAATGACTTTCTTTAATGATCAGCGGAATATCCCAACCACTTTATCGGTTTTGTTTAGCAGGGCCGCGCGAACGCAGCCCCTCACGCAAAAATTTAGCTGTTAGCGAATCCCAACTCGGGACTGCCACACAGGTCAACCCAGCCTAAAGTGCAATGGCCGAGCCTCGCCATGGGGGTCCCGTCTTGATGATCACGAGAGCCCCCCAGCCAGGTAAGTTTATGAGGGGAGAATGGGTGTGGGTTATGGAAAGAGCGGATGCCAGATGGGATACGATTGCGTGGGCATGCAAAGAGCGCACAAAGAGTGCACAAAGAGCACGGGAAAGAGAAAGAGATGGGCTGGTGAAAAGAGAGGTGAAACGTGAAAGAGAATTTTGATTCATTTTCAGAAAATGAATAATTTAAGGATAATAAGCGAACGAATAATAAGTGCATCTTTCTCTAGCCATCTCGATCGAGTAAGAGAAGTAGACGAGTTAGAATTTAATTAATTTTCGAAAATATTAACTCTATTTGAAGTCTTTGCTCTCATTGCTTTTTGCTCTCTAGCTTCAAAGGCTTCTAATCGAAATATTCAATTCTTTTTCTATATTCTATATTTCTAATTCTAATTTTATATTTCAAAAGCTTTTTGGTGCCTTTTTTTGAGTTCTTTTGATGTTCAGGCTTTCAGCAATAAAAGATAAGCGTTTTTTGCGTTGATCAAAATTTCGTTAACTTTAGAAATAAAGAAAACTACTTTTTTGATCATATAAATGCTTTTATAAGACTAATAAAGTGAATGGAATGCTTAAAACGCTTAGAAAGAGCTGTTTTTGACATAAACTTTTATTCTTGACTTGGCTTTTGATTGAATTCCCGTTGTTGGCAATTTTCCAGTTTTTTGCTTATGCCATTTTTTCAAATAGATATTAGCTAGACGCTCTATACTTTCATATTATATTTGATTTTTACTAATTTTTACAAATTTAACAATATTTTCCGGTACAAAATGCAATACGAAAAGTTTCGACTTCGAGCCGCTTTGTGGTATGTTTTTAAATAAGGGAAATCGACGAGCTTGGTTGGAAACTTCTGCCCCCACGCACCTCATAGTCCGGACCTGGCCCCATCAGATGTCCGGACCTGGCCCTATCAGAGGTCTGGACCTGGCCCTATCAGAGGTCTGGACCTGGCCCTATCAGAGGTCTGGACCTGACCCCATCAGATCTCAACTTGATCACTTGGTGGTTTCGAGAAATGGCTATTTTTAATCATCCCAACCACTTAATCGCTTTCTTTAGCAGGGCCGCGCGAACGCAGCCCCTCACGCAAAAATTTAGCTGTTAGCGAATCCCAACTCGGGACTGCCACACAGGTCAACCCAGCCTAAAGTGCAATGGCCGAGCCTCGCCATGGGGGTCCCGTCTTGATGATCACGAGAGCCCCCCAGCCAGGTAAGTTTATGACGGGAGAATGGGTGTGGGTTATGGAAAGAACGGGTGCCAGATGGGATATGATTGCGTGGGCATGCAAAGAGCGCACCAGGAGTGCACAAAGAGCGAGTGAAAGAGAAAGAGATGGTGGAGAGTCTTTTGAATAGAATCCCTAGCCGATTCTTGTCATTTTGCCACTCAACAAACAAAAGAACTTTTATTATACACTAAATAATCCAAACTGAGTTGAAATCATAAGCCAATGAACATTCGTTTTTAGTTTTCTAGCGTTGAATAGTGCGGAAAATGAAACTTCTGTCGATTTTAAGACGCTTGTGAATCTCCGAGACTCCTAGCTTGTACATCAGCATGATCGACGATGATCGATTGTCATTAGCTGCAGCATGATGATCGATTGTCGATGGGGATTCTCCAATCATTCTAAAAAACACATTTTATATGAGAAAAGTTTCAATTATATTCCAAATATAATAAAAACACAAAAAAAACCCAGAAAAGAAGCTGAAATCAATAGATTATTGTCCTTGAAGGCGCGCGATACTGTTGCAACAATTATGGCGCACCCTGTACAATCTATGATATGAGGAAATTTTGATAATCGTCGATTTGTCGCCTGGTATATACGAAATATGAAGCCAAAATCGCATCCAAAAGGTGACGATCCGCTGCTCTTCTAGTATACGGCGTCATGGCGCGATGGACGTCAGCTTCAGGCAATCCCTCAATCACCAGGTGGTAATCGTTTCCGAGTTTCTTCGCGAGATCAACATCCTCGAAGGGCGGGGGCAGCTTCATTGTTTCAATTGGCGGAAGTGGGTGATATGGATGGCGGACGAGAATGCCGGCATGCTTTCCCTTGTCGTATCCTTTTGCGCAGCCATGCCAACAGTCGTTTCAGAGGCACTCACATTGACACCAGTCACATGCAGGGCTCCAACCTGGTCCTGAGGTACACTCCTTGTCGTATTCAGGTCGAGGTGTGGAAGGGGATCATGTTGAGTTGAAGGAAATGTCTCCTGCCTCTTGCTCTTGTAGCGACTTGGGTCCGAGCGTCGAATCACAATGAACCGAGCGTACCAGGGTAGAGAATCCTTCTTAACACGATAAAAGGAACCCAGTAAGTTCGACACGCCGTGTGTAGAGCAAAAAATCATCTTCAGAGGCCTAGATTGGAACGGAGAGAAGATACCCATCCTGTATGATTGGACCACCATTGCATCCAGGCCATACGAAGCCAAATTCGCATCCAAAAGGTGACGATCCGCTGCTCTTCTAGTATACGGCGTCATGGCGCGATGAACGTCAGCTTCAGGCCATCCCTCAATCACCAGGTGGTAATCGTTTCCGAGTTTCTTCGCGAAATCAACATCCTCGAAGGGCGGGGGCAGCTTCATTGTTCCAATTGGCGGAAGTGGGTGGTATGGATGGCGTGCGAGATTCCTCATCAGCATACTTCTCGGGGCGCTTCAGATCGGTAGATGTAGAAATAGAGTTGCAGTATCTCGCAACAACCTCGAACTTGGGTAATTAAACCATATGAGCATATGATAAGAGCAAATTTTGATAATCGTCGATTTGTCGCCTGGCTCTCAGACTCACGATCAGTTCCCCCAAAAACCATTATCAAATGCATTGATTTTTCCAAGAATCTGTCAATAGGAACAATATAGTTCAAGCAAGCGCTTATAACTGCTGCCAGAATAACACTCAGCATGTTTCTGTTACTTTTTTGTGTGCTCTTTTTATATAAATACTTTATTCAGGAAAAAAATCACAATCAAAAAATCAGAAAATCACATCGAGATTGTAGCCATAAAAAATTCAATAAAAGATTAGACATAGGTAACTCGAGTATGCGGTTACGTAGCTGGAGCACTATCACACAATATTGATACCGTCGTCAAAATTACTGTACTGCAACAGCAGCTAACTTGAAGATGGAACTGATTAACCATGCCAAACACAGTGTCAGCATTCAATCTCATTAATATTCATACTAGAGATTTACACAAATCACATGATAAAGCTTTTACCTTAAAATGCTGACCAGGGAACCTTCCCAAGTTACCCGCGAGTTACAATATGAGGTAGGTGCAAAAGGAAAGGCCTGAAAATGTACGTTCAGAAACTGTTTTCAAAAACCGCTAATCGGCAAAAGGCACAAAGTTACAGCCATTTGAATTTCGAAAAAATGAAGGCTTTTCTCGAATTTCAGCTGGTGAGACAGCTCCTCGTGTCCAGAGGAAAGATGAATGATGAGGAAGAAAAGTCCCAGAGATGTCCATCTCCACATCTGGAACTGGTTTTGAATTAGAAACTATATAAATAACTAATAAATAACTAATAAATAATATAAATACTTTATTCAGAAAGAAATAAAGTGCGAAAACGACATGAAAAATGTACTAGATAAAAGATCACAAAGTCACTTAAAATGCAACGAAATAGCCGTTTTAAAATCAGACACGGTGGACATTAAAATCAGACAATCAAACGCAACTTGTCGGGAAGGGCATTCCAAACTTTAGTCACACTCTTTAATCTTTGATCATTGACAAAAAAAAGCTCTAGAGGATTTAGAGAAAGCAGATTCGGGATGCAAGATAAAAGAGTCACGCCTAGTCGCCAAAAGCCTCGAGTTTAGTCGAAGATTTTTAAAAAGAGGGTTTTGATGTTTTCCTTTTACTTAAAGCTTCCTTTAAAGCACTCAACCAAATCTATGATAAGACGGCGTTGTTCTAAGGTTTCAAGTGAGAAAAGTTTCAATCTATGTAGTTAGCACGATGAGTAGTTAGCAAAATCAATTTTGAGTTAGCAGAGTGGTTAGCAAAATCAATTTTGAATAGCGCTATTCGAGTAAAGTTTTTCTGAACCTTTTCAATTTTGTCGATTAGGGATTTAGAAATAGTTGACCAAATTAAAGAAGAAGAACCAAAAAGAAGCATACTCGAGGATCGGGCGAACGTAGATACCGTAGAACCGTACCGTAGAACCGTACCGTAGAACCGTACCGTAGAACCGTACCGTAGAACCGTACCGTAGAACCGTACCGTAGAACCGTACCGTAGAACCGTACCGTAGAACCGTACCGTAGAACCGTACCGTAGAACCGTACCGTAGAACCGTACCGTAGAACCGTACCGTAGAACGTAGATAATAAACATAAATCTTTAGGCTCAAAAAGACCCAACAAGAGTGTGTTCATTTGGTTTTTCCTAAAAAATTGTTCTGAAAATAAAGAAAATCAACATCTGATCCCAATTTTTTACACAGGGTTTTTTTTTGCTTGGCCACGTGTTTTTGATTTCAACTCATTTGAACTTTTTTTTTGTTGGAACCTTACGTCGCTTTACTCAAAGTTCAATCAAACCATCTGAAACTTTGTAGTGCTCGTTAAATAAAAGAAACAGCGAACGGAACACATTCTTTGTCGATTCTAAAATGATTTTAACAAAAATTTTCTTTGTTTTTCTTGTTTTATTTGTTTCTTCTACAGTTTCGGACTCCGATTTTCAAAAGAAAGTGTGAGTAATCGATTTTTGGTTTAAAAAAACTGAAATTTTAGTCTCTCGATGCTTACGAATTTGGAGGAAAGTGTGTAAGAAAAGAGTTGGAAAAAAAGAAAATAAATGATTTCGGACTTCGCTTGCTTCCGTGTGACAAATTTTGGAAACGCCATGGCGATTTCTGTTATCGAGTGAGTTTTTGAAAAGTATTTAAATAAAAATGTAATAAAGTTAATGAGTTTAAGAGATTAAGTTTGTTATTTACAAGTTATTGACAAAGTTATTGACAAGTTATTGACAAGTTATTGACAAAGTTATTGTCAATAACTTGTCAGCTCTTGTCAATAACCTCGCTGACACGTCAAATTTGGGCTAAAAGGCAAAAGCTGCGGAAAAGCGTTAAGTTGCGTAGTTTTTGCCTTTTAGCCCAAATTTGACGTGTCAGCGAGGTTTGATTTGTCAAAATTCTGAATCTACGCATACGATTCCCTTCTATGAAAAGATTTTTGAAGCTGTACGACCTTTCCTAAGGCCTTTTTCAGCAAAAAAAAAAAGGTGCGCAAATGTCCAGGTGCGCAAAAACAAGGTCACATTTGTCCCACCCCCCAGCATGCGCATGAATAGAAACATCAAAGTCCCCGAAGAACGAAAGCAAAAACTCCAACCCCAAAAATGGCCAGAAGCTCTGCCCAAAAAATCCCCTCCTCTAATAAAAATAATAATTTCGGGAAGAGAGAAAAAAGACGAAAAAATGCGACGCGAATAATTAGGAATGCGACGCGAAATAAATAGGAACGCAAAAGGACGGAAACGGATGCGACCACTATATTCTCTAGAGTTTTCTAGAGTTCTAGAGTCTCTAGAGTCAAGAAAGTAGTGAGTCTGGAAATTCAGGAAGTCAACCAGCTAAAATGTTCAACGATTTTGATGGTCATACCCACATCTGGTAGATACAACTGATACTATTTTAGAGAAATCATATTGTAAATCGAAACACTATATTCTCTAGAGTTTTCTAGAGGCTCTAGAGTTTTCTGGAGTCTCTAGAGTTTTCTAGAGGCTCTAGAGTTTTCTAGAGGCTCTAGAGTCTCTAGTCCCTAGAGTTAATGTAATAAAGTTAATGAGTTTAAGAGATTAAGTTTGTTATTGACAAAGTTATTTACAAAGTTATTTACAATTTGTGACTTCATAGAAAGAATTAATCCGATTTATTTTGTCTTTTGAGTTCATTGCCGCTCTCCGGAAATTTTCTTATTTTCTTGTAACCAATGCAAGTTAAAAAAAGACCGGATAATGATCATTTCTTAGAAATCTTTTAACTTTTTAATTTAAGATTTACGATGAGCATGTACCTTACGAAAAATCGATGGAGATTTGCCGGCTAGATGGCGCGAATCTCGTGTCGATTCATGGTGAAAAGGAGAACGACTTCGTTAGCGGTTGGACAAAGAAAAAAGTTTTGTTGTAAAGAAGTTTAGGTCTTGCTGAAAACAACTGGATTCGTATTGGACTTGTGGTAAATTTTATCAGCAGAAGAAGCTATATTGCTTATAGAAGCAATATAGTTTAATTACTGCTGCACAAGTTAATTATAAGTCCACTCCTGTATTCTACGATAACTCGGTTTTGAAAGGTTTTTAGAAAAACTTCCAAAGAAGAAAATATGGAGGATATTTGACTCCTCTTCCAAAGAGGAGTCAAATATAAGACAGTTCCCTTGGCTTTAAAGTACCCGGGTACTTAGGAGTGCCATTCTCCTTTACCTCACGGAGGACATCCGCTACAGTTGCTACAGTGGCCCACGGAGAACATCCGCTGCCGATAGAACTTCAGTAACTCCTGCTTTTTATGCTACCATCTGCGGCCAGAAACAGTGCGTTTCTCGTCCCAAAAAGTACAAAACACCTCGACTAATTTGCAGAACCAGGTATAGAACTAATTTGCAGGTATAAAACCAAATTTGCATTCAATAAATAGAAAAAATTAGAGGATTTTGTCTTTGGCCACTTTGGCCAATGCTAATAAAACCATTTATTAATAATAGCAAATTGAGAAATGAACGAAATTCGACAATCAATAATCGATTGAACCTTCATTTTTCTTCTATTAGAGGGATGGAACTCTAAAGCACCTCTCTTCAAGAAAAAAAAGCAATAAATTTGGCTAGACTTTAATTTACCCGCTTTACCCGACTTTTACCCGCCAGTTTTATCATAAATTTTGAAAGCAAAACGCAAATGATCACCATCTATGGTAATTTCAAAATATTTTTCACAAATAAAAAACTAAATCAAAAGATTTATCGGGTTAAAACGAAAAACGATAGTTCTAGTTAGTGGATAACGTGGATAAAAGTTAGTAAAAACTAGCGATTATCCAAAAAATTCAAAATCAACAATCAGCATGTCAAAAACAAGCAACTCTCTTCCCGTGGAGCTTTTCGAGCACAGAAATTTGTCTCTTATAGAGTCGAACACACTTTCCATCAATGCCAAAATGTTCAGCCGACGTCTTGATCGAAATGTCCTTGATCAAAAAGTCCTTGATCGAAACGTCCATCTTTGTAGCCGCAAGTTTTGTTTCTGTCTTCTGTCGATAGCTTTCCTTTTCCTTTTATCCCTTCTCGGTGTGTCCATAGTTTCGCTATCATCTTCTCGTTCTTCTTCCGTATCGACGTTAAAATCCTCCTGACTTTCTTCCAAATGCCCGTCGAGCTCGTTGTCTCGCCGCATCCGAAAAAGCTCTAATTCGTCAACAACTTCACGTCAATAACAACAACAACGTACCTGAAAATTATAAAATTAGGAACTGCAAAAAAAGCGTAAAACAAATGAAAAAAGGCTTAGTGGGGCTCTACTAGATGGGTGGGGCTCTACTAGATGGGTGGGGCTCTATTTTTTCATATCCCCTTTACGGTGAGGCCCCATGGGGCTCTATTAGAGCAGGGTTTCTATTGGAGGAATGGGGTTTAATTATAGGAATTATAGGAAATACGGTAGTCAATTTTAAGTGGTTCAAAACATTGAGTTTTCTTTAGAGAAAATTTGATAGTTTATAAACTTTCAGCTGGATGAAAACAAGTGGAAATGGAATGATGGAAGTTCATTAGATTACACGAATTGGGCGAGCAATCAACCGGACAATTTGGGAACCGAAAAATCGACTCATGTGGGTTTTTGACTTTTAGATGTCATAAACTTTTAGATGTCAACGGTAATTTAATCGTGAACTTTTAGCTTTCCACCCTGATCAGTCACAAATGGGCCAACTACCCAGAGTCGACTGGCGCGAAAACTGTGTGCAAGAAAGCGATTCGAAATTGAAAACTGTAATAAATTGTTATTCAAATGGATTTTTTGTTGTTTTTGCCCTAATCATCTTTTAAAAAGTGTTCACTTTTTGAGAACAAACTTTATAGAACTTTATAGAAAAGAAAAGCCAGCTTAAACAAACAAAAACTACACTAAAGATTGCATTAGCTACCATCATTCGTCAGAAAAGAACAACGGAATTGGATTTGAACCGATTTAAAAGATTTCAACCGAACAGATTCTCGAATGCATGTCTTCGACGGTTGCGCGATTATTCGCCGCATGACATTTCATGAAAATGGGGAGTTTTTGAGCCAAAATAAGTGTCGACTGCTTTTTTTGATCTGTGCATGATTCTCGAACTTTTCTCCCATAAGAAAACTCTTCAACGGCCGAAACAAAAAATAATTTGATAGGGCCAGGTCCGGACATCTGATCGGGCCAGGTCCGGAAATCTGATAGGGTCAGGTCCGGACATCTGATAGGGACAGGTCCGGACATCTGATGAAGCCAGGTCCGGACATCTGATAGGGACAGGTCCGGAGACTGATAGGGTCAGGTCCGGACATCTGATAGGGACAGGTCCGGACCTCTGATAGGGACAGGTCCGGACATCTGATGAAGCCAGGTCCGGACCTCTGATAGGGCCAGGTCCGGACATCTGATGGGGCCAGGTCCGGACTATGAGGTGCGTGGGGGCAGAAGTTTCCAACCAAGCTCGTCGATTTCCCTTATTTAAAAACATACCACAAAGCGGCGCGAAGTCGAAACTTTTCGTATTGCATTTTGTACCGGAAAATATTGTTAAATTTGTAAAAATTAGTAAAAATCAAATATAATATGAAAGTATAGAGCGTCTAGCTAATATCTATTTGAAAAAATGGCATAAGCAAAAAACTGGAAAATTGCCAACAACGGGAATTCAATCAAAAGCCAAGTCAAGAATAAAAGTTTATGTCAAAAACAGCTCTTTCTAAGCGTTTTAAGCATTCCATTCACTTTATTAGTCTTATAAAAGCATTTATATGATCAAAAAAGTAGTTTTCTTTATTTCTAAAGTTAACGAAATTTTGATCAACGCAAAAAACGCTTATCTTTTATTGCTGAAAGCCTGAACATCAAAAGAACTCAAAAAAAGGCACCAAAAAGCTTTTGAAATATAAAATTAGAATTAGAAATATAGAATATAGAAAAAGAATTGAATATTTCGATTAGAAGCCTTTGAAGCTAGAGAGCAAAAAGCAATGAGAGCAAAGACTTCAAATAGAGTTAATATTTTCGAAAATTAATTAAATTCTAACTCGTCTACTTCTCTTACTAGATCGAGATGGCTAGAGAGAGATGCACTTATTATTCATTCGATTATTATTCTTAAATTATTCACTTTCTGAAAATGAATCAAAATTCTCTTTCACGTTTCACCTCTCTTTTCACCAGCCCATCTCTTTCTCTTTCCCGTGCTCTTTGTGCACTCTTTGTGCGCTCTTTGCATGTGATCGCCGTAATCGTATTCCATCTGGCATCCGCTCTTTCCATAACCCACACCCATTCTCCCCTCATAAACTTACCTGGCTGGGGGGCTCTCGTGATCATGAAGACGGGACCCCCATGGCGAGGCTCGGCCATTGCACTTTAGGCTGGGTTGACCTGTGTGGCAGTCCCGAGTTGGGATTCGCTAACAGCTAAATTTTTGCGTGAGGGGCTGCGTTCGCGCGGCCCTGCTAAAGAAAAGCGATAAAGTGATTGGGATATTTCGCTGATGGGATGTCATTAAAAGTAGCCATTTCTGGCCAAAAGCCATGAATAGTCATTTATCGAAACCAGAAAGGATAGAGTGATCAAGTTGAGAGATTATCGAGATTTAGCCTCCTTTTTTGCAGAGCTCTCGAATTTTTGCATCTTCAAGGAATTATGCATTGGGTAAAAGAAAAAAATATAAATTATTGGGTTTAGAATTTACCTTCAAAAATATTGAGATGAATCGAAAGATTTTGAAATAAAATGCTGATTTTGCTGCTCGATTTTGGGTCTCTAGCAAGTTTTACTCGGATCAACCAGATATGAAAACGCATGATAGCTTCGTATAGCTCAATGATCCCACCAGGTTGTCACCTCAGGCTAAAGACGAAGCCATGCTGATCTTAGTTCGGATATCTGGTTGATCCCTACCAGGCTGCTAGCTCGGGTTAACGACTAAGCCATGCTTGTCTTAGTGAGGATACATTGTGAGGATACAAAAAGATCAATTTAGTTAATCTGCTTTTACTTTATTAGGATATACGCGCAAAGTCGCAAATCTTTTCAAATGATTAATTCAGATTACAGATTTATATCCTGATTACTGTAGTTTTCCAAAGTTGGCTTCTTTTAGAAAACTTTGATTTAACTGGTTGATCAAATTAAAGCCTCAGCCAAATTGGCCACTTGGTTTACGCCAAATTGGCCACTTTGACCGAAAGCTTTATTGTTAGCAGAAATCTAGCTAGCAGAATAAACTTTATTACATTAAAAGTGTCTTGTCTTGGCAACAATAGTCTTGGCAATTGGATTTATCAAGATTTATCTTCTAATTCAATTCAATATCATGCACTTTCTTTGAGACTTCTTTTTCCGAATATTGATAACAGAGGAAAACGCAGATGAATAGTAAAGTCATGAAGGAAAGTGTCGACAAAGCGCTCATCAGAATTAAGCCATCGAATTTGTGCATTTCCCATTCGATTGCAGTTGTGGCTTCTGAAAATCAAAAAAGCTGCATATTTTTACACTATAAAAGCCTTTGTTTACTGTCTTACAATATCCTAAACCTTTTTCTAAAAGATTCGCTTAACAAAAAGCTACCGGAATCTTAGATTAAGCCTTGAGTGTACCAGCAAGGATCCTACTTGTACGTTTATTTAACGCTTATTTAGCGCGTTATTCAAATCAAAAAATTTGAGTAAATTTATTCAAATAATTGTTTGAGAGTTTGTTCTAATCCCAACACTCCAAGTTGCCAATTACTTTGGCTTGGTGTTTTGGAATGCAAAAATATGGCTCGTTCAATTGGATCAACTTTCTCAGTTTCCATTTTACTGTTCTTTTCGCCTTTTTGTTCAACATTGCTCATCGCATCACTGCCATTCACCGTTTAATCCTCGAGTTTGATCTTTGATTTTGAGCGCTACCAACTTTCAGTACGCTACAACTTTCAGCGTGAAGCTTTCCCTCAACATTTACATTTAACGGCTAATTTTATGTTAAATCTTTTATAGACTCACTTTTTAGACTTTTTAAACTTTCAGATGAGGATTTGCTTGATGCCATTGAACTCAATCCAACCCAGTTAGTGGAGACATTTGGGATGGACCAAAAAACAATCGTAAACCACTTACATCAATTAGGAAAAACAATTCACTGCGGAAGATGGGTTCCTCATGAACTGACTCAAGGCAACAAAATAACTCGTGTTATCGTTAGCCCTACTCTGCTTCAAAAAGGCAAATCTCATGATTTTTAGGGAAGATGTTTTATCGGATCTAACATCTGATTTGACAATTTGCAATTTCTTTTCTTTATTTATTCATTCAATTATTCATTCATGTAGCATTTAACTAGCATTTATTGTTAACAATTTTCAGACACAATAAAAATCCGTGGTGCAAGGTCTCGTTTGGCACGTGTAATAAGCCGCAGTCGTGCAGCTTTGACTCATGATGTTCACATTGAATCCTAAACATTGAGTTTATGTTCTAAAATCTATAAAATCTATAAAATCTATAAAATCTATAAAATTAGTAAAATATCAACGATTTGATGCTGAAGACTTTAAAAAAAAAGCCCCAATCGATCAAACAAACCGCTTTGTTGTTGCACCACCGCGCAATCGCCACCCTTATCGATGATGTCACCACTCTAAAATGAGAGACATTTTTGAAGTTATCAACTCTTGTCTATCAAAATCTAAAGCATTTTCTTTAGACTTTAGACTATAGACTATAGATTATAGACTATAGTCTATAGACTTTAGACTATAGACTTTAGACTATAGACTTTAGACTATAGACTTTAGACTATAGACTTTAGACTTTAGACTATAGACTATAGACTATAGACTTTAGACTATAGACTATAGACTTTAGACTATAGACTTTAGACTATAGACTAACGAATTCTTTAAATAGATACAAAGAAAAAGCTTAATCACGTCAAAAGCGGAAAAAAAACGATAAAATATCCATTTAAGCTCTTTTAAAAATGTAGATAGGCCACGAAAAAGAATTGAGGAAGGAGATTGAAAAATGATACAAAAATGGTCGAATATTGGAAGAATACGGTACGGAAATGGTGCTCGTATCCAAATTTTGGTTCTAGTACTTTTCTCAATCAGCTAAAACATTGACTAGCTGAGTCAAATGCTATGCGATCTATGCCATTCAACGCAGAATTTTATGCTGATTCCGAATGTGTATTCCGTTTTTGCTAAATGACAATCTGTCAGGAGTTATAAGGGTTTAGAGTTTTGTCGTTTAGAGTTCATGAAAATGTGTTAAAGTTTCTGATGGAACTGTTGAAAAAGCCTCTCGCCGTGAGAACTGACGAAAAAGCCTCTTCCCGTGGAAACTGAACAGCGATTGATCAACATTACCTTATGGAAAGCGATTGATTGATCAGCATTACCTTTTATATAGAAAGCGTGTACCAGATGGAACGCGATTATGCTCCAAGATGGAACGCACAAAGAACCCTAGTCAGCACTTAAGATCCGAAGTCGGGATCGAACTCGTGAAGTCTCGCTCTAGAAACGAACGCTGTACCAATCGGCCTACATACTACACCGAATTGGGTCCGCAACGAGGCCGCTAAGACCCAAACGACCACATTTTCATGAACTCTAAACGACAAAACTCTAAACGCTTATAACTTCTGACAGATTGTCATTTAGCAAAAACCGAATACACATTCGGAATCAGCATAAAATTCTGCGTTGAATGGTATAGATCGTATAGCATTTCGCTCAGCCAGTTGACCTTCTCCTATCAAAAAAGGACTATCTTTTGCACAAATATCAAGATCAATCCGCTATATCTTTAGTTTTTCCGATAACTAACCCAGTTTTTGTTTTTTCCCCAAAAGCCAGCCCTTACTTCCTCATTTACCCCAGTAAAACCGATAAACAGAACCGATAAACAGAACCGATAAACAGAATCGATAAACAGAATCGATAAACCAATTTTCTTTTCAAAATCTCTTATCAACTGTGGATCTGAATCTTTTGGTATGTCGGGGATCAAGGAGGAGACAGGTGTCTGCCTTTACACCCATGCCAGTTGGAGTCAGGGTAGGTAGCTAGCTGAATGAAGTCAGGGTAGGTAGCTGAATAACTTTACGTCAGCTAACTAGCCTCGATCTATCTTGTCTATTCAACACTCAAAGTAAAAGCATTGGCTGATAATCAATGACAAATTAGACGGGAATTGCTTTGTATTGAAAAGTTTACAATAACTTACAACATTTGCATCGTAATAGCTCCCATCAGCCCAAATCCAATTCCCGCTTTGTCGAGTGAGCCCGATAAAGAATGGAGGTTTCGCTGGGTTTGTGTTAACTAAAGTTGAAAATTTTAATTTAAAGTTGTAAATATATGTAGCTAGTCTATTTTTACATAAACTATGCAAACATTGAATGACTGTTCGTTGCTGAAGCTGGGTTTTCGGTTGTCCAAGCGATCCGTTGGCCGCTTGTGTGTTATGGCAAATCGTGTTAGCCACCGTTTTGATTGCCGTCAACGTGGAGTCCTGAAAATTCTCCGTTTCCTAAAACGTTTCTCGATCAAATTAAAATTTTCTCGATCATCGTAATCTTGTCTCGACTTTTTTAATCTAATAAATGGACTTTTATATCTTTGCGATAGCCTTTCTGAGCTCTCAGAGAAGCTGACAAAAAGACAAACTGACAAAAAGAGAAACTGGCAAAGCGGCTTTCCGAATTCATCTAACAGTTTCGACCAATTAAATCCGAGTTCTACTTAATAGAATTAATAAAATGAATACCGACAATCGATTCGCCGTCCCCGAAAACCCCAGGGTATAAATTCATCTATATATCTTTTTGTATCATCATATAAAGCTAAAGAAAAACCCCTATATAAATGACGGGCAAGGTGTTCTTTGTGCGGCCACGCAATCGCTCGCCATCTGGCATACCCATTGGGTATAGAAGGTTTCCTTGTTTTCACTATAGTCTATAGTCTATAGTCTAAAGTCTATAGTCTAAAGTCTAAAGAAAATGCTTTAGATTTTGATAGACAAGAGTTGATAACTTCAAAAATGTCTCTCATTTTAGAGTGGTGACATCATCGATAAGGGTGGCGATTGCGCGGTCGTGCAACAACAAAGCGGTTTGTTTGATCGATTGGGGCTTTTTTTTTAAAGTCTTCAGCATCAAATCGTTGATATTTTACTAATTTTATAGATTTTATAGATTTTATAGATTTTAGAACATAAACTCAATGTTTAGGATTCAATGTGAACATCATGAGTCAAAGCTGCACGACTGCGGCTTATTACACGTGCCAAACGAGACCTTGCACCACGGATTTTTATTGTGTCTGAAAATTGTTAACAATAAATGCTAGTTAAATGCTAAATGAATGAATAAATGAATGAATAAATAAAGAAAAGAAATTGCAAATTGTCAAATTAGATGGAAATTCTATTAGGTTGAGGAAAAAGTAATGTCGGTTTTTGTCCCAAAACTGTTTATTGCTAAAAGCATAAACAAACGCACACCAATGAATGATATATTCTCCATTATTATTGATGATTTGTTCCCATCTTCGTCACAAGTTCCTGGTCCCATCCTCATCCAGTGATCCTCAAAAAAACGGGGAGTTTTCGAGCCAGAATAAGTGTCGACTGCTTTTTTTGATCTGTGCATAATTCTCGAACTTTTCTCCTATAAGAAAACTCTTCAACGACCGAAACAAAAACCCATCTGATGGGGCCAGGTCCGGACATCTGATAGGGCCAGGTCCGGACATCTGATGGGGTCAGGTCTGGACATCTGATGGGGCCAGGTCCGAAGATCTGATGGGGCCAGGTCCGAAGATCTGATAGGGTCAGGTCGGAACAGCTGATGGGACCAGGTCCGGACAGCTGATGGGGCCAGGTCCGACCATCTGATGGGGTCAGGTCCGGAGATCTGATAGGGTCAGGTCCGGACATCTGATGGGGCCAGGTCCGGTGCGTGGGGCAGAAGTTTCCACCAAGCTCGTCGATTTTTTGGTGAGTGACTTTTGCAGTGTGAGGTTTTGCATTAACATGCAAAAATTGCGCCTTTGATGTTTCAACGCCCTTTCTTTAAAGCCTCGTTAACTCTTCTGAACTGTTTTGAATAAAAATCAGCGGTGACAATTTCTCCCGGATTCAACAACTCAATAATACCCCAAAACATTTGTATTCCACCAACAGCAAAGATAAGTTTCTTTCCATGAATATCGGGTTTTGAAGTTGGTTATCGGGGTTGACCAAGAGAAAGCCACTGATTTTTGGCTTTGACGTTCTCATAATGAATCCATGTTTTATCAGATGTTAGATCCGATAAAACATCTTCCCTAAAAATCATGAGATTTGCCTTTTTGAAGCAGAGTAGGGCTAACGATAACACGAGTTGTTTTGTTGCCTTGAGTCAGTTCATGAGGAACCCATCTTCCGCAGTGAATTGTTTTTCCTAATTGATGTAAGTGGTTTACGATTGTTTTTTGGTCCATCCCAAATGTCTCCACTAACTCACGAGTGATAAGGGTTGGATTGAGTTCAATGGCATCAAGCAAATCCTCATCTGAAAGTTTAAAAAGTCTAAAAAGTGAGTCTATAAAAGATTTAACATAAAATTAGCCGTTAAATGTAAATGTTGAGGGAAAGCTTCACGCTGAAAGTTGTAGCGTACTGAAAGTTGGTAGCGCTCAAAATCAAAGATCAAACTCGAGGATTAAACGGTGAATGGCAGTGATGCGATGAGCAATGTTGAACAAAAAGGCGAAAAGAATTGGGTTGTCCAGCTATGAATGCGCATTTTTACTATTTTCTAGATTTCCCAAGATATCGAACAGATATATATGAGTGTTATATATCATTCGAAAGCTGAAGATCTCCTCTACATTTTGGAATAAAAAGCTTTGGAATTTGTTCAGCTTTTGGGCAAATTGATTGCACAAAAGGAGAGGTCGTTTTCCGAAAAAACCCATTCCAGCTTAGCTATTCCTCAAGTTTTATGGTGTAAAATAACCGCCCAGAAAAGAAAAGAAAAGTAAAGATGCTCTGAAATTGTTATATTTAAAAATCTTTTTTTAAATATAACAATGAATTAGTTGTTAGAATTAGAATCTTTAAACTGAATCACCAGATATCAAAGCGCTCTTTTGTGACTTTTTTTTCTAATAAAAAGTTATGATTCATTTTGGAAGCGTTCTCCATCCAGGACGTGTTGCATCGATCGGAAAAGATGATATCTGTAGGACATGAGTAGAGTGTGTTCCTTGCAGACAAAGCGTTTTCTAAAAAGCACGCGCCAAAGATAAGCTACCGTAGCCCTATGCTTTACATCAGCAAATTTTTCAAAATGCAAATGTACATTAAAATCTTGCGCTTTTTTTCTATTACTCTTTCCATAACTTTTTGTTTTTTTCTTTTTGTTATTCTAGTCTTCTTGAAAGTCGACGAGCGTAAGAGAGTGCACATCAACAACCCTAAAACAATTTTGTTTAATTTATTTTAAAAAGTCTAAAGAGGAACAAAAAAAATACCTTAAAATGGCCGTCCTCCGCATTTCTTGAAGTCGGACACCACGCGAAAGACTTGATTTTCGTCGCAGCTCATGTCAAAAGTTCGCTAAAACTTACAAATTTTAAAATGCTATGTAAAATTTAAAAAAAAAAACATATTTAAAACGGAAAATGTTAAGAAACACTATTAAAAAAGTATATTATTTACGAATTTACCAGGCCTATTTTCTACATTTGCACTAGAACTATTCAAAAACAAATTCCACGCCCTAAAAAGCGTAAATCCTCAAATAAAACTATCCATTACTACATTTTAAGGAAATTTTGCACATTTTTTTCGCGCGGCCTTTATAGCTTTGCTTAAAAGCGCACCTTTTAGAAAACGCGTTGTCGGAGGGTTGTCGGATCAATTGTCTGACAAAAAAGTTGTCAAGGCAGACTTGTCTGACAAATTGTCTGTCAACAAGGAGCACACTCTAGACATGAGACTGAGAACTGAGCTCATGAGAATATGTTGATTGGGATAAGTTCCCAGTTCAACTCGTCGATTGTGGAGCGGCTCAACTTTACCGTTTGTGAACTGGTGTTGTCGTGTTGAAGAATGACTTTTTTCAAATTAGGGCGCTTTTTCTTAATTTTCTCATCGAGTTTTTTTGAGCTGGTCGCTGTATAATCGAGCATTGATTGTCTGTTTATTAAAACTCTCAAGAAATGACACGTAAGAGATTCCACCGATAGCATGTACTTCTTCTGGTGGTGGCGAATCCTTTGCTGGTGTAACTCCAGATCCGACCCATTCTCGTTTTCTCTGGAAGTTTACAGCTTCCACTTCTCATCTCCCATCACTACACACGGCAAGAAAGATTTCTTCTCGTATCTGGAAAGAAGAGCAGTGACAACTGATAACCTCTGCCTATTCATGGAGTCGGTGAGGTTGTGGGGCACCCATTGATCATAAATCGATTTAAAACCCATATTAAGGAGGTGATTTCAACTTTTACATCAGAGTATCCAACCTCAGCCAGAATTTCATGCAAAGAAATCCGGGGATTTTCGCGAATATTTTGTAGAATATCTGCATTTTCAAGCTCTCTGGGTCTACCCAATCGGTCTTCATTCTCAAGAGAAATGTCCGCATTTCTGAATTTGTGGAGCCAGCGTTTCATTGTTAGCTAATGGAGTCAAGACTTAAGCTGCAACCTAATATAATCATTAAATTGATTAGTCCTAATGGTTATTATATAATAAATATAATAAATATTACTAATGTGAACTTAAGCTTAGTGTAAAAAAGTTTTTTTGCCATAATAAATAATAAATTGTGGAAAATCCTAGAAGAACACGTAGTCAGCAGTAAATTTGAGCTTATTTTTGGGGATCCGACGCAATGCGGTGCTTGAAATCGCCATCTTGCATTTGCCATTTACCTTGCCGACTGGTTTGGCTTCTTCCGAATTTGGTCCCTCACTCGCTTGATGTTTGTCTTTGTGACGACATTTGAGTGTCCACCGCTTCTTGGTGGACGCTCAAATGCATCAGCAATTATCCCCGTAGCTTCGTAGCGTTGAATAGTGCGGAAAATGAAACTTCTGTCGACTTTAAGACGCTTATGAATCTCCGGAGACTCCTAGCTTGTGCATCAGCATGATCGATGATGATCGATTGTCATTAGCTGCAGCATGATGATCGATTATCGATGAAGGATTTTCAAGCCATTCTAAAAAAACACATTTTATATGAAAAAAGTTTCAATTATATTCCAAATATAATAAAAACACAAAAAAAAACAGAAATGAAGTTTAAATAAACGAGTTATTGTCCTGGAACGCGCGTGATACCTTGTTGCGATAATTATGGCGCACCCTGTATATATATATTTAAAGAAATAATAAATATAAATAATAATATAACATACTTGAAATATTATAAATAATATTAAAATACTTGAAAATAAATGTGGAAAAAAAGTCGCGGGGGTAAAAAAACATTCCGCCGCCCAGCTAATTTTTTTCTGAGATTTCCGCCCAGATAGCAAGTTTTGTAACGGTGCAGAAGATGAGCCTTGCTTTCGTTGTTTCCATTCAACTCCGCAAACCATCTTATTTGTGAGTTTTGGGCTTCATTGTGGTCCGGCTACGAAAAGTTCCGGATTCTCCACTCGGCTCCCAAATGGAAATAGATTGCTTTCTCATTTCAATCCAAAATTTATCACGTAAAACGCTACTTTCAATTAATCTGACGCAAACAAATGATTTAAAAAGGAAAAATAAACGAAGAGGAAACAAATGTTTTGAATGAACAAATGATTTAAAAACAAAAAAGAAACGACGACGCGGCGCTGCCATCGACTACCTCCAAATGGCGGCGACACCAATTGGAATGCGACGTCGTGCTAAAAGTTAACATTTAACAAGAAGATAAATTAACATTTAAAATTTGCGACACCTTTTCTCTAAGTCATCCTCTATTAAAACAAAAGACCTCGTTTTCTTTAACTATATTTTTTTTTCTTTTACCCAATGCATAATTCCTTGAAGATGCAAAAATTCGAGAGCTCTGCTCTGGAAATTTCCGTGGCTTTGGATGAGCTACCGTAATCGTTGCTAAAAGTTCTAAAGGAAAAAAAAGTTTTTGTGCCATAGTAAATAATGTGCTCTTGGCAAAAGCAACCGTAACCCATCTAGGCTTGGGCGATGGATTCTTAAAGCACATCCAAGTACGCCGTAGTCCAATCGCCATTTTTTTTTACCCTATTTGGTGTCCATCTTGAAGTAACTTGCAAAAAATAAGCTTTTACGCAAAATGCCCTCAACTGAAATACTTTATTTGAAAAGGAGGCTAAATCTCGATGATCTCTCAACTTGATCACTTGTTGGTTTCGAGAAATGGCTATTTTTAATGATCAGCTGCATCATCCCAATCACTCTATCCGTTTTCTTTAGCGCGAACGCAGCCCCTCACGCAAAAATTTAGCTGTTAGCGAATCCCAACTCGGGACTGCAACACAGGTCAACCCAGCCTAAAGGGCAATGGCCGAGCCTCGCCATGGGGGTCCCGTCTTCATGATCACGAGAGCCCCCCAGCCAGGTAAGTTTGTGAAGGGAGAATGGGTGTGGTTATGGAAAGAGCGGATGCCAGATGGGATACGATTACGCGGGCATGCAAAGAGCGCACAAAGAGTGCACAAAGAGTGCACAAAGAGCGTGTGAAAGGGAGAGAGATGGTGGAGAGTCTTTTGAATAGAATCCCTAGCCGATTCTTGTCATTTTGCCACTCAACAAACAAAAGAACTTTTATTATACACTAAGTGATCAAAACTGACTCGAAAGCATAAGCCAATAAACATTCGTTTTTAGTTTAAGATATTGATCTTTAATTTTAATTATGCAAAAGTTTGAGTAGCTGCTTTGGTTGAAAAATTTGGATTCAGCGAAAAGACTTGACCGAGTTTCTCTTGAAGCTTTCCAATGTCGACTTCAGTGGCATCTTCTTGTCTCTTCAACACATCCTGATCGTCTTGTGGGATTTCTTGTTGTGGAGCTTGTGCAAGAGCGGCGACACTCTCGGGCACGACTTTGATCTCAAGCAATTTTGCTTCAACACGAGCAGCTTTCTCATCAGCGGCAATCTTCTCGTCAAGTTTTTTCTGTGCCTCGTCAAGAAGTGATTGAGCTCGAACAGTCAAATTGTGGGCATTCTCTTTCTCGGGTTCGACACCCTCAATCTTTGCAGCTTGCTCGTTGAGTTGAGCGAGAGCTGGAAGCACTTGTCCATCGAGTTGAGCAACCACTTGTTTCAGTTCGTCGGTTGTCGGTTCGGCAACAGTTGGCTGTTGTTCTCCTTTGCCTCCTTTCTTGCCCTTCTACTATTTTGCCTAATCAGAAAAAATTCCATAAACTTTCGCAATTCTGGGCGTGGACAATAAAATATCCAACTAATTGCCCGTTCTTTTGACTTCAGACCGTAAAAAAAGCTCTTATCAGATAAACGCAAAAAAGTCTGGACAAAAATGGAAAAGTCTCGTTGTTTCTTTGTCAAAACGGCGAATATGGCTTTTAAATATTTTCTTCTTTTAGCGTTTTTCTTCATTTCAGCTCATGGAACATGTGAGATTTATAGAATTTTATCGAATTCACCTAGAGATTTAGCTGAACAATTTGCGTGTAATGCACAAGATGTGATCTTCATCTTTGACACGAAAACCTCGCCTCGATCACTCGACGATTGGAGAGCTTTAGCGTAAGTGGATCTTTGAGGGCTTCAAGTGATACCGGTAAGAAATAGGCTTTCCATTTTTGATCTTCCTTTCTTTTCTGTATTCATATCTTCATCGTAACAAAGGAGGTGACATCTAAAAAACATCTAAAAAAAGCAACGACATCTAAAAAAAACTAGTTTAACAGTAACGAATAATAAAAGAGTTCTCTAAAGAATCAAAATAGTTTTTTGGTATGTTAGTAGTTAAATAGTTAGTAGTTTGGATACTTTTTAATTTCTAAATTCTAAACGAAGGATTTAATCAAAGAAGGACAGTTTTCCGTCAGAAGCCAGGTCAAGAGGCTCTTGTGGGCCAGATCTGTTGTCAAGCTGGGTCAGAACAAGACCTGGTTGGAGACCAACAAGACCTTGTGGCACAACTCTGCTACTCCAAAAACAATTCCTTTCTGACGCATTCATCATTTTTCTTACATCAGCATTTGTGTTTCAAGAAAAATGAGTGCTTAAGTGCGTCAGAGACGTTTTTTGAGTGCAAAGTATATCCCAAACAACGTTTTGCTGTACTTAATCTCGTCTACAGGGTTATCCAGGATTACGGGACTAAAGAACTTGAAGATTTAAAGACCAGCTGACATTAAAATGACACAAACTAGCAAAAATTGCTTTGAATACAATAATTTAACATAAAACATTTACTTGGCAGCAACACAGGCCTGCAGGCGTTTTGGGAACACGGTGGCGAAATGATAGGGCGTGTCCAGCTCGTTGCAAGCTTTCTGAAGAGCTTCCTTTAAAGAATCGACTGTTAAATGGGATTTCGAGCATGCTTTGGCTTTCAATACAGAATAATCGAGGGGGTTGAGGTCCGGGTTTGCCTGGTTAAAATCGATAAATTCGGGGAAATTCTCCTTGCACCAATCTAGAACGAGCTTTTTGTACGAGTGCCTCATCCTGTTGAAAGCACCAAATACTGTTTCCAAAATGCTTTTTAGCTTATGTATGTATTTCTTGTTTCAGCATATCCAAATAGAGTAGCATTGCTTGCGAACGTAGCTTTCAAGCGTAGCTGATCTCGAACCTTCTTGGTGACAAAACACCGACAAACTTTACCGACAAAAGGAGCTTTAATACCACAGGACGATCAGAATTCAGGATGATCAGAATCAGAATAACTCTTGAAAGCGTTTGCTTGCGTTAGAAACAAGTTGTTTGTGTATGATCAATCGCTTAGAGATATCCATCGCCAAAATGCTTGTGTAAGTCGATGATCGCATCTCGATATCTTGGCCATTCTAAAAAGACATTTTTGTCAAAAAGTAGTAATTAAATAGTTAAATAAATCAAATAAATCAAAAGAAAGACAAAAATAATATATAAATTTTAAGCAAAAATATACAATATCAAAGATCGCTCTAGTCCTTACAACCCTGTCTAGTTACTCTTTTTCAGTGGCGACTTCTTGGACAAGTTCAACATGCGCGCTGATGGGACGTCGATTTATGCTCGCTTTGCCGGTGACTTCTTTGAGTTTTTAGTTTTTAGTTTGAAGTTTTTGTTTAGCTATTCAATTCGGATGGGATACGGCTCACCCATCAACCAGCTGGTACACCTCACCATTTCCTTCACAGGATAATGCTTCGGTAAATGGAAATTGAAAGGAAATGCTTTAGTTAGTTTAAAATGTAACTTCAAACTAACTAAAGCAAAAAACGAGTCCTTAAAATTTTAAGCATATCATTTGTGAGGTTCGCCTTTTTTCAGATCGTTTTCCGTTTCGACGACTACTATGCGCGTAGCGACGTAAAACGAGTGATTGATGCCAATGTGGATGAAAATTTGGCTCCGAACACCGCTATTGGAGGGTTAGCGAATAGAAAACGCTGGTTCTCGAAACTTTTGCTTTTGCGAAAGACTCTTAAATTTTTGATAGCACTGTATTTGACTTAGAATTGTTAATATTTAGAAAATATTGGGTTAGTGAATTGAAAACTGAAAAGAAAGAAAAAGACAAAGACAAAGAAGCTTGACACTTTTCTCTTTCGAAAGAAAAGAAAGTGCCAAGCTTTTCTAAGCGATACCATCGAAAGGAGTTGAGAAAAGAGAATAGATTCAAGTTTGAAACGATTTGAAATATTGGGTTAGTGAATTGAAAACTGCGGGGCTTTGAACTAAAATTTATTCAACATAAAACCATCAATTCATTCCAAATAATTTTCATTATTATTGACGACTTCTGCCCATTTTACAGACAATTTGCGGATTCCTCTTTCGTAGTAGGATTTTGGTTTGTGTGTGAGACAAGCGTGAGACTCAAAAACGGAGGACTGGAGATGTCGAGATGTTCCAGTTTGAGCATTTGAGCACTTTCTTCAAAAGAAACCCATTTTGGTGTCAATGGAAAAGTTGTAGAGAATCAAAAATTAGGCTTACAGCCAAATTTCCAAAAAGATACACTTAGTAGTTTCGCTTAAAATGCAAGTTTTGTTGCAAGTTTTGTGAAAATTCGTAAATTTGGCATTTCTTGAAAAGCAGTTTTTGAATCATTCTGAAAATTTGAATATAAGCTTGATTTTTGATTCTCTACAACTTTTCCATTGACACCAAAATGGATTTCTTTTGAAGAAAGTGCTCAAACTGTCACATATGACAATAGCCCGCAGCTTTCAATTCATCAACCCAGTATTTACTAGCCTTTAGTCCATCAGGTATATGTTAAAACCAAAATATCCGGGATAGACCAAGAAGCGAAGCCTGGTCTGGTGGGCAGAACGAAATCAGAGTTTACCTCGTTATATTTTGAACGTCGATCACCAAAAGGCACTTGGAATCCACTATGTTATTTGCTTTTAACAAATTCGACGATATTTCGAGCGTACTCGTTACTGTTTTACTGATAATTTGGCGAAAATTCAAAGATAAACTAAACTATTATGGTCATTCGATAGCCCTGAGTCTCCCCTTGAAAACTAGTACAAAGTTATTGAGAACTTTTTGCTGAAGCTGAAAAAAACGATTAATCATAAAATCTACGCTTAATTCTACATAGAATAGAAGAACCGTAACATTTTTAAATGAATTTGTCTTTTTAAATGAATTTTTAAATGACTTAAATGACGATCCGAGCATTACAAAAATCCTATGCGGTACAATACTGAAAAATCGTTAAATTCGAGTTTACGGTTTCTAAAAAATCGTTTTTTTTTTTGCATTAATACGTTTTTTAGAGTTAAAAGTAAATGCTTTTTGTGCTCTATTATTGCAAACGCAAGATTATCTTGGCTAACAAAAATCGGCAAATCTCATTTGGCATTTTGGCAAATCAAATTTTTTCGAGAGCAGCAATCATGTCATGTTTAGAGCATCTTTAAAGCAGCAATCATGTCATGTTTAAAGCATCTTTAAAGCAGCAATCATGAGTTTGGGGTGCGACCCGCTTTAACCTTATCATCGAGGATGATTCTGCTAAGAATGGCCGATTAGCACAAAAGGTTAAAAGGGTTTCCCCAAAGCACTTACAACATAACAAGAACGTGCAGCATCCAACACAAGATTAATACTCGTCGGTGGCGGCACAAATGTTAATAAGCTCTTTCTACAATGTTAAACCAGTTATCTAAACAGGATTTAAAACCTGAAGGGTAGCAGAAAGTAAGTTGAATTTATAATTTTACTATTTATTAGTACAAAACCAAAATGCAACAATACCCATTACAAAAACATCATGCGCATCAATAGAAACAACCAAGTCCCCCCCCTCAGAAAGAAGGCAAAAAGCAACCCGCAGTGCAAAAAAAATAACTTCGGGAAGGGAGAAAAGACGAAAAATGCGACACGAATAATTGCAAAATAGGGACGCAAATAGGAAGGAAACGGACGCGACCCATGTCATGTTTAGAGCAGCAATCATATCATGTTTAAAGCATGTTTAAAGCAGCAATCAAGCAATCAAAGACTTATGTAAAATGAATGAGGTTTTAGATCCTTACACAAATAAATCTAGTGAAAAAATTGTCCGTGGATTTAAAATATCTAAACGAGAACTTATTAACTCATTTGGTTTTTGAGAAAATCATACTTTTTTAGAGCGCAAGACTATACATGTTGACAATTTTTCTTGTCTTTAGAGCTCTCGTCGACGCGACAAACATCTTCACGAATCAACTCCAGAACAATCGAACCCCCGTGATCATTCTTTTCACCAATGGGCTGTGAGTGAATCCTTTGGATCTTTAAACCATTAAATGTTTGAACCAAACCAAACCAAACCAAACCAAACCAAACCAAACCAAACCAAACCAAACCAACTCCAGTCTCGATCGTAAATCTTGTTCAGAGTTCTATATAAAGCTCCTTTTCTCGATATTTTTACAAGTAAGCGCTTAATCTAATCACTATATAGTAGAATTTTATGAGGAATCGAATGAAACTAACCGCAAGTTGCTTGGACGTCTGTAGGTCGAGATCTAGAACTAAGTCTAAGCGCGGCCCTTTCCAAAGCCTCGATTTTGAGGGGTCGAGATCTAAAACTCCGGCCAAAAGGCCAACAGGCCTACAGAGGCCGGAGTTTTAGATCTCAACCTACAGGCTACAGCGGACTTGCGGATGGAACACTTTAGTTTACACTTTAGTTTTACACTTCACTATCAAATTCAAAATTTTATTTAGTGCCGGGGAAACCGATCAAAGTGAGGCGCTTTCGCAAGCCTCGATTTTGAGGGGTTTACTTCAAGTCGACATTTGGTACGGTTTTGAAACTTCTTCACACAAATTCATTTTTGGTGTTTTGGCCACTGAGACAGGCATTCCTCTTTTTTTGCTTATATAAGATAAAATGTGTGCACTAGACTTGGGTTTCGCTTCGGTTTCGGTTCGGATTTTCGGATTCAACCGAACCAAACCGAAATTCTCAGATTTTCGGATGTTCGGATTGAATTTTTTTTTGATTTCGGGTCGAGGCCAAATTTCTTTTCTCATTTATTTTCAAATGCAAATTTTGTACGCAGATTTTGTACGCAAATTTTCGATTTCAAGCGTACAGTACTCGACAATGAAATATGATATTTGAAAAACGATCGTCACTTTTGCGCGTCTGTAACTCCCTTGTCTTTACCGTATTTCTAAATATTAATACTACCGTTGTGTAGCCCTTGAAAAGAGCTTTCAGAAAATGTATAACACTAATAGTTTAAACGCGAAGACAAGGGAGTTACAGACGCGCGAAAGTGACGATCGTTTTTCAAATATCATATTTCATTGTCCAGTACTGTACCTCTTCCCCTCCAAACTACCGTAATCTCGTCTTTTTTTATCGACTTTTTTCTGTCTTGGTTCAAAAAGAATTCGAAAGATACAAAAAGTAGATTTGTCGAGTACTGTAAGGTAAAAATTGTTTCTTTTTTTCAGCATCTTTTCAGCTTTCTAAAACAATGCATTGTTTCAGAAATTCATTTAAAAATGTTACGGTTTCATCAAAATCATAAAATCTACGCTTAATTCTACATATTCGATGTATTAGGTTGATGCATAAGTCTTTTCGTTCCTTTTCGTCTGCCGTTTCAAGCCAACAAATGCACGAATTAAACTACGGTTGATTTCATTAGAAAAACCAATTATTTTTCTGCAAAATAACATTAAAACGGGTTTAAAAATATTTAATGCCTGGATTTTCTTGAGAGTATGAAGTCGGGTAGTCAAAAAGGGCTAACTCGATGATGCGGTTTAGACACCTTAGCTAAAGAAAACCTATCTTCGTGTCAATAGATAAAAGATAGAGAAAAAAAACGTTTGATATTTCGCCAAAATTTCAGAGAAATTCATTCAGCCAATTTTTCCGTAGAGTTTTTTATAGATTTTTACGAAAAAGGCGTTTTTCACTCTCGAATTTGCTTGAAAGTCAACCGAAATTCATTTAAAAAGATGCAAATTGAACAAAAAAACACTTTTTTTTATAGAGCAAACTATAGATTAATTGGTGAATTTGTTACTTTTTAACAGAAGTACGAAAAAAACGAAAAGACAACTTAATAGAATTAAGCGTAGATTTAATGATTAATTGTTTTCTTTCAGCTTAGATTAATGTATTGTTTTAGAAAGCTGAAAAGATGCTGAAAAGAAGAGACAATTTTTACCCTACAGTACTCGACAATGAAATATGATATTTGAAAAACGATCGTCACTTTCGCGCGTCTGTAACTCCCTTGTCTTCGCGTTTAAACTATTAGTGTTATACATTTTCTGAAAGCTCTTTTCAAGGGCTACACAACGGTAGTATTAATATTTAGAAATACGGTAAAGACAAGGGAGTTAAAGGCGCGCAAAAGTGACGATCGTTTTTCAAATATCATATTTCATTGTCCAGTAGTGTACATTCAAATTTCTCTACAACAGATATCCAGTTCGATAGTTTTATTGATACTTAGAGAGAAAACAATTTCAATAAAGTGTGCTGCAAAATTAGTTGCAAAACTGAATTCATTGAAATTTTCGGATTTTCGGCTTGAACTGAGCTGAACCGAACTGAAATTTGCGAACTTTTTGTTTGAACCGAACCGAACCGAACCGAACCGAAAAAAGCGATCCGAAACCCATGTCTAGTGTGCACCCGGTGGTGAGAAATCAGCCATTAATTTTTGGAACTTGTAACGAAAATATTTGTCGTTTCTTTTTGTTGCCATTGGCAATTGAAGGTTTTTCCTATTTTTCTCAGCACCAACCCTTTGATTTTGACTATTTTGAATATCACTCGATGCAGAATAAAATTGCGCATCGAATGATATCAAAATCACCTCAAAATATAATATCCATGCAAAGTTGTTGGCTAAAAACCTAAACCCTGCCCATTATGGGCGGGACCTAACCTTTTGTCTCACAAATTTTGCATGGATATTATATTTTTAGTTGTTTTTGGTGTCATTCGACGCGCAACTTTATTCTGCATCGAATCATAGTCAAAATAGTCAAAATCAAAGGATTGGTGCTGAGAAAAACACGAAAAACTTTAAATTGTCGGGAAAAAGGATAGACAGATGTTTTTGTTACAAGTTTGGTGTTAATCTTTCCAAGCAAATTTTCAGGGTTGTACTTGCTCAGGATGTAACGTCTTCGCCCGACTACTTTGGCCTTCAACTCACCGGGAACAAAACTAATCAACTCTTTAACTCGACGAGTGACGCCTATAGCACTGATGGTATCTTTTCGGCGTTCGGCAAAAAGTACCCGTGTGCGGTGAGTGATCATTGGACATTAGATCATTGAACATTAGATCATTGGACATTAGATCATTAGACAGACAGACAGAACAGTTCAGATCAAGCCTAGAACAAGACTTTGGACTAGACATTACTACTAGACGGATTACGGTGAAGGGGGCATACCTTAGAGTGACTTTTGCATATTGTTTTATGCATCTAGCTTTAATAACATGCCCAAATTTAGACCCCAACTTCTCCACCGGTGACCGAGGTGTGCCCTTGCACGATCAACAAATCGTGGAACGATGTGATGATTTTGGCGGACGGAAGCGATAATATGGGGAACGATCGTTTCACACAGGTGACTCACAGCTTTTTTTTAAAAAAGTGTACTTTAAAAATGCATAGGATATGCACTGCTTTGAACAGAAAGAAGCACCGCTTCGCCACCCATTCTAGAGAAATTTAATTAAAACTCTTGCAAGTTAAAAAGAAAAGAAAATAAACAATGGATTAAAAAATGACGAACAAGATACAAATGCCACTTAGACGGGCAAATATCGCGCAATAATTTTTGTGTTTGGTTGCAAAATAGAAAACACGGCTTTCGTTAACAGAAAGCACTGCAAAATCGAAAACAGAGCTTTCATTTGTATTTTGTAAATTGCCGATGTAAAATGTTAATTTATTCTGGAAGCCCGATTGATCGGATCGAATCGGATTGGGTTAGCCCGCTCCGATCCGATTGAGCTAGCCCGGTCCGATCCGATTGCGCTAGCCCGCTCCGCTCCGATCCGATTAGGCTAGCCAGCTCCGATCCGATTGGGCTAGTCCGCTCCGATCCGATTGGGCTAGCCTAGTCCGATCCGATTGAGCTAGTCCGCTCCGATCCGATTGGGCTAGCCAGCTCCGATCCGATTGGGCTAGCCTGGTCCGATCCGATCCGATTGGGCTAGCCTAGTCCGATCCGATTGAGCTAGTCCGCTCCGATCCGATTGGGCTAGCCAGCTCCGATCCGATTGGGCTAGCCTGGTCCGATCCGATCCGATTGGGCTAGCCTAGTCCGATCCGATTGAGCTAGTCCGCTCCGATCCGATTGGGCTAGCCAGCTCCGATCCGATTGGGCTAGCCTGGTCCGATCCGATCCGATTGGGCTAGCCTAGTCCGATCCGATTGAGCTAGTCCGCTCCGATCCGATCCGATTGGGCTAGCCTGGTCCGATCCGATTGGGCTAGCCTAGTCCGATCCGATTGAGCTAGTCCGCTCCGATCCGATCCGATTGGGCTAGCCTGGTCCGATCCGATAGGGCTAGCCTAGTCCGATCCGATTGAGCTAGTCCGCTCCGATCCGATCCGATTGGGCTAGCCTGGTCCGATCCGATTGGGCTAGCCTAGTCCGATCCGATTAGGCTAGCCCGCTCCGATCCGATTGGGCTAGCCTAGTCCGATCCGATTAGGCTAGCCCGCTCCGATCCGATTGGGCTAGCCTAGTCCGATCCGATTAGGCTAGCCCGCTCCGATCCTATCCGATAACCATGTTAACTTATGTTTCAGATGTGGGGTTTCATTGTATCAGCGCTGGGCGAAGCGACTATCGGACAGCAGATCGCCTATCAAACGAGAGTCGGTGTGGTGGTGTACGGGAATAATGTGAGTTGTGAGCGGTAGTTATTTCGCTTTTTTACAAGGGAAAGTCACAAAGCTGAGGTGGCCAAATGAAATGAGCCATACGACGCAGAATTTTACGCTATTTCCGATGCTGCTATCCGTTTTTGTTTTCAAACGCCCGCCGAGTTTGTTTTAAAGATGAGAAACTCTGTCAGGCCATGAATTGTGGAAAATTAGCTTTTATGTTTTCAAAATTTTCTTTTGATAATAAAATATAGCTGAAATTTAACATGGTACAATCGCTAAAAATCGATTTTTAAAAAATTTGTCGAAGGGATTTCAAAAATTCTTTTATTTCCGGATTCAGCACATTTTTCTGCGTCGAATGGCGCAATTCAAAAGTAAAAATCCTATAGAAAACACATTTTCGCGTGGATTCTTCGGATATTTTCGGATTGAAAGGCCTTGGACGGACGAGATTGTAAATACCCATAACTTGATAATATAAAAGCAAAACTTTAGGTGAGTTGTGTTAAAAAAAGTTTTCACAAAGATCAAGCTATAAAGAAGATTCCAAAGTTTACCTGTGAATCGTTTTGCGGTAGATCGTATCGGTGTTAAAACTAGAGTGTGTTCCTCGCGAGTAATGCCTTTTTTAAAAGGAACGCCAGAAAAATTACTGTACTTTTAGCGAAATTATTGCAAAAAAATTGGCATCAAACCGGTTTGTTTTACCACGTGAACACATGGTGTCTAATAAAAAAAACTTTTGAACTCGAAATTCTGAAAATAAATATAAAGGTTATCTATTTTCAGAATATGGTTAGATATAAAGGGTGCGCATTAAGTATGAGCTATTTAAGAGACTCTCAGCTAGAAATGTGTATTAATAAACACAATCTTTTTTGACAAAGGAGTATTTTCTTTAAACTTGGCAGGAAAAATCATTAAATCATTAAGTTGCTGTACAGTATGAGCGTAGCGTTAACGTAATTGATTTTTAATCTTTTTCAAAAGGCACGAATGTGGCAGGCGCGTGGGTACCCGCCACCAAGTTGGTCTCAGGCTTTGATAGGAACCGAATGGGAGCTTAATAGGAGCCGAATGTGGACCTAATAGGAACCGAATAGGAACCGAATTGGAACCGAATGGGAGCTTAATAGGAACCAAATGGGGACCTAATAGGAACCGAATAGGAACCGAATTGGAACCGAATGGGAGCTTAATAGGAACCAAATGGGGACCTAATAGAAACCGAATAGGAACCGAATTGGAACCGAATGGGAGCTTAATAGGAACCAAATGGGGACCTAATAGGAACCAAATGTGCACCGAATGGGAACCTGATAGCAACCGAATAGGAACTGAATAGAAACCGAATGAGATTTTTGCTAGTAACTTAAACTCCCATAAACATATTATCGAAATTATAGTCTTTGATATTGAATTAACAAGAAAGCCCAAAACATTGAAGTTTACCAACTGTGAAGACCTAAGAAAACAAAGCGGAACCTCAATAAAACACTTTCTTCTGGCTTTCCTGCACAAGAATTGGCTGTGAGCGGAAGCGAGAGTTGCTATTGATGAAACTTTTTGTGGAATAAACTTTAACTATTTTAATAATATACACGGTGGGGCAGAATTATGGCAACCAGCACGCACGCGCTTAATTGAGTTGGTTGACGACAAATATAGTGTTTCTACTGGATCATTTTGTGTTTTTTCTGTAATTTGATGATCTTACAATGTTCTTATTGCAACAAAAAATGATAAATTTAAGAATGGTCAAGAAATCCGTTCACCGATCATCGAGCTACACCGGAAGGGAATAGAACAATTACTACAGGGATTTTTCTTGCTGTCTATTAAGCGGTCCATAATTAATGCGCACCCTGTAGGTATTTAGTTAGTGGGTTTCAAAAAGAAAATTTCCAGTTTGTCTTTAAAAAATTCGAGTTATTGGAAGTCTTTTGGTGAAGGTTAATGAAAGGTTTTTGTGATATTCTATATTGAATATTTCAATGGGAAAATTCTAATCACTGCAAAAAAAAGATTGGGTATAGAATGCCCCAGGAAAAGCGACTGGATGCTATTTTGTGGGACAAAAGTTTTACAAAATAGCCTCATGAATATGGCCTCAAAATAGCCTCAAAGCCTTCAGGGTCACGCAAATTTCCTTCAAAGCTACTGGAAGAAAGAAAAGGAACCGGTGAGAAACATGCTGAAAACGATCAAAAAGGAGTGCCGAAAATTGGACAAAATCGAGTTCAACATTTTCTACGTTTCGGTTGGCGTCAAAGAAAAGAACGCATCGAGTGAAACAAACGGCGAATTCGGCAATCTGGAGATCCCGCGTAGGTTTTTATGTACTTTATTTTAAAACAGATAAAACAGATAAAACAGATAAAACAGATAAAACAGATTTTTCACTCAAATAAACAAATTTTATCATTCGATAGCAAAAATCCACTATAATAGCCTCCAATCAATATTTTTCAATAGCTTCCCCTATGTATGATGATAAAATGTGTGGAATTTTAGTGCTCCAGCTGAGTAAGTCAAAGAAAGTTTTGGATTTGAGCGACCCGGGAACGATTTACCCGTCATTTGAACATTACCTCAAAAACAACAAGCTGGAGCGGAGCGTTATCGTTTATCCCGAAGAAGCCACATATGCTCAACAACAGGTAAGTCTAGAAAACTACACGAATAGTTTGTGAGCTTAAATTTCAATTCTTCTATTAATAGCAATGCTCATTTACAGGTGCAATTGAAGGTGTGCGAGTCGCCGAGTTGCACTCTCACAAGCGATATCGCAAACGTCGTCAACCAGGTGTTTAACATTGTCTCGGTGGCGGCCATGTTATGGACACCGGGCTGCTTGCTGGCTGGCCGAGCACTCGCCACGATGAGCGCTCGCATTTTCACACAGGGATCCTTTTGGGCGGTGGCCCTGCTGAGAGCATCGGTAGCGGTGAATTCGGCTACGAAATACGCCCGTGCAATCACGACCATCACCTCTCTGTTCGGAGGCGCTTTTGCTGGAATGTGAGTTTTCAAGGTACTCGCAACTCTGAACCACTTTTTCAAATTTACTTTTACAATGATGGACGTAAAAATCACTTGTCACTGTAGGCTGGGATACCTGTGACTCTAACCATTTAAAAAACCAAATCAAATTTGCAAAACCTACATTGCTTTATCTGGGACTATATCAAAAGAGCGCCGTGATCAAAAGGGCGCCGTGATCAAAAGAGCACCGTGATCAAAAGGGCGCCAATGCAAAAACGGTCAAAAGAGCGTCAAGCCTTGTCTTATTAAATTCAACCACCAACTGCATTTTAACTTTTTTCTTGTTTTTTCTTTAAGACTCCTGTATTGATTCCAAATATTTATATAAATAATTCTTTTAACAAATTAATAGAATAACAAAAATGATAACAACATGATAACAATGATAACAACAATCGATGTAAAATGAAAGAGATTTAAGATGTTTTGATTGACGTCAACGTGGAGTCCTGAAAATTCTCCGTTTCCTAAAACGTTTCTCGATCAAACTAAAATTTTCTCGATCACCGTAATCTTGTCTCTACTTTTTTAATCTAATAAATCGACTTTTATATCTTTGCGATATCCTTTCTGAGCTCTCAGAGAAACTGAAAAAAAAAAGCGGATTTCCGAATTCATCTAACAGTTTCGACCAATTAAATCCAAAGTAACAGACCAATTAAATCCGAGTTCTACTTGGTAGAATTGATAAAATGAATACCGGCAAGAAAATCCAGGCATTAAATATTTTTAAACCCGTTTTAATGTTATTTTGCAGAAAAATAATTGGTTTTTCTAATGAAATCAACCGTAGTTTAATTCGTGCATTTGTTTGCTTGAAACGGCAGACGAAAAAAATGAAAAAGACTTTTGCATCAACCTAATATTAATCAAAGTGTCTATGCAGAATCACAAATCTCTTTTGGCGAAATAGCTTCAAACTTTTGAGCACTCTTGAGCTATTCATTTTTTTGAAATTCACGGTCTGACACCGCTCAGTAAAACGGCTGCAAAAACTTTGAAAATTGATATATTAAAATATGGTTTTTTTTTTATCCAATTTACTAGAAAATTAGCTTTCAAATGAGGTATTACAAGTTTAAGACCCTCACCCAAAATGTCGGCAAAGAATTCCTTCCCAACTTAATAGATCATTTGTCTGAATAGCTGTGCTTAATTTAAAACCCCATAAGCACTCTCTGTTGCTACCTATTGTTGTCAATAAATTGCATTAAAAATACCAGCAAGCACATGAGCAAAATGTTAAAAACCGAGAAATAAGTCTAAAATGGTCCCCTCGAAGTTACAGAAGCCAAACTTTTATATTTAGAATTAACTAGGTTAGCCTAGAAACTATTACTACCAAATAGACTATTTGATACTATTTAAGAAGAAAAAGTAAATAGCTTGTTTGTTTTTGAAAAGGGGATCAGCTAACTAATAGTGAGAAAGAAATGGTTTCTTAAAATGCCTTTTGAACTTTAGATTCATCAACAAACTAATCTTTTCACTAGAAAACATGCTAGGGTTTCCAATTTCTTTGTGTTGTTCAAGGAGAAAAACTTTCACTTCATTTTCAGAAACTCCAACAGCATCTGATCTTGACATATCAAAAATTCTTTATCCAATTTAACAAAGAGATTCACGAGTTTATTGAAACCGAGATGAAACGTTTCGCCTTTCCTTCAAACCTCGCAATCGGCGAAGTTGTATCATTTGTGAAAGTCGCGCCGAGTGTGATGAGTTTTCGTCGGGAAACCGAAGAGAAATTCATGATTGAGGCCAGCAAAACGGTTAACGCTTTTGCATATTTGATGGCCGAATTCGCTACGAACGACGCCCCGTTCAGTGAAATGACGATGCCCGAGTTGCACACGAGTTTCTCTTTTGCTCGACTTGAAGGAATCGTCCGTAAAACCATCATCGACTTTGCCAGTTATCTACAAGTGGAAGCTACTAATAATGCAATCATGAACACGGCACTTTGCGAGGATTTCGGAAACGAGTTGGTGAAGTTGGTCGCCGTTTCGTGTCAAGCCATTTACATAACAAAAACAAGCAACGACTTAACGAGTTTCATGCTAGAGCTGCGAAAACCAGGCGATAACACGGATTTGCGAGAATTTGAGAGGCAAGACAACAAACTGAAGTCATCTCTGGCTCACTTCTACACAGAAATTCAACAAAAGAAGCAAAATCAGATGCTATTGCATGAGCTCGTCACTGCTCTGCACCTCTCGAAGGACGAAAAGAAAATGCTGCAGTTGGCCATCAAATTTGGGTATCCCATTCCGAAGCATGCTATGCGATGTCTCGTCGACAATGTGAACAAAATTCTGGATAAAGATAATCACATTACAATTAAGGTAGAGTTTTTTTTATTTTTTTCTTCAATTTTCTAACTAGGGACCGTTGTTTATTTATTTATTTATTTACCACTGACTTTCGAGGTGGGACTTAGCCTATTTTGTAGCAAATTTTTCGCTGATTCCGAATATCTAGATCGTTTGTGTGTAATGGGTTCAAATTTTCGATTTAAATCCGTTTGAAGTTTCTGTGTCAAAAAAAGGAAGTTTCTGAGTGTTGCGCTAATTATCTGACCGCGCGAGTGTCAAGCTATCTTGAGCGCGCCATCGAAGACAAATCGTCGTGGCCAAGTGATTCGTGCGGGCTCTTGCTAGGCTCTCGCTAGACCCTAGGCTCTTTTTGGCCCTGGTTCAAGCCTGGACTTGAATAAAACTTTTGCTTTTTGTAAAAGAAAATTCTTGTTAAAGTCATAAATGTGAAATCTTGCAAACCGCATAGCCATATTCATGTAAACACTAATTTATGCAACTTTATGTAGTTTAAATTTGGATAATTTTATTTCATGACCTTCTGTGATAGTTTAAACACGATTTATTTCAACAAACAATATAAATATAATATAAATTTTTGGAAATCGCTTTTGTAAAGAGCAAAAGTTTTATCCAAGTCCAGGCTTGAACCAGGGCCAAAAAAAGCCTAGGGCCTAGGGCCTAGCAAGAGCCCAGATAATAAGCGCAACACTCAAAAACTACTTTTTTTTTTACACAGAAACTTCAAACGAATTTTTGAATCGAAAATTTGAACCCATTACACAAAAACGATCTAGATATCCGGAATCAGCGAAAAATTTGCTACAAAATAGGCTAGGTTTCACCTCAAAACTCAGTGATAAATAAACAACAATCCCTAGTAAGGTATCAAACGATTTTATTCTCAAGTTTCAATCTCAAAACGGTAAGTATAAGTTAGAAATTAAAATGAATCTTATCACAAATCGCGAATCTTTATCATATCTTTATGCGAATTAAAATGTGGGTATTTATATTACAAATAAACGTTAAAATGCTCAAAAGCAATCCGATTTATCAGAAATTTATGTGATCTACATATCTAGGTGGCCGGTCAACACTATGGAACGAGGGGCAACGTTGTTGAGATCGATCAAATCGATGGCTGTTTCTTTGTGACAAACGAGGACTATCACCGATTTACGAGATTGATTGCCCATCAAACTTCTGGAAACCACAACTTGTCGACCGGAAACTCTTTCCTCCTAGAGGCCCTTCAAAAGCGGTTCCCGTCAAGCGAGGCTTTCAGAGAGTCGGAAATCTTTAGGAAACACTTGTGTGACGCATTTTTCCTGTGAATTAGAAAATAGAATAAAATAGATACGCTTCAAGAAAGTAAATCAACACTATATAAAGAAATTGGCGTAAAAAAATTGCAATTTGTAAACGAAGTTTCCAATAAAATGTCTTGTCTCTGTCTGTTCTTAAATTTCCCTTCAACACTACAAATTTTTGCTAAAAAAATACGACATACTACAGATGTTTTTCTGAACGAGTTTAACAAAAATGCTATCGTTGGGGTTCGATACGGCCATATAGTCGAGAGAATCGCTTTCAGAATCATTCCAGAATCGCTCATCGTCGTCTCGGAGCAAAGATTTTACTCGATAAGTCGTCCTAAAACTTTTTTTCATTTTTGCCAAGATTTACTATTAGGTTTGCGCAGAAGTCTTGGTCAAATTTTTATTTAAAAATTTATTCACAACCAAACAAGCATTTTACTCGAAATAGTTTCCGTTATTTTGAATAGTCTTCGCCCATTTTATTAGAAGTTGGCGAATTCCTCTTCCCCAAAGAAAATTTTTTGGTTTCGAGTGGAAATAGTTTTGAAGCCACTTTTTGAGGTTGTCTTTGTTTTGAAAATGCTCCCCATCCAGGGAATGTTGCATTGATCGGAAAAGATGATAATGGGGCAAGGTCTGGAGAACGAGGAGGGTGAGGTAAGATTTCCCAGTCCAGGCTATGGATTGGGGTGAGTTTTGCCGTATGTGGGCGGGCATTGTGGTGAAGAAGGCTTTTCGGTGCTTCAATTCAGCTGGTGTTCTTGATTTCTTCTTTGCGCTTTTGTTGCTAATTGCTGTATAATAAAGCACAAAAGGGGTTTTTGATTATTAAATGAACAGGGGTTATTTTTGCGGATGTATAACGGAAATGATCGATGTTTATTTTTGCGGATGTATAACTTTACCCACCATGTAACTTACTGCAGTTCCATCTTTAACTGTGAAATTATAATTTTCTCATATGCCAACCTTTCCGTTTCCAACCGCTAACCTTCCGGGTAGCGCAGAAAACGTCAAGAATCCACTAGAGCTTCGAGATCAACATCATCTATAGATAATTTAAAGGTTTCGAGACTATTGGACTCTCTCAAAACTCTGGTGAGTCGATTCCAAATGGCAATTCTCGCAGTTCTTTTTAGAAAAGAGTTATACACAAACTGATTAAAGGTGGCTGGGATTTCTAAAACGAAAGAACCTCTCCTTGAACTAACCGTGGGATTAACAAAATTTCCTCATATCATAGATTGTACAGGGTGCTCCATAATTGTTGCAATAGTATCGTGCGCTTTCAAGGACAATAATCTATTGATTTAAGCTTCATTTCTGGTTTTTTGTGTTTTTATTATATTTGGAATATAATTGAAACTTTTCTCATATAAAATGCGTTTTTTAGAATGATTGGAGAATCCCCATCAACAATCGATCATCATGCTGCAGCTGATGACAATCGATCATGCTGCAGCTAATGACAATCGATCATCATCGATCATGCTGACGTACAAGCGAGGAGTCTCGGCGCCGGAGATTCATAAGCGTCTTAAAGTCGACAGAAGTTTCATTTTCCGCACTATTCAACGCTAGAAAACTAAAAACGAATGTTCATTGGCTTATGATTTCGACTCAGTTTTGATTATTTAGTGTATAATAAAAGTTCTTTTGTTTGTTGAGTGGGAAAATGGCAAGAATCGACTGTTCTATTCAAAAGACTCTCCCCAGCCCATCTCTTTCTCTTTCACGCGCTCTTTTTTGCACTCCTTGTGCGCTCTTTGCATCTCGACGTAATCGTATCCCATCTGGCATCCGTTCTTTCCATAACCCACACCCATTCGCTCCTCATAAACTTACCTGGCTGGGGGGCTCTCGTGATCATCAAGACGGGACCCCCATGGCGAGGCTCGGCCATTGCACTTTAGGCTGGGTTGACCTGTGTGGCAGTCCCGAGTTGGGATTCGCTAACAGCTAAATTTTTGCGTGAGGGGCTGCGTTCGCGCGGCCCTGCTAAAGAAAACCGATAAAGTGGTTGGGATTATTCAGCTGCTCATTAAAAATAGCCATTTATCGAAACCAACAAAGGATAGAGTGGCTAAGTTGAGAGATCATCGAGATTTAGCCTCAACAGAGCAGCTAAATTTTTGCGTGAGGGGCTGCGTTCGCGCGGCCCTGCTAAAGAAAACGGATGGAGTGATTGGGATATTCAGCTGATCATTAAAAATAGCTATTTCTCGAAACCAACAAAGGATAGAGTGGTCAAGTTGAGAGATCATCGAGATTCAGCCTCCTTTTTTTGCAGAGCTCTCGAATTTTTGCATCTTCAAGGAATTATGCATTGGGTAAAAGAAAACGAGGACTTTTGTTTTAATAGAGAATGACTTAGAGAAAAGGTATCGCAAATTTTAAATGTTGATTTTTGGCACGACGTCGCATTCGAATTGGCGTCACCACCATTTGGAGATAAAAACAAAAACAATTTCGTCCTAATTAGGACACAACTTTCACACGATGAAAGGAAAGCAGAAAAATAATAAAAAGAAAAAGATCAAATGAACAACAATTGCCTTATATAGGCTTTAACACAAGATATTCAGCTAAGAAGGTACAAAACAATGATTTTGGGCGCGAAATAGAATGAAGACGCACGGATTTCGGCAATACTTTTCCAATTTTTAGGCTGTCAGAATTAGGTAACTTTTTAGTGGCTATTCGTCACAAAAGCCTCAAAAGATTTGTTTTTTTTAAGATGAAACTATGAACCTGGAATGGGCATAGAAAAAGACGATTCTTAGAAAGGAAACCATTCTATTGTTATAGGAAACTTGCCGCTTTATCTATTGGGTTGGTGAGTTGAAAACTGCGGGACTTTGAACTAAAATTCATTCAACATAAATCCATCAATTCATTCCAAATAATTTCCATTATTATTGACGACTTCTGCCCATTTTACAGGCAATTTGCGGATTCCTCTTTCGTAGCAGGATTTTGGTTTGTGTGTGAGACAAGTGTGAGACTCAAAAATGGAGGACTGGAGATGTCGAGATGTCCCAGTTTGAGCATTTGAGCACTTTCTTCAAAAGAAACCCATTTTGGTGTCAATAGAAAAGTTGTAGAGAATCAAAAATCAGGCTGATAGCCAAATTTCCAAAAAGATACACTTAGTAGTTTCGCTTAAAATGCAAGTTTTGTTGCCAGTTTTGTGAAAATTCGTAAATTTGGCATTTCTTGAAAACCTGTTTTTGAATTGTTCTGCAAATTTGGATTTGAGCTTAATTTTTGATTCTCTACAACTTTTCCATTGACACCAGAATGGGTTTCTTTTGAAGAAAGTGCTCAAACTGTCACATATGACAATAGCCCGCAGCTTTCAATTCATCAACCCAATAAAAATGAAAAATCGTTAAAGCTCTCATTTCTTGATCAATATTTTCTATGAAAAACTATCAAAAGAAAGGAAAATTTATTTGAAGGTGAAGAAAGTAAAAGCTCAGAAATTTTGAGATTCGATTTTCAGATTTTCTCGGAATCAGATTTTCTCGGTGAAGGTGAATGGCTTGTTAAATGTTTAAATGAGTGACAAAAATAACAATCATTATCAAATTATGCAAAAATTTTGATGGAAATTCAATCTTTTTCACATTTTTGATAAATCTCTTTTCTTTCAGCAGCAATCACGTTTAAAGTCTTGAAACGAATGAACGAACGAATTAAATTTTTCAATAAACTCATGAATCTAGTAGAAAAATGTCTATAGATTTGAAATCTCTAAACGAAAAAAGTGTCAACTCTTTTGATTTTAGAGAAATTATATTGTAATCATATTGTAAAGCGAAACACTAAGTTTGGGGTGCGATTCGCTTTAACCTTGTCATGACTTTGCTTCAGAATAGCCGAGTAGCACAAAAAGGTGGATGACTTTGCTTCAGAATAGCCGAGTAGCACAAAAAGGTGGATGACTTTGCTTCAGAATAGCCGAGTAGCACAAAAAGGTTAAAAGTGTTTCCCCAAAACGCTTACAACATAACAAGAACACGCAGCATCCAACATAAGGCTAATACTCGTGATAAGAGTAAAGAACGGATTGATACTTTGTCGATGGCGACACAAATGTTAGTAAGTTCTTTCTACAGTGTTAAACCCGCCATCTAAATAGGATTTAAAACTTGAAGGGTAGCATAAAGTAAATTGAATTTCTAATTTTACTGTTTATTAGTACAGAACCAAAAATGCAACGATAGCCATTACAGCATGCGGGGTGGGACAAATGCGACCTTTTTTTGCGCACCTGGACATTTGCGCACCTTTTTTTTGCTGGAAAAGGTCTTAGGCAAGGCCGTAGAGCTTCGAAAATACTTCCATATAAGGGAATCGTATGCGTAGATTCCGAATTTCGACAAATCAGACCTCGCTGACACGTCAAATTTGGGCTAAAAGGCAAAAACTACGCAACTTAACGCTTTTCCGCAGTTTTTGCCTTTTAGCCCAAATTTGACGTGTCAGCGAGGTCTGATTTGTCAAAATTCTGAATCTACGCATACGATTCCCTTCTATGAAAACATTTTTGAAGCTCTACGACCTTTCCTAAAGTCTTTTCCAGCAAAAAAAAAGGTGGGCAAAAAAAGGTCGCATTTGTCCCACCCCCCAGCATGTGCATGAATAGAAACATCAAAGTCCCTGAAGAACGAAGGCAAAAACTCCAACCCCAAAAATGGCCAGAAGCTCTGCCCAAAAAAATCCCCTCCTCTAATAAAAATAATAATTTCGGGAAGAGAGAAAAAAGACGAAAAAATGCGACGCGAATAATTAGGAATGCGACGCGAAATAAATAGGAACGCAAAAAGGACGGAAACGGATGCGACCACTATATTCTCTAGAGTTTTCTAGAGTTCTAGAGTCTCTAGAGTCAAGAAAGTAGTGAGTCTGGAAATTCAGGAAGTCAACCAGCTAAAATGTTCAACGATTTTGATGGTCATACCCACATCTGGTAGATACAACTGATACTATTTTAGAGAAATCATATTGTAAAGTGAAACACCATATTCTCTAGAGTTTTCTAGAGGCTCTAGAGTTAATGTAATAAAGTTAATGAGTTTAAGAGATTAATTTTGTTATTGACAAGTTATTTACAAAGTTATTCACAAGTTATTTACAATTTGTGACTTCATAGAAAGAATTCATCCGTTTTATTTTGTCTTTTGAGTTCATTGCCGCTCTCCGGAAATTGCTTATTTTCTTGTGCCCAATGTAAGTTAAAAAAACCGGGATAATGATCATTTCTTAGAAACGTTTTAATTTTTTAATTTAAGATTTAGTCAAGAAAGTAGTGTGAGTTTGAAAATTCACGCAGTCCATCATCTAAAATGTTCAACGATTTTGATGGTCATACCCACATCTGGTAGATACAACTGATACCACGTTGTTCACTATCGGCAACCTTTTGAACACCCAAAGAGTTTGTTTTCTCAATGAATGTCTTCGAAGTGCCTTGGCGGGAGTCGAACCCGCGAACCCGCGCCCTGAAAACAAACGCGCAACCAATTGGCCACAGATGATCGGGGGACTGGCGGGCAAAGGGGGCTTTTGAAGGCCACTCAAAAAGTCTTTTTGAATAAATTGAACAAAGTTTGGAGTTTTTTTTAAGATATTAAATTCGGAAAGTTGAAAAATAGAGATTTTATAATCGTTCTTGGCTTTAAACTCTAAAAATCGTTCTTTAAAAAGCGTACTTGGCTTCGATTTAGGCTTGGGTTTGAGCAATTCGGCTTGGGTGATCAATTCAATCAAAAGCCAAGTCAAGAGTAAAAGTTTATATCAAAAACAGCTCTATCTAAGCGTTTTAAGCATTCTATTTACTTTATTAGTCTTATAAAAGCATTTATATCATCAAAAAAGTCGTTTTCTTTATTTCTCAAGTTAAGGGGGGTATTAATCGCGGCCGGGTGACGATAAAAATTTTTTTACGGCAACCACCTGTTTTTTTATTTTAATATCGCTGATTTTATTATAAAAAGAATAAAAATCACCCGGCTAGAGTGATTTGATGGGTTTACAAATTTTTGGAGATGCTGCAAGGCTTGGAGGAAAACAAGATCGTCACTCATCAGACACCTCAGCACAGTCTAGATCGATTGAGTTTTAGTTGCAGATAAATTTAAAAACAAAATAAAAAAGCACAAAAAAGTAATAAAAATAAATTGTTAATCTATAATTCTTCCTCTTGCTCACTTTCATCTTCGCTCAAGTACAGCAGTTCGGCTCAAGTACAGCAGTACAAATCGGCTTCCTATCTTATCAATTTCCAGCGCATCTTCACCAAAAGTGACTGGATCTCCTCCATCGTAGGACGTCTTCAGCGCTTTGATTGACACAATTAGATCTTTTTTCATTTGTGGTCGCTTATGGTTTTAGTTTTCTCAAATAGGTGCCTTTTAGCTGAGGTGTCTGATGAGTGACGATCTTGTTTTTCTCCAAGCCTTGCAGTGTCTCCAAAAATTTGTAAACCCATCAAATCACTCTAGCCGGGTGATTTTTATTCTTTTTATAATAAAATCAGCGATATTAAAACAAAAAAACAGGTGGTTGCCGTAAAAAATTTTTTATTGTCACCCGGCCGCGATTAATACCCCCCCCCCTTTAACGAAATTTTCATCAACGCACAAAACGCTTTTCTTTAAGCCTGAACATCAAAAGAACTCAAAAAAAGCACCAAAAAGCCTTTGAAATATAAAATTAGCATAAGAAATATAGAATATAGAAACTGAATTGAATATTTCGATTAGAAGCCTTGTTTTGTGATTTGAAAGAGTAAAAGACTGGTAAAAAGTTGAAACAAGCTATTGCTAATAACACTAAAAAAACGAATTAAAGCTAACATTCTGCCATTAGGCATTTCCATTGCATTTACACAACTCAGAGTTGATATTTTGAATGTTTTATCAATAATTTAAAGCAAAAGAGAGCAAAGACTTCAAATAGAGTTAATATTTTCGAAAATTAATTAAATTCTTACTCGTCTACTTCTCTTGCTCGATCGAGATCGCTAGAGAAAGATGCACTTATTATTCATTCGATTATTATTCTTAAATTATTCACTTTCTGAAAATGAATCAAAATTCTCTTTCACGTTTCACCTCTCTTTTCACCAGCCCATCTCTTTCTCTTTCACGCGCTCTTTGTGCACTCTTTGTGCGCTCTTTGCATGTGATCGCCGTAATCGTATTCCATCTGGCATCCGCTCTTTCCATAACCCACACCACTTCCCCCCCAATAAACTTACCTGGCTGGGGGGCTCTCGTGATCATGAAGACGGGACCCCCATGGCGAGGCTGGGCCATTGCACTTTAGGCTGGGTTGACCTGTGTGGCAGTCCCGAGTTGGGATTCGCTAACAGCTAAATTTTTGCGTGAGGGGCTGCGTGCGCGCGGCCCTGCTAAAGAAAGCCGATAGTGATGGGGGACATTTCCGCTGATCCTTAAAGATAGCCATTTCTCGCCAAAAGCCAAAAATAGTCATTTCTCGAAACAAACAAAGGATAGATTGGTCAATTTGAGAGATCATCGAGATTTAGCCTCCTTTTTTTGCAGAGCTTTCGAATTTTTGCATCTTCATGGAATTATCCATTGGGTAAAAGAAAAAATATAAATTATTGCTTTTAGAATTTAGCTTCAAAAATATTGAGATGAATCGAGCGATTTTGAAATAAAATGCTGATTTTGCTGCTCGATTTTGGGTGTCTAGCAAGTTTTACTCGGATCAACCAGATGTGAAAACGCATGATAGCTCCGTATAGCTCAATGATCCCACCAGGCTGCTAGCTCGGGTTAAAGACTAAGCCATGCTTAACTTAGTCCGGATATCTGGTTGATCCTACCAGGTTGTCACCCTAGGCTAAAAGACTAAGCCATGCATATCTTAGTTCGGATATCTGGTTGATCCCACCAGACTGCTAGCTCGGGTTAAAGACTAAGCCATGCTTATCTTAGTTCGGATACATTGTAATGATGCAAAATGATCAATTTAGTTAATTTGCTTTTACTTTATTAGGATATACGCGCAAAGTCGCAACCCTTTTCAAATGATTAATTCAGATTACAGATTTATATCCTGATTTTTGTAGTTTTCAAAAGTTGGCATCTTTTAGAAAACTTTGATTTAATTGGTTGACCAAATTAAAGCCTCAGCCAAATTGGCCACTTGGTTGACCGAAAGCTTTATTGTTAGCAGAAATCTAGCTAGCTGAATAAACTTTATTACATTAAAACTGTCTTGTCTTGGCAACAATAGTCTTAGCAATTGAATTTATCAAGATTTATCTTCTAATTCAATTCAATATCATGCACTTTCTTTGAGACTTCGCTTTCCGAATATTGATAACAGAGGAAAACGCAGATGAATAGTAAAGTGATGAAGAAAAGTGTCGACAAAGCGCTCATCAGAATTAAGCCATCGAATTTGTGCATTTCCCATTCGATTGCAGTTGTGGCTTCTGAAAATCAAAAAAGCTGAATATTTTTGCATTATAAAAGCCTTTGTTTACTGTCCTACTTGTCTTTTTTTATCCTAAAACTTTTTCTAAAATGTTCGCTCGGCAAAAAGCTACCGGAATCTTAGATTAAGCCTTGAGTGTACCAGCAAGGATGCATTTCATTACAAACATTACAAACTTTTGACACAAAGGACACCAGTGGCCGCGCACTTTGTGACTGTTACGTCCGATCTAGAAGTCTGTCCGACCTAGACTGATTCTAGATCGGCGTCCGACCGGGGTCGTTTTTAGGGTCGTAGAATCTATTGGTTGGGCTTATTTTAAGCCTTTGTCTCAAGAAAAGTCCCAAGAGAATCGATAGGGTCTTGGGTTATGGATATGATCTCTTTTCACAATGAAAAGATCCTGATTTCTGAGTGGAAGCGCTTTTCCGTATGTTTTACATCGAGTACATCAAAAAAAGCGTGCATTTCTCAAAGAAGCTTTTACCAAAATTCTCGTCTTGAATCTGCAGCCCGTGCCAGGTCAATGAGGATCGGTTTTGAGTCTGAAAAAGTCGGTTTTAATTTAGTAGAAGTTTATGGTTAATTTTTTAGCATTATAACCTATATCTTTACGTTTTTCTCTTAATTCGTAATTCTTTTATGCTCAAAACTTACATAATTCTTTATTTCGTGGAAAATTCTTTCCTCGATCGTGATTCCAGTGTCCATGTTTTGCCGACCCGGTTTATGATATCCACCTAGGAAAATTGATCAACATTATCGGTCATTATTGACTTTATATTGTATTCTAAAAGTTTATATTGCTTTTTTTCATGGTTTATATGGTTAGATTGTTAGATCGTTTTATTATTTATAGGCTTTATATAGTTTTTTTCATGGCTTTATTCATAAAATTATTGAATTTCTGAGCATTGCCTGTGATTTCGCGTCATTCTGCTTTCCTGACAGCGAGCAGGCAGTGAACAGAATCCAAATCCTAGATCTAGTCCGACAGCGAGCAGGCAGTGAACAGAATCCAAATCCTAGATCTAGTCCGACAGCGAACAGAATCCAAATTCTAGATCTAGTCCGACAGCGAACAGAATCCAAATTCTAGATCTAGTCCGACAGCGAAGAGAATCCAAATTCTAGGTCTAGCCCGACAGCGCAAAGAATCCAAATCCTACTTCCAATCGTCTACATTACTGCTAAAGCTAATGTGCAGTGTGTGCAAGAAAAAAGTAAAATTTATTCTTTAGAAAAAAAATCTCGAAATATTTGCCATTATATACAAGCATAAACTTGAAAGATTTTTCTTTTGATATAAAAATTTTCAAGAAACACCGGTAATAGAAAGATTGCGGTGCTTTAAATTGCTTTTTGCTCAACATAATGATAAAATTTGAGCACAAAACAGCATAGAAAATAGAGAGAATTTCAAATTTCTAAATGCAATTGACAAAATCGAAAAAAACAAAAAAGACAAGATCACAGTTTTTTTGACCAAATAGCAAAAGTTATTCGAAAAATGTAGGGATATTTTATTTTAAAAGGATTGTTTGACTAAAGAAGGGTTCTAGCGAAATACATAGAATTGTTAAAGTAAAAAAAATCTCATTATTTTTAATGCTTAAAAGTTTACAGTAAGTTAATTAACTTACTTAAGGTTTTGATAAGATTTAGATAAGATTTAGATAAGATTTCTCAAGATTTTCCAGCTACCGCATTTTCTCTAATAGTAGTGCACCGGCGAGCCGACTTGTTGACCATTTTACCGTTTCCAATTTTTCCCAGAAGCTCAACACTCTAATCATTGTCAAGATGTCATTGTCAGCTACATTTTCCAATCCCATATCGATAGGTTCTGATAAGCGGTTCTCGAGATTTCAAGGAATTTAAGCGAAGCGGGAATTAGGGAAAGCAATGAACCGAAAGTTGCGTTTTGACTAAACAAAATCCAAGTTTTGTTGATTGATCGAGTTCTTAATGTTAGCTGAGCTAAGAATCTTTTAGCTGAACTGAGCTAAGAATTTGCTACTTAAGCCCCGCCGTTTTTTAAAAATAGACCCAAAACTCAGATTCTCCATAGCCGAAAACCCGTGGGAGCGCGCGCAAAGCTGAATACTTTATCCTCTCTAATAGTAGTGCCCCCCGGCGAGCCGAGTTGATGCCCATTTTACAGTTTCCAATTTTTCCCAGAAGCTCAACACTCTAATCATCGTCAAGATCTTATTGTCAGCTACATTTTCCGACCCCACATCAATAGGTTCTGATAAGCGCTTCTCGAGATTTCGAGCAATTTAGGCGACACTCTGGGTCCACTACTATTAGAGAAAATACGGTATATCCAGCTCTGGTAAATCTATATAAAAAGTTTGCGACAATTCTATAGGTCTATAAACATTTAGTGACCTCAATAAGTACTTCTACAAAAGAAGGTGAAAAAAAAGCACAATGTCTAAATGTTTCTAACTGTTTAAGGAATTGGATTGAATTTTTGGATATTGTAGAATATGTATTTCGATATCTTAATCTCAGACTCAAGGATTTGGCCTTTTCCCCTTATTCTGTGCAGCTCTCGTTTGCCTCATCCTTCTCACCAAACAGCAAATCAGCACAAACATTATAATCAAAAGAGTCGAAACGATCAAGATTCCATAAACGAGAATCAGCGTTTTCGTCGCCCCGTTGTCAATCGGTTTCTTTTGTGTGCCGTCATTTGGTGCACTCGGTACGCTCACCGAGGAGACACTAAAGTTGAATTGAAAGTTGGATACAGTAGAATGATATTGTCGCATCTTACTCGCAATAAAACTCTTGCTTTCAACAGAATTGGCTACAGTTGAATAGCTATGCAAGCTGACCTAGTTATCTAGAGTTGCAACAAAGTTGGCTACAGTAGGATGCGTATATAAGGCGTAATTTGCGTATATAAGTCGTAATCTGCGTATATAAGTCGTAATCTGCGTATATAAGGCGTAATATGCGTGTATAAGGCCCAATATGCCTATAAGGCACAATATACATATATAAGGCGGACTATGCGTATATAAGGCGCACTATGCGTATATAAGGCGCAATATGTGTATGTAAGGCGAACTATGCGTATATAAGGCGGACTATGCGTATATAATGCGTAATCTGCTTATATAAGGCGTAATGTGCGTATATAAGGCGCTGGGGTTTGTCTATGAGATTTAGGCTAGAAGTGTACAAAATGTCTGCTCAAATCAAATCTTGGTTTTCCCCGAAGCCAAAAACAGGACTTAACAAGACCCAATTTTCTAGACCAGGCCAAACCAAGCCCGGAATTCGGGCCCTGTTCTGTCTATGACTTTCTTTCCTAAGATTGGATTTGGATACTTGTGATATTGTATCAAAGCTGTAAATTGTGACAATTGATTGTTCAAGTTCAATTTGAGCTCAAAGTTATGGCAATGGGAAAAGGGGCGGGGCGCGTGCGTATAAAAGGTCGCCTCGCCCCTTTTGCGATTGACGATCAGCTCAAATATCTTGGCGTTGGGCTGTCCAATTTCTATAGTTTTTATACTAATCGATAGAGAAAGACTTGGCGCATCTAATGATACCAAGAAGATTTAAATTACACAGCACAAAACCAAAAAATTTGAGCTTAAAGTCAGATTGCTGATGGCAGATTGGATTAGATTGCTAATGGCAGTCTCAAATATCCCAAAATCGACTAAATCAAGCATACCCTGGATCATTGACAAAAACTTTGGCCGCAATTGGTTTCGATTGTGAGTCCGATGAAGGAGGCTCGTTCGAGGAGTCGGAGCTGGACTTGAAACGATTTGGATCGATCATTGGACCTGAAATTCGACTTGGCACTACTTGGATTACTTGGAGCAAAACTGTAACTCGTTCACGTATTGCCAAAAACGTTTACACTCACCCAATCGCACCGCAGCTTTTTCTTGAGCTTTTTCGTGTTCTATTGTCGCTGTTTCTTCATCATTTCCAATAACAACGGTTTTTTGGTCATAGTTCTCAAAATCGTGCTCAATTTTTGTCGCTGTTGTTGTTGTAGCTGCACTCGTTCCCATCGTCGACGGAGTTGTTCTTTTATTGTTCAAATTCACGTCTTCCTCATCCTAAAGGTTTAGATTTACAAAAACGTACAAATCCAAAAGAATTACAAATTTACAAATCAAATTCCATTCCAAATTCCATTCAAATTTCATTTTACTCACCAATTGAATCTCTTCTGGTAGATATTCATAATCGGGAATCGGGTCAGCGCTATGTTCCTGAAGATCGACATAGTTTGGAGACGAGGGACTTTCTTCTTCGGCTAAACTGATCATTTTATTTTAATTCTTACAAGGGAACGTTCCAAAGAGGATATGAGACTTTTAAACGGCGATGAGATGTAAACGCCTATCGGATATGACGAATCCGATGCTGTATTTAGTTTTCTCCCGTGTACAGTCGCGTAGTCGCAAAAGTTGTTTAGTATTTCATTGTTTTTCAAAGCGCCCGTACTTTCAAAAACGCGTTTTTGGTATGAAAAAATAGCCTTGAATTTCAGCTATTTTTTGATACCTAAACGAGCATTATAGCATAAACCAGTGTCGAGAAAAACTCGTTCAAAGCTAGACTACGCAACACTCCGCACCGTCATTATGGCGGTGGGGTACTATTACAGTATTTACGGTAGGTTTTACTGTACTTGAGAGTTTCACAAGCTCCTATTTTCAAGATCGGTTTGAAAACAGCATAAAGTTAGAAACAACATCATTTCACTTGCTTACCTCGATTCTCGGAACTCCTCTCGAACATCGGTCTGATTTTCTTCACGAACACTTTTTGCATGTGGAATAATGGAGTGTTTGCTGTTGGTGAAGATTCGCTAAAAAGATTTATATGAAAATATGCCTGAAATCCTCAAACGTTTTCTTCTTGTTCTTCTTCGCTTTGTATCGAATCGTTGTTGTGGGCACTTTCTCCAAAAATCGATCATCGTGATTGGGAGGGATGAAGATTTCAGTGGAATCGAAGGGATGCGTCGAGGTTTGCTGGAAATACTTCCTTTTCCATCCTTTTTTTTGTTACTATCTAAGCTAACGATTTCTATGTATATGCAAATCTCCTGGGCTTTCAATTCATTAGCTTTTCACTCACCCGTCCATTTGGTCCATTCGTGAACTTTTTCTTGACGACTATTCTCCTCGTTGTCACACCGTCTTTCAAAAATGTTTCCTAAACATCGAAAATAGTTGGCTCTTTTTCATTTTCCAGGGTTTACAGTAGAGTTCAGCAAACAAAACCAAAACCAAAACAGACCAAAACCAAAACCAAAACACCAAAACAAACCAAAACTCAATTTGCATATAAATTAACATGTAAATTTAAAATTGTAAAATGCAAATTTGCCTTTCACTTTTTCTCACTCCACAAAATCTCGCGGCCGAAAAAAGGACCAAAACACGACCTCGAAATTTCGAAACAAAAAATAGCCTATGGGATAGATTTTTGGATGCTGATTTCAAATCTGCAAACAGATTTTCGCTATCCCCTCCCAGTCGCGAGATATTGGCGAGTTTTGGTTAGTTTTGGTTTTGCTTTTGCTTTTGGTTTTGGTTTTGTTATGGCTTTGGTTTTGGCTTTGGTTAAGTTTTGTTTTCCGAAGTCTAGTTTACAGTATCTTTAATGGCATTTTTTCTTATAATAGTATGGTTTTAGGTCTCAAATCACATTGTTCTATCTGTTTGAATCTTTAACCAACAAGGGTCCTCAGAAAACGGACATTTTACATGAGAAATGGAAGCCTTTTATACGCGAGGAGTATGCCAGATGGCAAGCGATTAGGCGGCCGCACAAAGAACATCTCGCATTTTTCGGGAATTTCGAACACGGGAATTTTTCTTTTCTTTTCTAGATGATAAAAAAAGATATTCAGCTGTAAATTTGTATCCAGGGGTTTTCAGGGTCGGCGAATCGATTGGTGATATTCAGAGAACATCTAAGCCCCATTTCTGGTTTTTTAGATGATTAAATAAGCTGAATAATGCGATAAATAAGCAGAACAATGCGATAAATAAGCAGAATAATGCGATAACTTTCAAACCCCGGAATTGGTCAAGAGCCAGCTAGTTTATTAAGATAAATTTACATATTTTTTAACTTTCATAAAAACTCACAATAGTCGTGTAGAGTCGGAAAGTCGGTGACCTTTGTGTGGTGGTCATCGGTGAAGTAGCATCTTTGTATGGATTTGTGAAATTCGATGAATAATACCACCACCTAAAAATGAAATTTTTCTAAATTTCTTTAAAGTTTACTAAAGGATAATAAAAAAACGAAGAGTTTTCTAAGGGATTTCTATAAAATCTCTATCATATTCCAATCTAAACCACCCACATGCCAACGTTTAGCAAAGAAAACGTTCGTTTCCTGCTAGAAATGAAAGACAAAAAAAAGAGTTGATATATTAAAATCAGTAAAAGTAGTTTTCTTAGAGTTAGATCTCAATTTTTTTTGATTGATTTATCCGATTAGTTATGGTCTAAACAAAGCTCTAAACAAAATCCCTGTAAATCAATCAGATCGAAAGAAATTGATCTAATAGTAAGCCTCTTTTGGAAAGCAATTGTAAAGTTAAAGAAAAATCACACTTAGAAACTTGTTTGCTCGTTTATCAGATAAAAATTTTCATTTTAGAATGTCCATTTTTGGAATTACCCATTTTCGGAACAAGAGAAGGCCTCAAAAGCACTTCAGACCAGGCCTAGACCAGGTCTAGACTTAGCTTCTGATCTTATTTGGTTTAAAAGTTTAAACCTATAGCTCGATTTAGAACATTTCTAATCCTGAGTCAGTATTACGAGGCTTGATTATCAAGCTGATACTAAAAAAATATTAATCTGAGATCAGATCCAAACGTATTGGGTTAATGCATTGAAAATGGGCTATCAGGGCAAAGTTTGCTTTTGAACTAACTAATACACCAATTAAAATACGGCTTTTTTTTCAATAAAAAAACATTACTTGTTAGTTTTCGGTAATTTTCAAGCAAATTAGGACCCTTTTTGAAGAAAAATTCAGCTAAAATTTGTGTTTTTTTTCATGAAATTCGTAAAATAAGCATATGGCGAATCGAATTGAACCAATCGAGTCGAAAATTTCGCTGCTTGCATAACTTTTTATGCTCTATCTTTTTTCTATTTACAGGGTGCGTCAGAATTACTCATGCTCACTCTGGAGGGCGTAGCTCAGTCAAAAGATAACCAATTCCCACAAAAATTTTACAGATAAATGTTGAGTGAGTCTCCTATAGCGGTGCCTATTATCTAACCGGTTTATCTAAGCTCACAAACTATTATCTAAGCTCACAAACTTTTCAAACAAGCTCTCAAAGTTGGGAATCGCACTTAGCCTGGCGCGCGACCTAGTTTTGGGGTTTTTGAGGCGACATTGAAAGCCGATTGGGAAATTTTTGCACCAAATTTTCAGAAACGTGTTTTACAACCTTCGATCATCGTTTACGGGAAAAATCTCACAAATGATAATGAACAAAACCCTGCTTATTTATGATTTTCGTCATGTAAATCCGAGCCGAGAGGTGTTTAAAAAGTTGAGAAAGAAAAGCGAACTGTCTAATCGTTTGGTAATTATTAGTTGTTAAAATTCATATCTGAACATGATTGATTGAAAACTAACAAAAACTTAGCTCCTCTCAGTAAGCAGCTGATTTTTCAAAAACCCTAAAACTAGGTCGCGTGCCAGGCTAAGTGAGAAGACTCTCAACTTTGAGAGCTTGCTTGAAAAGTTTGTGAGCTCCAACCGGTTAGATAATGGGCACCGCTACAGGAGACCGACTCAACATTTACCTGTAAAATTTTTGTGGGAATCGGTTTTCTTTTGACTGAGCTACACCCTCCAGAGTGAGCATGAGTAATTCTGGCGCACCCTGTACACTAGAAAAAAGATAGAGCACAAAAAGTTATGCAAGCAGCGAAATTGTCAACTCGATTGGTTACACTAGAATAGGTTTCTGTGGTAGAAAGTGCCCAAATTGAAACATCAAATTCTTGCCACTTTTTAACAATCTGGCTTCTCGTCTATGAAAAGTCTCGAAAACAAAAGTGTTTTCAAATCTTTTAAAACTCATTTTATAGAAATTTAATGGATCTTTCTACTAAAATAAATCGCTCTTTGATTGGTGAATTGGGGATTTTAAAAAATGACTTTAAAACTACAGCCCATTTCCAATGCCTAAACCCAATAGAACGTACCAGCGTTCTTTTACTTGGCTCATTGATCTACAACAGTACTCAACTTTATCTAGTACTAACTATAAGCCTTTTCTTGCAATAAGTACAGTATCTTCTCTCATTTAAAGCATCACTTACTGATATTCCTTTGGAATCAATCCGATTCGATACGTTGAATAATGAAAATTCGGCGGCGTGATCTCGAAATCTTCGTCTGATGAGAACAACTTTTTGCGGGTTGTTTTCGCGATCGGATTCTCGGTGACGCCTAAAGTAAATAGTAAATAGTAAAATAGTCAACTGAGTAAAACAAAATAAGCATAAGCATAAAACCAAGCGACAAGCAACTAAAAACACGAACAAACTAAAAAAAAAGCAAAAAGAAAAAGCGTGTCTCTTCATGCATAAAAGTAAACCAAAAAGTCAACTAGTACAGCTGGATTTAACCAAAAAAAAGTCAACAAAGAGATTTTAAGCGAATTGGAAACATTTTTCTGGATAAAAACGGCTTGCTAAGGTAAATATGAATAGCCAAACGATTGAGATTTTCTAACGATTTCAGTTGTTTCAGTTGTTTCAATTGCTTCGACTGAAAGCTTTTTTTAAAAACGCAACTTGTGAAATGAAAACTTTTCAAGCATTTTAAACCGAATTAGCAATTTCAAGCAAACTAGCAAAGCAAATTAGCAAAGCAAATTAGCAAAGCAAATTTTAAGCAGCAAATTTCAAGCAAATCCCACCTTCAGTCGCCTTCTCGGAGCTGGTGAATTCTTGTTTTGTGGTCGATGTCTCCGTGTTGTATTGGGATCGAGTCTCGGCCGAAACCGGGATATAAACTGTTGAAGTCTCTCGGGAGATGTCCTCGAGTTCCCTGAGAATCGAAATTATATTCTATTCAAATCTTTACAAGAACAATTCTTGTTTGTGTTAGAAAAACTCACTTATCTCCCTCAATCGTGGTCGTTTCTTTCTCGCCAGCTGGCTCTCTAAAAAAGGAAAAGATTAAAACGAGTTTTTCTGGAATTTCAAAATACAATATTGGATCTAGAAATATTGTAGTATTACTTTCAAACTAATTTCTCACCTCTCCACCTCCGTTGTTCCCATTTCCTCGTCTCCAGTCGGCAGCACCACAATCTTTTCCATGTTGACTTCTGAAAAACTTTTGATTAAGCAAAACTTTTAGCCTTTCTTTTTTTAAGCTTTTATCACTGTATCACTGTCAACAACTTATTATTATTACATTTAAGAGTATTATTACATTTAAGAGCTTTTTTTCGAACTCATAGTCAGCTCTAAAGCGGGCCTCGACTACCGTTACCCTCTAATCTATATGTTGAGGTAGTCCTTAGACTAGTTGGGTTACCGTAACCTAGCCACACTTTAGAGTGCCTATCCGAGTCGATTAAAATATTCGATCAACATAACAAACCTGTAGAAGTCTGTGGTTTCTCAATAACTGTATCTTGAAACGACTTCTCAAAGGTTTTCCCATCATTTCCTATTTCTTGACTCATGATGAATTCAACGTCGAGATCATCCGGGGAAATTGATTGAGAAGAAGAAATGGTTGATGTCTGGAATTTGACAAAATTAAATTTGTTCAAAAACGAAGGATACAGTACTGAAACAAAAGTTCTTTACAGACCTAAAAGATCAGTTACATTAGTCAATACCAGTGCTGTTTCTAGACAAAAATTTCTAGATCAGGCCAAGCCAAGCCACTTTTCATTGTGGCTTGATTTTACCTGACTGAACCGTGGCTTTCCGATTTCATCAAGCCAGCCAAAGCCAGGACACACCGGTGGCTTTGGTTTGGCTTGGCCTGGCTTAGTCACGGCTTTTGGCTTTTAGGAACAGAGTCTAACCTCAAGCTCCGTATCGAGATCATCAATCGTGGTTGATTGAGACAAGAGGGTCGATGTCTGAAATTTGACTTAAATTATGAAAATTTGACCTGGGTTTAAGCTTGAGTTATGCTCCTACTTTAAAACTGGCATTAGCACTTAGATTCAGATTTAACCTAATGTCAAAAACAAATATCAATTTGAGAAGATGGCAAAAAGTGCCTTTAGATTTTGCTTTGATAGTCTTGGTGAAGATGTAATTCTCACCTCGATCTCATCGAGATTCACAAATCCCGAAGCTCTCTGCGTGGTGATTTTTGATTGATCAGAGTTTCTCGGAATGATCACTTCGCTGCCCGTTGTCTCTGTTCTTCCTGTTGTTCTCAAAGTAGGTTGGATGGTAGCTAAAAGATCTGTTTTCCTGTAGCCAACGAAACGCTTACCCAAAGTCGAAGTCTTTGGAATTAGCTCTGGCTTTTCGGTGGTCGTTCCATCCGTCCAAATCTAATAATAAATGAATAAATACAGGATATTTTAAAATCTAATTGTGCCCACCCAGGGTTGTTCCACGGCTAGACCAAAAGCTATAGGTTCAATCAGACCTGGACCTAGTTGACTTCAAGCTCCGCCTGAGGCTGCCTCTAGCCTAATCTGGGCCTACATGCTCTTTCTAATATACTCACCTCAGTGATCACCACTTCTTTCCCAGAAACTGTTGTTGCCTGCGTCGTACTCATTGTCTCATTTCCCTCTTTTTCCTTCTTCTCTTTTTTCTCATCTTCTTCATCTTTTTCTTTTTCCTTTTCTTTCTCATCTTGTCGTTCTTTTTGCGCTTTCATCATGTCCCCAATTGCCTCGATCTGAACAAAGAAATTTGACACTAAAGTTGTTTGAAGTTGGCTTAATTGGCCAAGTTCTAAAACTGGAACTTCTAGGCTTACAAAACTGGCTTTAGAATTTAAATTTGCTCACTTTTTTCTCATCTTCTCTTTCCTTTGACTCTTCCTGTTTTCCCTTGCCACGACCTCGATTTCGGTTTCGCGGAGTGGTTCGACCACTGAAAAATTCCAGTTATAATGGCTTAAGCTATAATTTTGCTTCACTTGACTTTAACTGTTTAACTTTAACTGCATAACTTCATTTATTTTACCGTATCAAGTCCTGTGCCGTGTAGTGAATTCTTGGATTGATCGTCGGGAAAAGAGTCGTGCTTCTCGTCATCTTTCTCGTTGTGAGCGTCACGCTTTGTGTATCCTAAAGTGCTTCATAGTTCATTTTCTAAAAGACACCTCTTTTGGAAAGCTACCGTAATGCAATTTGGGATCTAATTTGAAAAACTACCGTGATCCAACCACCAGCTCACATCCAATCAGCCCAATTTTGAGCTCATTGACTGAGCCTTGTGATTCCCTCATCGAATGATACCAAAATTCGGCTGATCGAATGAAAACTAGCGGCTTAATTACGGTAGTTTTTCAAAAGAGGTGTCTTTTAGAAAATGGACAAAAATTAAGCTAAAACTGTACCTGCGCTTTCGTTGTACTCGATTCGTTCTCTTCTTTCGATTCCCCATTGATTTCCCTATCCATTTCCTCCAATTGTCGATCGATTTCGGCTATATTTCGGTCAATGACTAAAATCGAAGTTGAATTGAAGCTAAAAATCGAAAATTTTCTAGCATTTACCCGTTTTCGTTGTCGTTTTCCGTTGTTTCGTAGTTGATCCCCAAGTGGACGTCTCAACCGAGTTCTCTTCGTGATTTCTAAAAGAATCATTTCATTTTGAGAATTCCCTATGTTCAAATGAAATGATTTCTTATATGCAGAATGAAATATGTAGAATTAACTCTTATTCAACTATTCAAATAGTCGTTTTTTCGCTGGACAATGATTTTGAGGAGCTTTCAACTTATGATTCTCAACTTGTCTCCAACTTCGTCTCAGATATGACACTTACAACTTGAATGGTCATTTAAGAAAATCCCAATTCGCGAATACGAAAATGAATTGAATACTAATTAAATTTAAAGACTGAATTCTAATTCAGCTATTCAGCTATTCAGATAGTCGTTGTGTCCACCGGATGATCAAGCGATAAATCATGAAAAAATAAGATTTTCTTGTTCTTTAGTGGTTTCTCTGAATTGTTCAAGTGAAAACCGACCATATTAAGTGAGCTTTGGTGACATTTTTTATTTATTTAATATCTCTACTCTCATATTTTTCAAAACCCACTTTTCTTTCAATAACTCCAGCTCGTGATCAAGGAAAGTGGCGGTGGCGAAACTTTTCGTGTACGGAGCAATAGTTGACGCTGTCGGGGGAGTAGAGTTCATCAACCTTGAAAATTTGAATCATATAGACTTTCTGCAAGCCAATCAGTAGATCTATCTTGCCATTTGGCTACTTTAGCCCGGCTGATGTTTTAAACGCAAACGCACCCTTTCTGGTGCACTCAGTTCATATTTTTTCGCGATAGCAAATCAGAAAAATAAGGAATTCAGTGCCCAGAAGGGGTGTGTTTACGCGATCACAAAGTACATCCAAAAACAAGGCACTTACCGACTGTTCAGCTGTTGGAGCAAATGTGGAGTGTGGAAAGATTGGCTCAACGAAATCATAAACCTAAAAGAGTTTTGTAGATAGAAAAAGCTATCAAAGTATTTGTAAAAATGCTTCAGCATTACAATTGATATTCTAGAAACTGTCAAAATTGGAATATTTCCAATTAAACTTCTCTTTACATTTATTTCTACTCAAACAATTCTTCTTTTGTTATCTGATGATTGCATTCGCTTCTAACACGTAACTTATTCCATTTTCTTTCAAAATGAGCAAAATTTTAGCCCAAGAACACCTTGCCAGTCATTTACAGTGATTTCCCTTGTCCTGTAAATGATTTCCAAATGAGAATTCAGTTAAAATTTGGGCCCAGGGGTCGTAGAACCTATTGGCGGAGTTATTTTAACCCTTTGTCCCAAGAAAAGTCCCAAGAGAATCGAATTGGCTTTGGGCTTTGCATATGATAGCTTTCACGATGAAAAGTCCCAAATTTGCGAGAAGAACCAATATTTTTTGCTTTTGCTTATAAGCGTAACCAAAATTTACCTGACAAGTATTTAAATCCTCATCATCGAATAAACTGTCATCGCCGGGTACAATGAAATTGAGGAAATAGTCACGAAAGTTCAAACTAAAGTGTAAATTTGGCATTTTAACGTAATGAAAAAATTACCGAGAAAACACGTGCTCTGCGTCGGGGCAATGCGAAAGCACTGCGTTCTCCAAACATAAAGCATTTAGATGAACGTATCTAAAGTAAAAGAAATCAATAGAAAGTACAGGGATTACTGTTACTTTCACTATAATAATTGAGTTATAGTTTACGGTGTGCTAGCCGCAAACTATAACCTAAAGTTTGCCGTAATTCAAACTGTTCTATTCAAACCAATTTCAAAAGCACTAATTTTACATTACTTTCCGAAAAATTAGCTCACATAAAGTTTAAATACTGTCAAAACTCAAATAAAGCTACAGTAGATTAAATAAAGTAGATTAAATAAAGTAGATTGATAAATAAAGTAAATTGAACCTGCAAGTTTCCTGATCCGGCGTGAAGTGAGGTCCGACGCGACGTCGCAATCGAACCGCTTCCTAAAATAAATCATTTTTTCAAGTTTTGGTCTAATGAAAAACTTTCAACAATTCATTTACCCAAATTTCCTTAAATATTAAGTTTACAAAGCGTTTTACAAAGCGTAAAAACTAGCTAAAAACCAATATAAAGTCACTCACTTTCATGAAAGACGAGCATCGCACCTCCACAAACGTGTGATAACGAGAGATGCAATTCAGTTGGGGATGCAGATCTGAAAGTTTTCGTAATGAGTGACTAACAAAATAACGAGTAAATATTAAACCGTAAATCCTCTATTAGACCAGCATGTCAATCTATTTTTCGATATCTTTTTGAGTGCCGATTTAATGTTCGGAACCAAAATAAACCAAATCAAACCTCTTTGATCACCACAAAAAAATTTTCGACCAATAAAAGATGAACTTCTGATTTTATGTAAACAACAAAACAAAGATAAAAACATGATAAAGCACCTACTTAATCAATAAACTCTAATGGTGCATCAAAATCAAGGTCGCATTCATCAGTTTCGATGGTATCTAGGGGCCACAACTTCTTGATCCATTTGAGCATTCTTCAGCTTTTGATATCTTTTGATATAGCCTTTAATATGAATAGGTTCACTCGTTTAGAAACAATGAACGAGCTGGTCTTTCGATCGATTGCTGTAGTGATTCAATTGTTTGAATGAATCCGCCAAATGCTGTCTAACGCTATTGACCCGTTTCCGTTTTTTCCAGTTGTTTGAGAAGTTTTTGTTTTCTCCAATCTTGAATCAACGATCGTGATACTCCAAATGTTTAGCAGCTCCTTGGTTTGAGTTCTACTTAGCGTATTCGATCACTTCGAGCTTGAATTTTACGCTAAAGGCCCGCTTTGCTCCTCTTGCACTCGTCAAATCCTCGGCTTCATTTGCATCTTCGTTCTTCCTTTCTTCGTTCGATCGTTTCTCTCGCTTTCCTTATCTTCTCCGCCTTCACTTTCATCGTCATCGAAGCTCTTGTTTAATCTTTGTTCATAATCTCGATGATCACAAAATTCGGTAAAAGCATCGCTCATTTCATCCAACGATCGCTCTAGTGATTGTTGTTGCTCGAGTGATTGCTTGTTGCTCGAGTGATTGCTTGTTGCTCGAGTGATTGCTTGTTGCTCGAAAGATTGCTTGTTGCTTGAACGATTGCTTATTGCTCGAATGATTGCTTGTTGCTCGAAAGATTGCTTGTTGCTCGAACGATTGCTTGTTGCTCGAGTGATTGCTTGTTGACACCTTTAATTGACTTCTCGAAACCTAAAAAGAAAATATTAATAAATGTAGCATAAAGTTAAAAAACAAAAGAAATACGTTAAGTTGTCAGTAAAAAAAAGCAGAATCAAACGAAGTCGGAAACAAAAGATATTCAGTCATGGAATTGGAGGCTTTGAAATATAGGTAATGTTAATTTGGGGCTCTATTTTTCGATACCCCTTTTGTGTGATGGTCCAATAGAGGATATTGGTATTTCCATCATTTCTCCACTCACCACTCATCACATCTTTGCACTGCCGCAGAGTGTACGTGATGAACTTGTCGAAATCTTTTGGTTGATCATCACAATGGGTCATGCAATCGAAAAGATCATAGAGGCGCCTAAACGAGTCAACTTTGATACTCTTTTCTATTTTAGATTAGTTTTTAGACTAAACCCAAGCTCAGATTCGAATCCTGTCTTGCTTAAAATGTTTGGTTTCACTATTGAAGAGTCAAAACTGATCCAAGAGAGCTTGAGAGAGGCGTTTTTGACGTTTTTCTATTTTAATATTAATTTTGAGCTTGCCAATGAGTCTCAAAAAGCTAAATCTCAAAAATTTCGATATTTCCATGTGCTTTTTTTCCCGTCACTCAAATTCCCTTCAAAAAAATGATTGTTTTGTTGTTTGTGAGCGTGTGACAGATGGCACTTTACGATGCTCAATGGGATCAATTTCTCGCAAGAAATCGGAAAATTCTTTTTTTGCAAATATTTTCCTTATCTTACTCGCAAGAATTTACACCTAAAGCTTTGTAATTTGAGCTCAAGTTTTTGTGAATGAAATGCTCGAACACCAAAAGCTGAACAAAGCTGAACAACATATGTTTTCCAAAGAGGAAAGAGTTTAGAAATCGGAAACTAAGTTGTTTTTGAGATGCTTTAAATAGAAACACACCTTTCTGGTGCACTGTATGCTTCAATTTCGCTTCAATTTCCCTTCATTTTCTCACAGAATTAACTCAATCTCACGAAAAATCGAATGCAAAAGAAAAAGTGGCCTTTTGAAGTAAAAAGTGCTCTTCCTAATGACAACAAGTTTCAAATTAAGTCAGTAAATTGCTTTTGTTTTGTTATAAAGATCATTATTGATAAGTTTTAAGTTAGTTATCGATAAGTTTTAAGTTAGTTAGTTAGTTTTAAAGTTAAATAGCCTTAATCTAATTAAAGCTAAGCTTAAAAGCTTAGCTTTAAGCTTTCCAAAAAGTCTTTTCTTTCCTTTTCATACTTTTGTTGAAAAATCAAAAATTCACCAATTAATCTATAGTTTTTTCTATTTCTTTTTCTATTTCTATTTCTTTTCTATTTCTTTTTCTAAGTTTTCTCTATAAGTTTTCTCTAAAAGTGTTTCTTGTTAAAATTTCTATCTTTTAAAGTCAATTTTCGCTCAATTACAAGCAAATTCAAGAGTGAAAACCATGTTTTTTCTGAAAGATCTATCAAAAAACACCTCTACGAAGCATTGGGTGAATGAATGAATGAAAATGAATGAATGAAAAAGGTGAATCTCCGAAAATTTCGCTATATACTAAACTTTTTATGCTCTATCTTTTATCTATTGACACAAAGATAGGTTTCTTTAGTCAAAAAGTGTCTAAAGCGAATCATCGAGTCGAGCTTTTTGACTAAAGACTAACTCGACTTCAGGCTCTCAAAAAATGCAGAAATAAGTCATTTTAAACCCGTTTTAATCGTATTTTGCAGAGTGATCTTTCTAATGAAAAAAAACCGATAGTTTAATTGGTGCATTTGTTGGTTTTAAACGGAAGTAGAAAAAGGAAAGAAAAGACTTTTTAGATTAATACAAATTTCCACTCACCAACAAGCGTCTCGCAGTTTGCCGGCCGGCTTTTGACGATCGAGCAAGCTCGTCAGGGTGACTCTAAAGATTTTAATGCTAAAAATCGGTAATGAAGCTTCAAGTTGCTGAAAAATGATTGGATACAATGGGCATGGTCGTCATGGCCGACTGGCTAAGTGCTCTGTATCTTAGTCGAGAGGTTAGGAGGTCAAGAGTTCAATTCCGTTGGCTTTTTTTGTGGCCTTTTTTTGATATATATGTCGTAGCCATTACGAATCATTCGTAAACGGTTACGACATATAAATACCGTAAATACTGTAATAGTACCCCAGCCCCATAATGACGGTGCGGAGCGTTGCGTAGTCTAGCTTTAAACGAGTTTTTCTCGACACTGGTTTATGCTACAATGCGCGCTTAGGTATCAAAAATAGCTGAAATTCAAGGCTATTTTTTCATACCAAAGACGCATTTTTTGAAAGTACGGGCGCTTTGAAAAACAATGAAATACTAAAAAACTTTTGCGACTACGCGACTGTACGAGCGGGACACTATTACAGTATTTACAGTATGGGCTTTTTGTTTCCCTACACTTAAGGCTTAACGATTGTGCTTGTGTATTCTTGTGTACTATATTATTCGTGTGAATAAATGTCTTTTGTGTTCTTTTTTTCTTATTATACGCCAAAAGCACGTATTTGGATGGGGGGTGGGACAAATGCTACCTTTTTTGCGCACCTGGACATTTGCGCACCTTTTTTTTGCTGGAAAAGGTCTTAGGCAAGGCCGTAGAGCTTCGAAAATATTTCCATATCAGGGAATCGTATGCGTAGATTCCGAATTTCGACAAATCAGACCTCGCTGACACGTCAAATTTGGGCTAAAAGGCAAAAACTACGCAACTTAACACTTTTCCGCAGTTTTTGCCTTTTAGCCCAAATTTGACGTGTCAGCGAGGTCTGATTTGTCAAAATTCGGAATCTACGCATACGATTCCCTTGTATGGAAATATTTTCGAAGCTCTACGGCCTTGCCTAAGACCTTTTCCAGCAAAAAAAAGGTCGCATTTGTCCCACCCCCGTTTGGATGATCAAAACGAGCTGACTATGAGAGTGAAGGTTAAATTACGGTAAAAGTTTTGCAAATTACGCTATTATATCTAACTTTTAAGCAAGAAATCGGTAAAAAACGAGAAATATCGAGATTTTAAAAGTTAACTTACGATATAGCCAATTTTCCAATTTTCCAATTTTCCCCATCACTTACCTCGCCAAATCGACTCTTTGCAGTGATCGATCGTGTAAACGATAGCATCTCGATTTGCATGGATCCTAAAATGGAAATTTAAAGAAATTTACTGAAAGAATTGCAATTTTAGCAAAAGAATTGCAATTTTAGCAGATTGCTGAAGAAAAACTAAAGATTTCAACGAAAATTTTGGGAAAACTGAGAATGCTTTGGCAAAACGTGGAAAAAAAACGCCTCGAACCTGTGGTCGATCGGATAAATATTGGAGTTTATTCCTTCGCTGAAAAAAAATATGACTGTGTTTGATATGAAATGAAATATAGTTTTGTTTAGGCTTTCAATTTAAACTTGTTCTTTGTGATGTACAGGGTGTCCCAAAATTATGGTTACGAAATAACGTAAAAGTTTTCGACTTTATTTACATAGCAAAAATCAGCTGATAAGGAAAAATTTATTCTAAACAATTTAATTAACAATAAAAACAACATTTAAATCTCAAAATGGCCTCCTTTAGCAGCTATGCATTTCCTTAATCGTTTTGGAAAGTCATTAATGGCCTTTTTCAATGGTAGACAAAGGAATCTCGTTCCAAGCTTTGATCAAATCCTTTTTCAATGAGTCAATTGTTGTGTGAGCTTTTGCACAAGCTTTGCTTTCAAGAATGGACCAGATAGAATAGTCTAAGGGGTTTAGGTCAGGGCTGTTTGAAGGCCATTCGCCCGGACGTTGTTGGCTGATATCCACTGTGATCCAGTCAGGAAAGTTGTTTGAGATCCATTCTTGTGTAACAGCTGCTTTGTGAGATGGAGCTCCATCCTGTTGATAAGTCCAGCTATTGGCGCCAAAATGAGCTTGAGTCCAGGGCAAAACATTATTTTTGAGCATATTGATATAAGCGATTTTATCGATTTTGACTCCTGGTGGAATGAAGATCAAAGGAGTTTTTCCGCTGTGAGTTACTCCGGCCCATATCATAACTTGTTGCGGCTTTTGTTGTCTTGACACAATTCTATCATAAAGAGGTGGTGGATCCTTTGACCAAACACGATCGTTTTGATGGTTATGGGCTTGCTCAATATCAAACCACTTCTCGTCTGTGAAGGAATTCCTTGATGGCGATTTGAGCCAAAGCGTCTCAGAAGCTGCTTGCACCGGGAAAATCGTTTTGCTTTCATAAGGTCCGTCAATAAATGGCCTCTGGCTTTCATGCCGGCTGTTTTGAGCATACGATGAACAGAACTCTTGCCGATTCCGACATATTGCGCGAGTTTTCGAACGGAGTTCTTGGACGACTTCGGACTTCTTTTGAGCCGTTTAAAAACTTTTCGTCGTTTTGCAGAAACATTGGCAGTCTTCTTTCGACCGCGTCCCGAGCGATCTTCATTTGATCCCGTTTCCTTGTATCGCTTCACTGCGCGGGACACATTCATTTTCCCCTCCTGCAAGATTCGCGAAATTTCAGCGTTGGTTTTTTCCCGTTGGTGGAGGGAAATTATAGCTGGTCGAAGGTCCTTCTTCGATTTCATACCTGAAAATAGATAAATTAGTACAATGAAACCAAAAAGTAAGAAAAAAAACCAGTAAAATGAAAAAAAAGGCAAATAGAGTGCGCGTAACCATAATTTTGGGACACCCTGTACTTTGTGCTCTGTAAACGAATCCTTTCTGGTGCAATAGGTTCTTCAATTTCTTTGAGAGTTCAGTGCACCAGAGAGGTTGCGTTTCTATTTACAGAGCACAAAGTACAGATCCAGAAAGACACTAGATGTCTGCGGAAGTTCGCAGACAGTTCGGAAGCTCGGTTAAAAGGCTTCTCTCGGGCGACGCTCGTGTCAGCTGGTGGCGCAGTGGATAAAGGGCCAGGATACAAGACGGGGATACAGTTTTTGCTTGAGTTCGAGTTCACTTAGCAATTCTTTTTTACTTTTTAACAAAACTAACAAGGGAAGGTCAACTGGATAGGCCACATGAGCTATAGATCATTCGACGCCGAATTCAACGCCAATTCCGAATCTGCTTTCTGTTTCTCCCATGGAGCACTCTATCAAAAGTTCTACGTGTTTAAAGTTTTGTAAGTAGTTTCAAAAATCAAACCTTAAAACCGAGGTTTTCACGGTTTTACGAACTTAAGTAAAAGTTAAATGGCCTGCCTTGTATGCTGGCCTCTTACCCACTGCGCCACCAGGTCATCTTCTCGTGGCGCGAAAGAAGCTTTTTAAGCGAGATGTCGCATGTAGTGTGGCTCCTGTGATTTGGACCTTGTACCCTGGACCTTGTACCCTGGACCTTGTACCCTGGACCTTGTACCCTGGACCTTGTACCCTGGACCTTTTATCCTGGACCTTTTATCCTGGACCTTGTACCCTGGACCTTGTACCCTGGACCTTTTATCCTGGACCTTGTACCCTGGACCTTGTACCCTGGACCTTGTACCCTGGACCTTGTACCCTGGACCTTGTAATTAACTTTTCTTTTCGATAGCATTTGAAACGGGGCTTTGCTGTTAAAATCTCGAAGCTGGCTAAGCGACATTGCACTGTGATTACGGAAGAAATGAAAGAAATGAAAAAAAAGATTTTCTGTCTTATGCAAATTCTTGAATGTTTTAGGGGAAAAATGCCCAATTTTCATTTAAATTTTTTTCAATTTTTTCCCTAATATTAGGCTGGGGGAGAAACAGCAAAAATATCTTTTATTCTACCTTTTTTTCAGTTTTTAAACCTCTCATTAAACTATCCAAAATCCTAAAGATTTTTGCTCTTTTTTGCGTCTCGCAAAAAGTGATTTTCAATCACATTTGTCTCTTTTTATAGCGAAACAAAAATGCAGTAAACCTCAAGAAAATCCACTCAATCAAATGTGTTTTTTGTCTAGGTTTTTTTTTTTGCTTGGTTTCAAATGTTTTTTAATGTTTTTTGTTATCAAAGAAGCACATGTGCCAACTCATCAAAACCCAAAATAAAAAGCAAAATCATTACACTCATTGAAATCTGTAATTTTCTTTAATTTTCAAAGTTTTTACTGAATTTTACTGAATTCATTCTAAACTTTTTTCAAGAAACTTGTCAAAATCGAAAGATTCAAAAGTGTACTGTTACACCAACGCCGCCTTATCATTGATTTAGTGGAATGCTTTAAAATTGTTAAAGGCATTCATCCCGACCCCCCTTTTTTTTAGTCTCTTTGAATTCGGCTCTCTACGGGCGCCTCGAGTAGCGCCATACGCCAACCTTCCGCCAACTCATACGCCAACCTTCCGTTTCCAACCGCTAACCTTCTGGGTAGCACAGAAAACGTCAAGAATCCACTAGAGCTTCAAGAACAAGATCATCTACAGATGGCCAAGATCATCTACAGTTAAAGGCATTCATCTCGACCCTTTTTTTCTGGTCTCTTTGAATTCGGCTCTCCTCCAGAAGGTAGCTCTTACACACGCCTCCAGAAGGGAGCTCTTATGCACGCCTCCAGAAGGTAGCTTAGCTTTTACGCACGCCTCCAGAAAGGAGCTCTTACGCACGCCTCCAGAAGGGAGCTCTTACGCCAACCTTCCTTTTCCTCTAAAGCCCCCACAGTTTCTTTTTTAATCGAGTTATTAAATTCTGGAGTCTTTTACCCCCTCATGTTCGTGATATTCCCACCTTGGCTAGATTTAAAGCCGCAATTTCGGCAATTGATTTGACTGCTCTGTGATTCTTTCTTGAGGTATCTTTTTGTCTTTTTATCTTTTTGGGTGTGTTTTGAATGGTGTCCCGGGTAATTATTGTGATTTTGTTTTGTCGCTATTCAACTGAATAAAGCATATATATCAAAGAAGCAAATGTGTCAACTAATCAAAAACAAAAAGCAAAATCATTACACTCATTGAAATATGAAATTTTCTTTAATTTTCAAAGTTTTTACTGAATTCATTCCAAACTTTTTTCAAGAAACTTGTCAAAATCTAAAGATTCAAAAGTGTGCTGTGCTGTGCTTTGTGCTCAAAATGCTTTCTGGTGCACTGAATTCTTCATTATGATGAGATCTCAGTGCACTAGAAAGGATGCGTTCACAGAGTTGACTGTGTACTTTTTCCTGTAAACAAATACTTTTGAGTGGACTCATTTCGTCAATTTTCTTACAACAATCATTTGATTTCGCAAGAATTCTAGAGAATTGAGTGCGCCAGAAAGCGTGCGTTTACAAAGTCGGACTTAAAGTAACTCGGGAAAGTACAAATAGGAGTTTAAAGTTAGTAATGTTTTTCAGAAAAATTTAGAACTTTTCCACTCACCTCAGCCACCACCAAAAAGGGTAATAACAGGAGGAAACAACTCAATCTTTTCATCAAATCCATCGCTCATTCATTCGACGTTTTTCCCTCTTTTCATAGCTTTTGTTTTTCCTAAAAATCGTTGAACAGATCAGGGAAAAAAATTGAATAGATAAAGGTTTAAAAAAAAAAAGGAAAGCTATTAAAACATTGTTTATAAAGCTAGAAAACTAAAGAAAACTATAAAAGTTTGTTTATAAAACTATAAAACTTTACTTACAAGCTATAAAACTAAGTAAAACTATAAAACTTTGTTTATAAAACTCAGTAAAACTATAAAACTTTATTTATAAAACTATAAAACTAGGTAAACCCATAAAACTTTACCTAAAAGCTCTAAAAATTGCCTTAAAAGCTAAAAAACTTTGCTTACAAAACTATAAAACTAAGTAAAACTATAAAACTTTATTTAAAAGCTTTAAAACTTTGCTCAAAAGATATAAAACTTTACTTGCAAGCTATAAAACTAAGTAAAACTATAAAACTTTGTTTATAAAACTCAGTAAAACTATAAAACTTTATTTATAAAACTATAAAACTAGGTAAACTTATAAAACTTTACTTAAAAGCTGTAAAACTTTACTTGCAAGCTCTAAAAATTTGCTTACAAGCTGTAAAACTATAAAACTTTACTTAAAAAAGCTATAAAACTTTACTTGCAAGCTCTAAAAATTTGCTTACAAGCTGTAAAACTATAAAACTTTACTTAAAAAAGCTATAAAACTTTACTTGCAAGCTATAAAACTCAGTAAAACCATAAAACTTTCTTTATAAAACGAAACAAAACTATCAAATTTCGCTTACAAAACTATAAAACTTTACTTACAAAACTATAAAACTGCTTTTACAAAAATACAAAGATTTCTTTTTACATTTGAAAAGTTCAAAAACCTATACCTAATTCTTCTAGCCAAATCTTGTTAAGATAAAATCGATAATATTTAATCATCAAAGAAAAAAAAGCAATCTAGCAAAGTATTGCAAAAAAAATGAGGAGAAAAGTGGAGGAAATCCGTCAAAGTCTCGGGGATGAGACCCAATATTTCACACTCTAACAAGAGGGGGAAAAGGGGAGGATCGAGTTGAGTCTCTGAGAAAGAAAAGAAGAAACAAATATGAAAAGAATGGGAAAGAATGGGAAAGAAAATGCGGAGATAAGTTGATAGATTTAGGGAGAGGATTGGCCAGGTGTGGCCCAGATTTTAGACCTGGTTTAGACTTGGTTTAGACCTGGTTTAGACTTGGTTTAGACTTGGTTTAGACCTGGTTTGGTTTAGATTTAGATAGACTTGGTTTAGACTTGGTTTAGACTTGGTTTAGACCTGATGAACTTGGTTTTCTTGAATTGAAAAGAGTTTTATCAAAAGTATTGTTATCAAAACAATCAATATCAAGTGTTATCACAAACTTTGAGTCTAATTTTTAACTAAGAGATTATCCCTGGTCAGATTGGGCGAATCGTTATAGCTTTATCTTATAGCTATCGTTATAGCTATCGTTATAGCTTTATTTTGGAATAGTCTCACTTCCGGCAAGATCTTAGTTACCTGATGGATTTGGTGATCTGAATTCACTTGTGAGCCTAGATATGGACCTGGTAGGTATTGGATTTCATTTTGATTTCAGATTTAGCCGAATCAAACCTATCTGGGATTAAAATCTACTAGTGTAGGCTAGATTGAGAAAAATGAGCCTCGTTATCCGTCCTGACTTGATGTCACGAGAAAAACGATGAATTTAATCCACTAAAGGGAATGCGTTTACGTTTTTGAGCACAACAGTACATTCAATTGTTCTTTGTGGCTTGTAATTGCGCGTAAAAACAACCTTTCTGCCACACTCGATTCCTTGATGTTTTTTTGTGACATTGTTCACACAAAAACACAATCAATCACGCACGGGGTTTCAGCGGAAAGGAGATCCATCATCGAATCCCGATGGGAGATGGAAAATATTTGAAATGAGCCGCAGGACAAGGCTGAAGAGAGCCCAAAAGGCACAGGATTACTCGAAACGCGTGGACACTTTGGCTGACAAATTGCCCTTTTGGCGGTGCTTGATCACTGAGGGAGAAGCTGGAAGAAAGACAAAGTAAGGTTTAGAACCGCAGAGATCTGCGTGAAATTTTTGGAGTAAAAAGTAAAAGAATTGGCGGCAGAGGCAGTCGAAGAGGAGGGAGGAGTTCGACTCGGGCAAGAGGAGTGTCTGTCTATCTGACAGATAGACAGACAGACAGACAGACTCGGGCAAGAGGAGTCGAACCCGAACCTCTCTCTGCCGTTCGTTTGAGAGATGCGCGCGTTAACCACTCGGCCGATAAATGGCGCAGTGCGAGCGCACTTGTCTCAAGCCTACACGATCCGAGTTCGACTCAGGCGCGCGTCGGCAAGTTTGGTTTTTTGAAAATTTCAAAAGATGCTGAACAACTACATGGAATTCAAAGCCAAACGAACTATAAGTTATTTGAAATGGCCAACTGGATGAGGAGGAGTGCACACAGACAGACAGATAGATAGACAGACAGACAGGCAAACAGACAGACAGACACAGCTCTTTTATATATAGTAGATTATCTATTATTATCTATTATCTACCCATTATCTCTTTAAGAATATTAGTTAAATTATCTAAAAGAGTTTCTCGAAAGTGTTGCGAGAAAAATGAAGAATTCAGTGCTCAAGAAAGATTCGTCTATTTGAGCACAACAATAACAGTAAAAGAGTAATACGACAAAGACTAATCAATTTGAATTTACAAGCCTATTCTACAAGTTACAAGAAACAAAAATCAAGCGGTAGTAGCTAGAAAGAGAGGCTGAAGGGTAAGAGATTTTTGTGGGGGTCTCTGGGTGTCCCTTGGGGGTTTATGTAAAGCAAAAAGGCGTGTGAAGTGGCTTTGCTGTGTTGTCAAAATTCTCTTATAAAAACGTCTCAAAACATATCTCCATAAGTTTCTCTCATCGAACATTGCTCTTGAGTGGGAATTCAGAAAAAAATCAAGTACTGCTTGAAGGAAAAAGTTATGAGAATCGATTTGAGAGTTTTGAGAGTTCAGAAAGTGTTTTGTATTGAATTATGCATCATTAACAACAGCAATTTAGCCAAACAATTTAAGAAAATCCATTCAGTTTTGGTTTTCACAAGGAAAGCCACTCTCTTTCTCTTTCGCTTTCTCTTTCTCTTTCTCTTTCTCTTTCTACTCCTTTTCTCAAGTATGAATCAAGAGTGACTTCTCTACCCTATCTATATTATATTTTTTAAATCTCTGGGCTAAGGTAGTTAGCCTACTAATTCGCTATACGGTTTACCCAAATTTGACTTGATCTCTACTCAAAGTAGTGGGCCAAATGCTGCTTTTAGAAAAGGAGGAGAAAGAAAGAACGCAGAAATTAGTCTTTTTCCTGGTTATAAGCTGGTTTTTTAGATAGCGAAAGATAAAGAAAGATAAAGAAGATAAAGAAAGATAAGGAAAGATAAGGAAAGATAAGGAAAGATAAAGATAACATCAGATCCCTTACCTTTTATAGAACTACCGTAGCTAACAAGTACAAGAACTATCGTAGCTAATAAGCAGTAAAGATTTGCAGCTCTTAAATCAAATCTAGAGCTAATTCTAGTCTCATCCAAATCCAATTCTTCTTGCTTTTTGTTCAAATAAATCTATTCTTCAAAATTAAACGATTCAAAGTTCTCTAGCTCAACTTTTTGCTCAAGAAAAAGGCTCACTTTCTGACGCACTTAATCCCCCATTTTTCCAGCAACAAAATAAGGAATTGAGTCAAAAGGAAAAAGCTTGAAAGCTATTGGATTGGTGAATTGAAAACTGCGGGCTATTGTCATATGTGGCAGTTTGAGCACTTTCTTCAAAAGAAACCCATTCTGGTGTCAATAGAAAAGTTGTAGAGAATCAAAAATTAAGCTTATATCCAAATTTTCAGAACGATTCAAAAACTGGTTTTCAAGAAATGGCAAATTTACGAATCTTCACAAAACTTGCAACAAAACTTGCATTTTAAGCGAAACTACTAAGCGTATCTTTTGGAAATTTGGTTATAAGCCTAATTTTTGATTCTCTACAACTTTTCCATTGACGCCAAAATGGGTTTCTTTTGAAGAAAGTGCTCAAATGCTCAAACTGGGACATCTCGACATCTCCAGTCCTCCATTTTTGAGTCTCACACTTGTCTCACACACAAACCAGAATCCTACTACGAAAGAGGAACTTAAATTGCCTATAAAATGAGCAGAAGTCGTCAATAATAATGGAAATTATTTGGAATGAATTGATGGTTTTATGTTGAATAAATTTTAGTTCAAAGTCCGGCAGTTTTCAATTCACCAACCCAATAGATTGTAAAAGTCGAAAAACAAGTGACCCAGCTACGGATTGACGGATTTTCTATGTTTAGAGTAGTTTCAAAAACCCTATGAGCTAACTACAGGCTATTAAAGGGTTCTTGTCAAGGGCACTTATCCAAAGGAAAGATCTATCTAGATCTATCTAGATCACTTAGCTTATCATGTCTAGATCAAAGAAAATCGAAAACAATAGATGAAAAGGATTAAAATCTAAAAAAAGATCTAGAGTAAATCTGACAATCATCACATAGCCGGCAGTTTTCAACTCACCAACCCAATAGTTTTCTTCAGTAAAGTCAAGTACAAAAAGTTTTAGAGCTTTTAGAGCTTTCAGACAAAACAAGAAAAGCAGCAAAGAACAAGAAAAGCAATTTTGAATCTAAAAATAAGCAATAAGCATAGATTACGTTCTTCAATTAAGAGTAAACTTTCTTTTTTCATAAAGAATTTCTCAGTGAAAAGCATGGGAAACTCGGGAAATGTTGTCAAGAACGGAAGGGCAAGAAAATTAAGCCTTTTTCTGAAAAAAGAAAGAAATTACAAGGAAAAGAGTTTTCTTTTTGCATAGAGCTCTTAAAATTCACTCAAATAAACAAACAAAAAGCAAAAATTGAGAGAAAATTTGTCGAAATTAGTGATATACGGAAAGTTATTTGTGTATGGAAA